GAGTTCGGCTGGCAGGCTTTGCAGCTGTGAGGTGTTTGGGCCAAAATCTATAATCCCAAAGCCTGAAATAAATCGCCAACTAGGTCCTTCAGTAGCTTGATTCTGTAGTCCATTTTAGTAGGGGAACCCTCCCCCAAAAAGGGTAAAAGGGCACTACTGGGGGACCCAGCCAAGTAAGCTCGGCGAACAGGGCAGTCGCTTCGATCGTCGGCGGGCCACATTCTGGCCAAACCGAGGCTGTGACATAGCGCTCCATGGCTCCCTCCAGGTTGCCCTTCACCTGGCTGGCTCGACCCAATCTGAGACGCGGATCTTAAGAGCGGTGCGAAAAAGGGCGGGTCTGGCAAAGTTAAAAGATGGCCCCATCCTCTTTTGGGTTTCCTTTTAGGATTAAACATGAGCTAGCACCCACATTCACATCACAAATCGAGACCTCATGCTGAGGAATCTGCATAGGAACCCCCGGCATGGAATCTGACGAAATGTAATTGGTTGAAGCCATATTCCTGGGACCGTCTGGTTCCGTGCAACGAGGGGATACTCTAGGGACCGCTGTGCACTCTGAACCTCGACCATGGGAGCACCAAAGCGGTTCGCTTTGGGAAATTTTACTTTGGGGAGGGAGGGGACGGCAAGACTCTCCTGTTCTGTCCCAGTTTTGCCCAGCCTTGCTCGCGTGTTTTTCTTCCAACAAGAGAGTTGGACACCAAGTAATCATGCGGCACCCCTCGGAAACCGGCCGCCTTGTTTCAAGCGCTCTTCGATTCTACAGAAAGGGATCCTTGCCAAGTCATAGCACTTGGGCATGCATCAGGAGTCGTTCATCAGGGGTCGTTCAAGGTGGAATCAACTCCCTACCCTCAATTCCTGAGTGGATTGGTCAGACTTGTTTTTTTTATCACTAAAATGGTCTTTCCAAAAAGAATAAAGTCCAGGAACTCTGGAAGTAAGTTTACCTGGCTTCCCGTGTTTCCCTGCTGCAGCCCAGTGCAAAACGTGGCAATGGCCACGTAAGCAGCATTGCCTCGCGGCTTGCGGCGCGGACATCGGCGGAGGATCCGGCCAAAGGGAGACATGAACCTAGAATCCCGGACTCCACTAGTGTTGCCCCTAAACCCCAATCTGGGTTTGTGCTCTTATAGAAAGTGCTCTTTCAGATTGGCTTAAAAGGATGCCAAAAGACTAGCAACTGACACATTCCCATACTGGGGTTGATGGCTCCAGGGAAGCCCGTGCGAGTGTGCTTGTACCAGTTTCTGATTCAACGCGCTGGTTTCCAGCTCCTGGACATGATACTTCCAGGCCTTGCTTTCTTGCAAAACGGAGGTCAAAGGGTACCAATTAATCTGCCTGGCCCATTTCGGCCCCTCGGTGTGCAAACCGGGAAAACCCGTGGCTCCACCAACGCACCTGGTTTTGCATCAGGAAAACATGGCGCGCATCACGCCGAGCTGACCCAACAAAACCCAACGCCACATACCAAGGCCAAAGAACAACGGGCCAATGGCTCAATAGCTCAAGGTGTGGGCCAGCAAGCATTTGACACGCCACTCACATGCCACTCACATGGACACCTCCCAGGCCAAAGCTCCAATGGGATCCTGAGAGCTTGCGGGAGGCTAAACCCGAGAAACCCAAATCCAAGGATCCGGGCGAGTCACGTGAGAGGCTCTCACCAAGTCGTGTCTTGATCTCACCAACTCGGATTGCAGTCAATCTGGGCTTCTTGCATCACGAGCATGATCCGAACCCGAGATTGAAGTCCGCTAGCTGGGCGATTCGCTCGGAAATTGACGCCCGGGCGAAGTGTGTCTTTTTCCCGCTAAAAGTTTGCACTTTTGGCCAAAGAAGGCTGGCGCAAAACTGCTTGGGGTTGCATTTTGGGTTGGATAACGAACCCAGCAGATACGAGTAGCCGGAAGTTGTCTTAGCCGTCGGTTCCAGTTCTCGCCTTCCGCCTTGGCAGCGGCGCAGGCTTCCAAGTCCTGGGAGATCAATGGCCCACCAAACTCACATGGCATCTGAGGTCTTCGGGTTCTTCGGGTGCCCTCCCACAGCGGCTAAGTTGGAGGAAGGCTAAGGGGGCAAAAGCGCCTTTTTTGGAAATCAGGCCAAACTTCCGGAGGATTTAACGCCGAGGTGGATAGATTGGCCTGGTTTTAAAGTTCTCTACCCAAAGTCAAACAATCGATTTCTCTCTCCCCTCTCTGTGGAGTCGGTGTTGAATGCAACACACCAGAGTCATACACAAAAGCTGATGCTAAAGTGGTCTACCCACGGCAAAGAATGACCAGGGCGGTCTCTTTTGTTGCCAGGGCGGTGTCTGCCGGATGTATTTATGGTGACTGTCCCTAACCAGCACGTAACCGGGCTTGGTTGTGGACCCATCTGCAAAAAGTTAAACCTTTGGGCCTTTGGTGGGTCCAACAGAAAATCCACTGCTTCCCAAAAAGTTAAAGTTCAAAGAACCAAAGAAAGCAACACAGCACAATCCGGTTGACCGATGCAACTGGCAACGGAGCCCAAAAGGTTTCGCATGCGACTCATCCGATCGCACAAAAGGACCCATGACAGAAACTTTCATGGATGAGTCACCCCCCTTGTGAGGTTGCGCTATCATATGCTTAAATGGGTCTCTTGGTTTTGGGGTACTCCAAAAAAAACTATGTTCTGATTCTGTTCCACACCCACTCTAGCCCAAAGTATATGTATGGCTGTTGCTCAAACAAAATGTACCAAGATTGCACCTTGGTATATGGAGACAACGACTAAAACCGCCGTAACCCCAGCTGTTTAACTTTGAGCCACACCCATATTTTTGCTGGAGACCCCAGAACATGCCCTTCCCAGTTTCCCGTGGCAATTCGCATGCGAGACTCTCTATCCCGCCTGCTGGCTGTGCGACATTGGCAGCAGCAATCATTGTGATCCCAAACGCTGCGATCTGCGATCTGCAAAATACAGCGGAATACTGGCTCATTAACTTGACATGCGCAAAATGACCCAAGTGCTGGTTTCAAGGGCACGCCCAAAAGCTCAAATGTTGAGACCACCCCAACATCTTGACTTTCAAGAACTCAGGAAACGGCACTGATAACGACAAGAAGCCAACTAGCTCAAGTACCTGCCTATGGGAAGCACCAGTTGACGGACTGCTTCCACAGTCTTTTCCAATCCAGCCCATCTCCGGATGAGTCAAATCAAAGTTGGGCTTGGCCTCCAAATCCCCCTGGATAAAGACCATACGGTCTTTTTGGGCCGTGGAACAGGACTAGACACAATGCCACTGGACACGCTTGGTCATCGAGGTTCGGATTTCAAATCTCCAAAAAAATCGCTTCGCACAAGGATACCCACAATGGACGTGCACGTTGCCCTTTTCATGACCACTCTCTTTTGGGAAATAGGTTTTGCAGGGGTCCCTGCATTGCCCCCTTGAACGTCGACCCATCCAAAGGGAACTCACTTGAAGAAAAGCGGGCCCCTATCAAATATATAGGGGGGGTGGTCTTGCTCCACCCACAGGCATGGCAGTCTCCATGTTTCCCTCTTGGGGGCTTTACGCATTATGTGTTGGTCCCTCCTTTTCCTCCAGGCTGGAACTGCCGACGGGCCAACCAGGCCCAAGCTGCGCAGGCGGAAGATTGCCCACCTCCCCAAGGCGATGCCCCACTCGGTCGGGCCATCCCTTTCGAGCGAATGGAATTCCAACTCCACGTGTGCCCGGGAGCGACTTGCGTGGACTGTGTGAATTCTGAACTCACTTCTATAATTCTCATCAACCTGATTAAGACCGGTCTTGAAGCAAAAGGCTTTGGATTTTTTTTGGTTGTCTTCCGAATCCGTGGCCTTTTGGACTTGTTTCTTTTGCACATTGCATGGGTGAATCAAGGATCCGGAAGGGCACCAACCAAACTTCATGCCCTGTCCTGGAACCCCAGGCAGGGTCAAACTCAGGATTGGCTAAGACCTCGCTGTCGCTGTTGGTGAAGCCTCCTCTCCAAAAGAAAGAAGAACAAACAAAAGGGATTTCACCTAAGATTGACAAACAAAAGTGATGTTCAATGTGGCTCAAAGGGACACGTAGGAACTGTGGATTGGATATGTATGCGAGACATTCCTTGTGCAAAACCTGCCTTCTGGAAAGGGTACTCAGCTCTTACTCGGGATGAGGGCGCCAACTGTTTTGGCAGTATGGCAAATCTTTGTAAAGGGCGGCCTTTACTCCTCACCTCATGGAAGATGCGCGAGGTATCGGGAACAGGTTAGAGCACACCTTGAACCTTTCGAGCCCTTACCTTCCTGTTCAGAGAGCTTCTATCCTACTGTGGATGGACGACTTCCGTTCGCACCACCTGAGAAACCCTGGTTTCCGACGAGCCCCCTGTAAATTCCAGTGAAATCAGTGAACACTTCTTTCAACCACGGGGTTTCCAAGTGGTGCGAGAAGAGTTCGCAACCATCCACCGCCCCTGCCTGCGCCTGCGGGGAGGGTGGCAGCTAAGCGCTCAGGGCTTAAAACTTGGGGCCATGGAAGCCAAAGGGCCCCCCGAGATCCGAATCGGAAACCTGATCGAAGTCTGATCTCGTTCCTTTCGAACCTTCCGTGAAACCTCACTTCCCGATGGAGCGGATTGGCCAAGAAAAAGTCTGTAACCTTCTTGTTTGCCACTAAAATGGTCCAACCCCCAAAAAACGTGACTAAAGTCCAACACAGGAAGTGAGGGGGGGCGGCGATTTGGTTTTCCACAGGACCACGCGCTCGACAGGGCCATCTTGGCCAGCGCATAGGTCCATCGCCCGGTGGGCTCGTTTCCTGGACTTGAAACTCACTAGCCCTTCCGAGTGGGTGCTTTCCCACCTCAACTGCTTCTTTTAAAAACATCAACTAACTTACTGCTTCCAGAAAGGAAAAACACGAAAACAAAAACAACAATCCAACGCCAGCCATTTCAACCATGGGTGCCCTCGAAATCAGCCGCGTCGAAACCAGCCCCTCGCTACTCGCTCAGCTTCTCGACGGCCAAGCCGAGATAGCGACTGTACCTGGCCACTGATCAAGTCCTCACGTCCCATCGAGTGGATGGCCCAAAGAAGGACCCAACACTTTGTTTATGTTGCTGACAAAAGATTCAGATGGTGTTCCCACAAAGTGGTTTAAGTCCATGAACTCAGGAAGTGAGAGATGTTCCCCATAAAATCCTGTCCGATGCTTTGCGGGGTTGTTGTTCTGCTTGCGGGCTGGTCAAATGTTCTTCTCGTTTCCCTCCAACAAAACAGAAGTTCCGCCTGCCCGCATTTCTCAGGCACCTGGCAGGGTGTCGCTTGAAGCGGAAACTGACTCAAGCTGAAAGTGGGACATACTAGCATTCTTTCTGTGGGTGAGCTCGCGTCACCGACCCACTCCCCCAAGCAGACTATGATGACTTATTCCGAGCAGCGGAAAAAACTGCATGTGCCCCGGTGCTTTTTCTGATATAAGCCAAACTAAACATAATCTAACATGTTGCCCTAAGGCCTTATTGAGCCCAAGTCGATTCAGGCTACGGATCAAGAGCGAACTGGGAGCCGGCGCCAGTGCTTCTGCTGGGCGTCGCCGAAGAGTGCCGCGGCCGCATCGTTGATGCTCTCCAGCCTCAGGGCGAATTCCCTGCTATGGCTCGTCAACACGGAGGGGGGGACCCAAAATAGTTTCGGTGTCCTTCTTGGCCCTTTACAAAAACGCCGGCCATGGATGGAAAAACATGGCTTCGCCAAACGGAACGCTGGAAACAAGGGCTAGCCTGTTTGTGGTGCAAAAGGTAAAAAAAGAGGAACCGCCGCCCAATTTAGCTGAGGCCGTTGCTTTCAGCAACAAACATCTCCATGCATGCAAGTTCTTTAGCAACAACACCGCCATCCACAAAGCGCACAAATGGGAGGCCAACCCCCTCACGTCTTTGTCTGACGGCCTCTTTAACGACCCTTTCGGGGGCGGGGTCCTTCACAGCCTTTAGCGGTTCCGGGGGGTGATCGCCAATTCCATTGGAAGGAATTCTTTTTGAGGTTACCATCTCGCTTCAAAATTTGTGGTGGCCTCATGTGCACTTGGATGTTCGGCTGGGTTGCTAAGCACTTGCCCCGCTTGGCGGACTTAGCTAAGTCCGCCAAGTGGGGCAAGTGCTTGGTACCCAGCCGAACATCCAAGCAGTCTCTGCCTTTTTCTTTGGCCAGTGACCAATGCGACTTACGCAAAGAGGCTTGCGCCAGGGCCCCTTCTATTTTGCCGCAGCCCAGTTTATGGCCCCACGCCTCACAATTGCACCCTGGAACGCATGCACGCCTGTATCCAAAGGATCCCTGAAAAGGTCGTGCTTCCAAACAAGCTCCAACCCAGAAGGAGCTTTCTCCTGCGAAAAGTAGGCTTATGGTGTTCCTTCAGTTAATTGGCGCCACCGTGTTGACCCTGGATTAGTAACCCGGCGGAATCACTCCCCAAAAAAGGTGGTGGTTCATGAAGAAAATCAACATTGGGATTCATCCATTGGTCCTGGAGTGAATTTCGTCCACAGTACCAACCCCAGGTGGCGGGTGACTCCGGTGGACTAGGTTTCAATTGCCACTTGCCACGGCTAAGTTAAAACCCTGGGTAATCAATGAACATGATTGACGTTGTCAAAAAACACCCAGGATTTCCACCAACAAACAAATCAATCCAGCTTGGTGTTCCTTTTCCCTTTACACCACTTCCAAAAAAGGTATAACAAAACATCTTTCAACCACAGACCCCAATTGGCTCCGGTGTAGTTTTCTTCCGAATCACATATTTTGAAATCACGCCTGGGGGGTGCAGGTGTGTTTTTTGATTGAAATCACGCCTGGAGGGTCCAGGTGTTTTTTTTGACATCACGGTTTTTGTTTGAAATCACGCCTGGGGGGTGCAGGTGTTTTATCACGCCTGGGGGGTCGCGGTGTTTTTTTTCCTTTTTCTTTGTCCACAACGCCTGGGGGATTTGGGTGTTTTGATATTTGTTTTTTATTTTTTTATCACGCCTAGGGGTCCCGGTGATTGCTTTGTTGCATTCCTGCCTGTGGGCCGGGGCGTATTTTTTTGGTGAATTCACGCCTTGGGGCTCCGCTTCTTTTTTTGGAATTCAAGCCTCTGGGCTGTGATTTCAGATATTTCACGAGAAAAAGAAACAAAAACGGGACCGGCAGTCGCTCACTCGCTTGCTTGCTCGCTTCCTCTGTGAGAAAAAAACAAAATGAGAATCCAAAATGAGGAATTTCAAAATTTAACGCGGCAGTTGTAAAAAAAGAAAGAAACAAAAAGAGCAAAAACCAAAACCAAAAAAACACGGTTCCACCCCAATTCAAGCCATCAACCACCCCGCCTGCCGCCAGCCTTGGCCCATCGAAGGCCTGAAGGTGCCGCCATCACCTCCGCGGGGCGCAATTGGGAGACTTCGCCCGAAAGGGGGGGGGTTGAAACAAAAAGAAACGACCGTTTTAATCCCCTCCCGTCTTGGGGCGGTCTGCGCTTTTTTTTCTTTCTCGTTTCATTTTGTTCTTCATATATTTCTTGTTCTTTGTTGTTGTTTTGGGGGAATAAGGAACGAGAAGTTGTGGGCAATTTTCGGCAGGGATGTGTTGGGCCAAGCTAACACATGACCCACACACAAGCTGTGGGAGGTATCCTTTTAAAGCGCTGGGTAAGCCAAACGTTGCATGGTGCACCCGGGTGATCAAAAGGACCCTCGCCAGGAGCCCTTAGTCTCAAAACCCGGAAGTTCATCTCAACACATCTAGAGTTATCGCCCATTTCTTGCCTGCTTTGCCACACACCTTTGCTTCAATCCCGGGCTGCCCTCAGATCCCCTGCTAAAAGCTTCACTTTTAGTGGGTAGAATGGAAAGTACCACTAAATAGTGAAAAGCTAAAAGGCTAAGGGGATGGCTGGGAGCCACCAAGAATCCTCATGCCACGCCAAGCCCCGCAGTTCCTAGGCGGCCATTCGGCAACGCAACACAAAACAGCGCCCGGCACTACTGAATGAACGATCTGGTTTCCTTGGTGAAAAGGAAAGCACCCACAACGTCCTACGACCACAACGGGGCATTTCCCCTTTTCCCTGGGTTGCAACATGCAGGTGCCACACAAAACAAGACACCGCACCAACGCGACCACACTTTCAACACATCGAGCAAGTCGGACAGAGGATAGGGGGTAGGGGGTACCCACCAACCGAAACATTTGGACGCAAAACGAGCCCATGTTAGTTGAGTCAGTCATCAACACCTGGCATTTCAGCCCCGAAAACCTAAGGAAAATTCTGGAAGTTTCACAGATATCCGCACTGAAACTCACCCATGGTTGGCCCGCTTCTTCCAGGCAAGCCACCAACCAGGGGCAATCATGGCAAAACCTGCAGGCAACAGGTAAAAAAACAACAAATCTGGCTGCCTACAATAGTGGCTTGCCTGGAATCCCTGGTGGGACTGTCTAACTAAAACTGCTTGCCTACAACAGGGGCTTGCCTGGAAGCACTGGTGGGACTGTCTCCAATTCACTTGGTTCACCTCCGGACCCCCCCCCAAAAAAAAACCTCGCTCCCACCCAAAAACCAAAAAACTCTGCCTCCTGCAGGGAGGCGCTGCTCTCCTCTAGCGCCTTGCTCTGCAACAGCTCCTGTGGCCGAAGGTGTTGGCATCAATCCGTCGGCATCTGCAACGCACATGGAACAAGCCAAAGGAGCCTTACAATTCTATCTTGATTGCTGTTGCCCCCTCTGCAGAAAGTGGATCACTTTTTGTGGGTTCAGTGGAAAACCCCTTGATATCCGAACAAGCAAAAGTCTAAAGATCCAACTCACTAGCAGTCAAGGTATATGTTGGATTGTGTTGGTACTTCTGCTGTGCTTTGCACACATAGACAGCCAGAACCATGTCCAACATACAAAAAGCACAAGTGCCAACAAAATCCATGCAACACCACGATCCAACCCGGCAGCTGGACGCATCTTGCGGTACAGGCCATAGGGGTTCGGAAAGAACCGGTCTGGGGAGCTGGGAAGGGGTCTGAGAATCTTTCCGGGTGAAGGTTTTTTTCCCCCTAGCCACGGTTTTTATTTGTTGGTCCCAACTTTTCGCGTAGCCCAGCCAGAAAACCACGGTGGCCGGGCCTTTTCTTTTTCTTCCCGAGCTCTTGTCTATTCAAGTTTTGCCTAAAGCGTTGGGCCAACCACTCGTGGTGGAGTGCTCCATGGGAAAAGGGAAGCGGCCTTTTTTGGAGCCTCTGGCTATGGCGATATGTGACAACTCCTGTGGGTCATGGCCAGGTTTTTGGAGTGTCAGGAAGCTTGGTCATGCCAGGGTTGACCATCCAAACCAAACTGCGCATCGGGGTTGGGCACTTGTGGGACCCTTGGCATGGCAGTGGCAACCCCACCCGCCCCAACCGCAGACGCAGTGAGACACTTTTCGGCGTGTCGAGAATCATTCCCGCGGCTTGCTTTTGTGGGGAACACCTCCCTACACATCTGCCAGGCTTTTGAAAGCATGGATGAGGGTATTCACGCTGGAGCAGCATACCAGGTTTTCACAGCATTTCCAAAAGATGGATTTTGATAGTATTGAACTGGCACATGACATGTACGTACTCTAGGGGGGTGGGGGGGGAGGGGTTTGGTAAAGTTCGGGGCCGGGGGTCCAAATGTGTCCCTCCTGATGCATGCGTGTCCCCTCTCCTGCAGTGCTCCGGGAGGTAGGATCACCTGCGAGACACGGCGGCTCCTTTACAAGCGCTGTGCTGTGATGCTGTGGATGGCTGCGAAATGGGTATGGGTCAAAATTAAACCAGGTTTGAGTCTTTGGCTCCATTTACCAGGGTTCCCAAGACGGGTACCTATTTTTGGACCCTCAGCCAAATCCGTTCGCACCACCTAAGACACCATGGTTTATGATGATTGCCCCTGGACATCCCCAAACTGGTCGGTTTCTTCCCGGCTTCCCTTTGCAAACCAACCAGGGGTTCCCCAAACCGTATAGTGTTGTATCCATTTTAAGGGCTGACCACCCTTTTTTGTCACCCCTCGCGACATGGCGATTTGTCATGACCAGACTCATCAGAGGTAGTTCCCCGTCTGGGATATCAGTCCATTTTGCAGCTTCCCCCTAATTCGTGGGTTTGGTGGTGAAATTGCGGAGCTTCCCAACAAGCCTCTACAAGAACCAGCGGTTCAAATCCCCAGCCACGAATCCAAACCGCCGAGCAAGGGTTACCTGAATGTAAGTCCAGGTCCTCCAGTAGAGAGGTTAGAATAAGGGTACCCTTTTTTCTGCAGTCTATTTTAGTAGGGGAAGGGGTAAATCGGCACTACTGGGGGACCTAGTCCACTGTCCCATTTCGAACGCTCCCGACCTGGCCTGACCCCAAATATAGCCTCCGGAGATCTGGCGAAGCTGGCGCCTTAGACACCAACCATAGGCAGCCAAGCTTTTCGGGGAACTAGACTGGCTTGCTGTTGACACTCCCTGCAAAAAGTTGAACTTCTTGTTGGTTTAGTGGAAAACCCCTTGATTTCCCAACAAGTTGAAATCTAAAGATCTAACCCAATAGCAGTCAAATAGAGTTGAGTGGAGTGACCGAGTGGGCGCGAGTGTACTGCGAGTGGACTGGATTTGGGGGGGGGATGTCTGGATTTCGATTGCAGAGTTTGTATGCACCCTCAAGAGGGCTCCAAAGGCTTGCCAACCGATCGCTTCCAATTGCATGTGGTGTCGGTATGTGTCCATGTGCCACTGATTGAGCGTGATGATGATGATGATGATGATGATGATGATGATGATGATGATGATGATGATGATGATGATGATGGTGATGATGATGATGATGATGGTGATGATGATGACAGTATGGTATGTATGATTTCATCCATACTTGGGGGGGGGGGGGCTTTGTATGCCTTGCATCCTACTGTGCATGACATGGAGGGTCTGCCAATTTCCTCGTGCTATAAAGCAAGATGTTCCCATCACCCCTGAAGCAGCCCCCCACCCCCCCCCCAAAGTTACCTCAAATTTGGGTCTATGTTAGTTGTTCCCATGCTTGGGTGTGTTTGTGGTGGCAACAGCTTTAAGAGTCAACTCAACGATTTACTCGTCCCGCACATGGAGTGTTGATCAAGTGGTCGAGACATATCCCAAACAAGCCATTGGTTCAAGCATATGAGCCATGGTTCCTCGAAGGGCATTGGAGAATACTTAGTGAGTCACTTTTAGTTTGTCGGGAAACTTTCTGAGTCCCCAATTTCCTTGCCAAATCAATCATAGACTAAGGGCAATTTTGATCAAACCTCGAATCCTGGAAGGAGCCTTGTCTGCTCAAATTGCGCCTTCTGAGTCTGGAGAGCAGTTGTGCAAAGTAAACCTTCAGCGTTATTAACTTCCCAATGGCTACTTATTTAGTCCATGTCCGGGATTCACTTGGCCCCAGAAACTGACATCCCAAACCAACCATTTCTCACAAGAGCTTGGCCCAGCCCCTTTAAACATGCACTGGTTTCAACCCTCTCTTCTTGATGGCCTTTTGGGGGACCAGGGGTCGAGTGCAAAAATGAACTGGGCTGTCCTCAGATCCACACGTTTAACTTTCAGTAGCTTCAACGGAAACCCCTCCCCAAGCCCTAGAAAGCTAAGGTGCTAAGGAAACGGATGTCTGGGAGCCAAGTAAAAGCTCCGAACTTTCAAGCGTCCAGGGACAGCTCAAGGCTCTGACTCAGCAGGCACCAGGCCTCCGAAGAAGACCTGCGGGAGAAGTTGCGAGATTGGCCTTCCACTCGAGCAGAACCAAAAAGAGCCCCCCCCCCGCCCCGGGCCCCATTTTTTCTTGGCATGGGGAGAAATCAACGCCAAGACCCAACACACATCCATGGGTTTTGGAATGAACAGTACGGACGCCCGCACCTGCCCGAACTTCATCCATCTGAAACCGCTTGAGCCACCACTCTCTGCTGATGTGCACTTCACCCGAACCACCTGGGGCAAACAGCCACTCCACCCAATTCTTCCCAGGTTGAATGGCATTCAAAAATCGCCAGCTCCAAAAAAACACATCCACGGCACATCGGGCTAGGGTACCATGCCGCGCAGTTGATAGAGTCCCTTTGAAACCAACAAGGATATGAAGAAACAAAAAAACAACTCTTAAGCAAATGCAAGCTTCGTTTTCCTCCGGAATCCCGATCACCCGGCCCGTTTCAACGCGTGGCTGAGGAACTTCTGTCAGGCTGGTGCTTCAGATGGCGATCTTCTCACTTGGGGGATCCCAATTGATAGACACGGAACTGGCTCCAACCCTCCCCCCCTTCCACCATGCAGGGTGGCCCAACATGAGGTTTCTGTACAATGTGGGCTTCCGAATGTGAGGCTCTCTTTTTCAAGGGTACCGCCTTTTTTTCCGGTTTTGAAGGGAAACCACACGGAAAACCACACCAACATAACCGTTTGGTGGGTGGTACACACCCATATGGCTGTGGGTCAAAAATGCGTGCCCAAAATGGACCCCTGGCAAATGGAAACGTTTAATTTTGACCCATATCCATCTGGGTTCCTTCAACACACCCCGCACATGTTCACTTCGACCAGCCTCGCCAGCAGCATTTGGCAGCTCTCCGACCTTCGGCCTGAGCTTTGCTCTTGCTGGGCTTGAGCCATGAGTTCGCTCAGTTGCCCTTTAGGGACCTACCCAGAAAATCCCGATTGACTCAGGGCCTTCAAACAGCCTGGTTTTGAGACAACCACAAATTCTCGGGGTGTCTAGTGCTTCGGGGTCGGGTCTTCCATTGAAAGGTTCAGGAGCTTCTCACTTCCTGAGTGGAGTGGCCACCCTTGTCCTCCCAAAAAGTAGGCCCAAAAATCAAAGGTTGCCCTCCCACCCTTTTTAGAGCAGGAACCTGACGTTCGGGAAAATGGTCCTGGCTTGGACAGCCCGAACGTCAGATAACGTCAGATTCCATGCTAATCGATTATGGCGGGACGGTAACCTTTTGCAACATTGACACAAGTAAACCAAATCAGGGAAGCCAAAAGGTCAAAAGGTTGGCTTTGGACAACTGAGACAGGGTTTCAAATATATGTCCGACCTACCAATAGCATCATACCGACCAAGAGAAACCACAGAATGGTGATGATCAATGACGAGCAGAATGGGGAACCAACTGCTTGAACCTTGAATGGGTATGTTTGCGATTCTGTGAACCTTACCAACCATCTTCAGGGATTTCTCTCTAATCCCTTCACAACATCGCCAAAAGCAAAGCCAGCTTAAGTCTTAAGCCAAAGCAGTGCTGTTGAAAAAACCACCCAATCACCTACCAAATATATAAACCCCGGCGCCAACCCGGCGAAAGGCGAAGGCCCAAACTTTGATCGTCCCTTTGCTTTCCATGGACTAAGTGGCCGAAGCGAGCAGGTGCCGCTCAACTTCTCGGATGTGATGGAGGGTTGTGGCGCATGGCCTCCGAGGTGAGTCTGACAGACCTCCGGGCTTCTGCCCGAATGTTGACCTCCGGTCAATGAATCAAATGGGGCTGCATTTTGGTGTTTCAAGCCAAGCCAAAACACCATTTGGGAGGTCTCTAACAATACAAGCGCCCAAATGTGCTCGCCTGAAAAACTATGGGCCCAGCCTTTTCCCGCACGTGTGAAGCTTCCCAACCCTTGGACCAAAATCTGGTGTTTCACCCGAAAAAGAACAAGGAACACACATGGGCATTCTGTTCCTTGCAATCTGACTTGGATGTTTTTTGAGAAACCTACTCCTTTTGGGGCACCCTCTTTTTTGGTTTCACCTGCGGAGTTCCCAGCTGGGAAAGGTCGCCCAGCTGGGGGTTTGCTTAGGCGGTGGCCCGGTAAGCAGCACCAAGACCGCCGGCTGCTCCTAGCTTCGGCTGCCGGGAATTACCTCATGTTCTCACTTGCCCAACGGACCGCCTGTTTAGTGTCCCCTGCTTCTGAAACAAGGCACTGACGGGGTTCACCACCAACCGAATTCTGAAGGGATTCCGCGTTTGGGCTTGCCAATGCGTCACACCCAGAGCAAAGACTTCGGAAGGAAAGGCTTCGAAAAACACCCAAAGGATGCCTCGCAAATGAAAAGTGAGAAAAGGGCGCCTCTCAGCCCTCGTCTCAAAAAAGGGGACCCGCAACACTGGTTGGTTGCTTTTGGTTTCCCTTAACCCAGCATCCAAAAGGGGCTCCATATTTTGAGACAAGCCCACTTGGCGTTCTTCGTGATTGCGGTTGAAGGATTTCAAGAGGAAACTGCTCAAAGGGTATCCCTTCCGTAACCCTAGGATCGATTGCCTTTAAACAGCCTTGTGACTTTTTCCGGCTTGCTAATAAGTGGAACAAATCCTGACCAAAAACCCATCTGTAAGGGTTGCCTTCAAAGGAACAAATCCTGACTAAAAACGATCATCGCTCAACCTGACACAAAAGCAAAATTTGCGGTTCCTCTCCTTTGCAGCCCACTCACTGAAGTGGGCAAACCTCTTCGGTCCGAACCAAATGAAGCCCAGGAATTCCTGTCACCCTCCAATGAAAGCTGAGGATCGGTTGGAAGAAGAAAGCTTTCCTTTGGGGGAACCTCCATGTCCACTTCCATGGGTGGAGGGAGGGTAAAAATGGGACACTCATTTACCGATTCCCCTCAATCAAAAGCAGGGGCTCTTCATCTTGGTGGTTTCGACACGTCGTCAACTGCCAACCCGAAGCCAGCTCGAGTCCGGTGTCACATCCGCGAGGTTCAGCAACACAGCCTGCCATCACTGGAGAAACCGCCACTGGAATGAGCCCCTTATGTTTGCATTCACTACCTATATATTTATATATCGAGTATCAATAGGTAACATGTAGTTGCTTTTCCTTGGGCACGTCCACAAAAGGCGCCGGACACCTATGAGACATGCGTGCTGACTTGCGGGGGAGGGATGTTTGCCAACATCAGCGACGGCCGCGTGTCAAATCGGGATGGGGGGGGTGTTGGCTTTTGGCTTCCCTTCTACAAGAATGAAACAAATACATGGGGGGATTAGCGCGACAAACAAGCAGAAACCGACCCCTCCGAATGATTGGGTTCATGTCTTCAAAACGCAAAAAGTGTAGCCTCCCACCAACTAAGATGGAGCCCACTAGAAGGTGGAGGAACACTGTCTTCCAGAACCCTCCAGTCACGTTCCTTCTGCTAACGTGGGAGAGTACCCGACAACTGCTTGGACAAAGCCCAGAAACAAAACAAACCCATTCCTGGTCTTCGACCAGCAAGCCATGCTTGCTGCAAGATAGTATATGATTTGTCTCAAGATGGGGGACCATCCACATTGTGGGTTTTGTTTTTCCTTTGGTTTCACGTTTGGTTTCCATTGAATACCACCCCAAAGAACCCTTAAAAACAAATGTTCCCCCACTGTGGTTGGTTCAGGGAAATCTTGAAATCATCATTCCAGCCTTGCTTGGGTGGTGCGAATTCTCGTCCATCCACACTATGTCAGGTTGAAAGGGGTGCCATTCTAAAACCCGTTGGATAGCTTTGCCGATTCAAAACGTGTTTTGATCCCGTTGCCCCTGTCCCGGGCCCAAAAGAGGGGACATGAGGGGACCCTCAAAAGGAACTCGATAGGCCAACGGGCCTGACTTTAAGCTGCTATTGGTGAATCGGCCAAATAACCATAGGATTCGCTTGGCCGCTCGACATACGTGTCTACTGAAAACCTAGCAATGGGTTGATTGTTTCCTTGAGCAACCTGAACAAGGATACCAACTCAAAACTCTCACTCCCACATGTCATCCAAATGAGCCATTCGGATGTGTTTCGCAGAAGAAACAAAAAGGGGGAAAAAACAGAAAAAAAAAAAAAAAAAAAAAAAAAAAAACATCTCCGGCCCGGCCTTGTGCAGGTACTGCGCCGGTGGCCGACTGGGCAAAAGAAAGCTCGGGGAACAATTGATAGCCTCCCCCCATGTTGGCCTCATGTCTTCTTTTTTGCGTGATCCCGTCGGGTAGAAAAAGGGCGGATACTTTTGGGGGGTTGACGTTGTTTTTTTTTTGGGGGGGGGGCAAACCATCAGAAATAGGGGATTTAGAGGATGCCAGTGAAGACATTCCTATGACCTTTGCTACCTTTGCCTTCCTTAAAGCTCATTGCGCAAACTTTGGCAACTGGCTCCCAGGGCGAGGGGGAAGGCGGGAAGGCGCAGTTCCCCGATCCAGTTTCCCCTCGAAGGGGAAAATGGATCCGCGGGAATTTCAGGGGTCACCTGGGCACGTTGCCCAGTCCCCCTGTTTCAAACTTGGAGTAACGATGCATTCGTGAGGCTCACCATGAAAATCTATACACCCCGACCCGTGATGAGTACAAACAAGGCTCCTTTTTCATGCGTCCTTTTTGGCAAATAGATGGTCCTGGTAGATGATTGAACCACCATATAAACCAGGCTCTACTTTTCAAGCAAACCAACCAACAAGGACACCTGTGACCTTTCTTGGGGGATCGAGTTTTTCAAGGCGCTGGAAAAGGCAAGTCCATGCCCAAATCCCCTTGACCACGAACTGTTTGTCAAAATAAATGGGTACCCCAAGCTGGATTTCGGAGATCTGTCCTTTTGGTTTCCCCGCAAACCAATTTAGGCAGAAAGGTTGGGATCTTTCGACCAGAGTGGAAGCCCCGCCTCCGCTGATTCCTGCGCCTGAGAGATGCGAAGAAAGCACTCGCCGCTTTTTTCACACGGCTCGGAAGACGAAATGACGGGGTTTTGTTGCCTGAAACATTCGGAGGCGATAAGGCTGAGGCTGCGGTTGGTCCCAAAGTGGCTCACTCGGAAGCATGGTTCTTTGCCATTCATTTCTTGGTTGACGTTGGAAGGGGAGCAAAAATTCAATTTTTAGCAGTTAAGTGGTCGGATGTCAACCACTAAACCACAATCAAAAAGAAAAAAACAACTTTCCCAACGACAACCATGATTTGACGTATGTTGCAACATTCAAGTCCACCCGCTGCACCTGTGCGAAACGTGATGATTTCGCCAACCTTCGTCACAGGTAAAAGCGCTGGTGAATGGCAATCTGTTGGGGCTGGGACAAGTTTCCCAAAACACATAGCGAGAAACACGGCGTGTGCTGTGGCGCCCAGGGTCTTGGGTGCTAAACAGGATCTAAAACACTAGAACGATCCATCACCGTTTGGCTCCCTAAAGGCAAGCCACATCATATCTTTGATTTGGCACCCAGAAAACTCAGAGTTTCTTCTGACTGGACGCAGTTGGGCCTTCTCATGGCTCCGACCCCTTGGGTCATGTTTGGGTCATTTTTGGATGGATGGTTTTAAAAGGAAGCGAACTGGAAACCGTGATTTTGAGAAAGACCCATAGGGAGAAAAGAAATCCTCCTGCATACTAAACTGGAAGCCCAAACACATGTCAGGCGTCTCCTTTTGAGGACCCCCCAAACCCGCCTCGGAAATTTAATTGTCCATATTTCCGGAAAAAAAAAAAAAAAACTATCCGAACACCACTCTCTCTGTGGATGATTTCGGTTTCCCAATCCAAAGAAGGCAGCCGGGCCTTGCCCTGAGAAAAAAAATCAACAGTCACTTTCAAGGTCAAAGGTCGCAAATTCAGAAACCATGGGCTTGTCTAGGGGAACTAAAGGGATAGCTTCCCTGGTTTCACTTTAACACACCCAGAGAGGGTACCCTGAGTAGAGTTTTGTTTGGGTGTATCGGCCCAATACACTGGCAGCCATACGCAGGCTCGCCTCCGCATGTGTGTAAACCATGGAAGGGTGCCTATGCCGCTACAAGCACCTACGCGGAGTGCCCACGTAGACTTGTCTTGGGCGCTTCTCTTAAAGTTTGAAAGAAGGCAACACATGACATGTCTACGCGAACCTGCCTGCGCAGGATTTTCTTGAACAGCCTACGCAGACTGCCTACGCCGGCGTTTTCCCCAACTCAAAACGCCAAAACTCTGCCTCCGCGGCATGAAGAGAGAGATTGCCCCGAATACCAAGCGAATACACAATGTCATTTGCGTTTTCGGCTCTTGGAAAAAAATGAGAACATACTTCCAGCAGTGAAATCGAGTCCCTGTAAAGCCAACAGTGGAAAATAAGAAATAACAAAAAAGCAACTGGAAGCATAGCAGAAGCTCTCGCATTGAGCTTCCCTGCGGTCGAAGCTCTGGAGGCCCGCCCAAAATCCTGGCTGGCACCGATGCCCATGGGCCCTATGAAGCGGCCGGGTGGAGTAATAGGAACGAATGTCGCAGAAGGCATAAGAGCCGACATGACACAAAGCCAGCAGCCAAAGGCCAAATTAGGCGACATGAAAACAAAACAGCCAGCCAAAAGGCCAAGTGAAGCGACATGAAGGTCCCAAACACGGTAAAGCCAAAGGCCAAATGAAGCAACACGAAGGTCCATTGAAGCGACATGAAAACTAGGTAAAGCCAAAGCACAAGTAAAACGAGATGCATTCATGGTGGGTCTGAGGGATCTTTGGTGCGGAGTAGGGCCAGAGAAGCCTTCTGCACCAAGGGGCCGACTAGATGGGGGCGGTCACGTGTCTGTGGCTTGAAGCATCCTATGTTGAGCGGTTCGCCCAACTCCGAACATGGCCCAACAAGTTGGACCCAACGCGCGCCCAATCTCAATGAATTGAGCCATGGAAATGGGACTGTCTTCAGCTGGTCGTACCCCAAGGTTGGCTTGTGACGTGAACCGCATCATGGAAGCGGTCCCTGGCTGCAGGGACTAAAAAGACACTCGCGTTGCCGCAACGTGTTCACGTTCATGCATCTCTCTAGGTTCAGCATTTTCCCGCAACATCATGTTCTTGCCAACACCCTTCAACAGCATGCTGCTGCTGGAAGAAACCGACATATCCATGAAGCTGCACCACACGTCGACAATGTAAGTCTGCAAAAGTGGACCATCCCCTTGACGCCACAGAAAATGGCCCAACTTCCCGCCAGTTCCCACATGCCAGTCCAGCGGTCGTTTTTACCACCGGCTCGTTACCCGAGGCCATGTTTCAGCCCAGAAAAGATCTGGGGGACCCTTAGGGTCACCTCGGCTCAAGACATTTCGTGCATTGCAGCGAACGGCCCTTGAGGCCCACTCTATGCGCATTGGTACAAACCGCCGTCGGAACAAGCTGGGGACCCGTCCCCCTGCCACCCAACAAAGCAAGGACTCTTGCAGGGTCCACCTTTTCATCACCCACACACAGACACACACCGATATGGCGGTTTCCTTGCTGGACAGGCTTTTGCTTCAATCAGCTCGACTCTTTTTTTCCGTAGGGCGGGGACTGGCCTGCGCCGATGGAGCAGGTGCAAGAAACTCCAAAGCAGCGATGCCAGAGCTTCCCGTTGAGTCCCCAAAGGGTACAGGGGACATGACCCGCGGAAACACAACCAAACGTCCACGGCTCAGTTCCGCTCTCCTTTGGAGATGCAGAGGGAATGGCGGAAGGTCACATGCCCGGACCTTGAATTTTTTGGGTTGGGCTATGACCCTTGTCAACATGTGTCAACCATGTTTGCTGAATCTCCATTTGCTTTTCCCTTTGTATAAGGGGCTGGGGGGAGGGGGGGTCTGGTTCTGGTTGAAGCCAATTCTGCCCAACCCTGTGGTGATGGCAGGAAGCGAGTGGGCAACGAGGCAGCGATACCCCGAATCTAGTTCATCCAGCTCCTTCGAAGCAGGAAATAGCCTTTTGACCGATTCCCTTAGGACAAGGTGGGTTGCCAACAAGCCCACTTTCTTTCTTCCAAATGGATTTGTTTTACAAAAAAAAAAGGCAGAGATGTGACATCCAAAAAACCGATCTCCGAGTCTCCCAAGAAAAGCCCAAAACCCCGGTCTCAGCTGTCCAAAAGCGTCAGGAACCGTTTTGGGAACCCCCAAAGTTCGCTGCACGTTGCCACGGCACGCAGGTCCCTCGTCACAGGGTGCTGACAGGATCTTGGCCAGGCCGCCCCTGGCAACCCGAAGCATGGGGTGCTGAAACTGAGGCGAGGGACCAAACACAACTCACTTGGTACAAATGTCTACCCACCCAGAAAGTCCAAGTACCTCCTGAGGATGGCTTCTGGGGAATAAAAATGGGTCTGAGCACCTTCTTAGAAGGTACTTGGCCCCTCTGGGCCACATCCACGACAAAAACAAACATGAATCGGAGGCTGGAGATCCGCATCCCTTGAAAAACTCAGGTGTTCACTCCATGGGAGCAACTCGTGGTTGATCCCTGAAGCTGATTTCCCATGCCCACTGATAACTCCATGAATTTCGAGAGTCCCTTTCAGAAACACAGAAAGCGGGCCAAAGACAGGCAAACTTCGGCGTGCTGGCGGCCTGGCCTCAACAGCAAGCAGATGCAAAATCAAGTGGCGTAAGTGCTGACCTGTTGAAACATTCTGGGCCTTGACATGAATTGTCAACTTAAAAAAGGCAACAAAAGAGATCACTGCTTTGAAACTTGCGTCTTTGACGCATGATGGCCGGCAACAAAGCTCTGCACTGCAACTCCTTGGCGACCCCGAGCAAAACAATAAAGATCCTGGAAAAAGCCCCAAAGAGGTTGAAGGCACATAGAAGCAAAGCCATCATTTGTTTAGGGGTTGGTTCTGGCATACCCCTTGCACACCCCTTTCTCCGAAAGAAGCAACTACCCCGAGACTACCCCTTTTAAAGTGGGTTTGCAGCAAGGAAGCCGAGGGGCATAAACCAGGGCTATGTGCTTCCTGTTGGGGTTGAATGTCGTAGTCTGAGTGGAGTTTGTGTCAGCGCAGCCATGTAAGAGTGCAAGAGTCATGATCAAGGCTTGGCACTACAAACGTCTAGCCACATCCATGTACAGAATTAAGAGAGCGGATATCCGCACCCATGTCTGGCTGGGACTGTCCATTACTATCTTTCCCGAAGCCAGGTGTTGATTGCTCATAAGCTGCTGATCAATCTCAAAACGGGATGCCATGAGCTCACAGGCCCAACCGCCAGCTACACTGGACATGTGTCTTTGAACCACGGCCCACGCACCAGCCGCCCAGAGACTCTGGTATAAATACATAGACCCTCATTGGGCAGGCAACTCGCCAAACAAAAAAGGGCCTTGACAGGCCACCTCTGAACAAGTGCTCGCGGCAACCCCAAGGCGCGCCTTCTTTGTGAGCAATGAGACGACTTCGGCCAAGCTCTCCTGCAGAAAGGCACAGGCACGTGCGAGAAAATATCCCTTTCCGAGATACCAAAGCAAACCCCCCCCCAATGACTACTTTGTCACTATCAAGGGGTCCCCTTGGTATCAGACGAAGTGATAACTTTGCGTTTCTTCACACCAAGGTCTTTGCATGTAGCCGTGCTCAGTGTCCCCGCATAGCTAAGCAAAACAAGGCCGAGTCGTTGCTGCACTCACCCCAGAATGTGGGAGAGGGCATCAGCTCGACCCGGCGAAAACAAGCAACTCTTGCCTTGTTGTCACTTCATCAATGGCTCGAATATCCGCATCTTCACGTGTCAAAATTGCCCCCCCCCCCCAAAGAAAAAGAAGAAGAAGAAGTCAATTATCGAATTTAGAATCTACTTCTACAACAATTATTCTAGAGCACGTTTAGAATGCAGTTGGAGAGTCTACTTCTTCGTGTAGTCTCTAATGGCTTCTTTCGATGCATTGCGAAGCTCGTGACATGCAGTATTCCGTTTGGTTTTCCTTCAAACACCTGTCCCCTCAAAGTGTCCGGGACAAGAACTTGACGGAAATTTCGCTGCCTTGCTCATCTAGAACATGCGTTTCTTCAGTGGCAGCTAGCAAAACAAGTCCAGGACCGAAGTCCGATGTCAAGCCAAGGTGGCCAGACTTCGGCTGCAAAGTGAGGTTTCTACCCACAAGGGAAAGGAAACCAACCCGAATGCCCAAAAAGCAAAGTGAGTGTGGCCCCCTGGATTTTGAAAGTGTCTGTCTACCTGGCGGGTGATCGGACACGTGCATCTATTTGCATTTGGTCACACGTCCCATTCATTCACGAGACATTGCGGAGAATTCTGGTTGAATGCAACTTTTGGGAACATGGTCCTGGTGGTTTCTCCTCTTTTGGGTTGGCAGTTGGGAAAGCAAAAGGAAACCAACTGCTTTCGATCACCGGTTCCCATTTTGAGAAACGACGCGCACACATGCTGGGTTCCAAAATGGGAGCAACCCTCACCGGAGTCACAGCAGTCTCACAATGACTGTTCGCACATTTACACTGTTCTGTTGTTCTTGTTTCAATGCTTGAACAACTTTGCATATATCCAACGAACAGAAACGAAAACAGCAGGAGACACATCAAGGGGTCCCACATCTGGAAACAGGTCTCGACATGAAGATCCCGAAATTCCAAAACGTGAAATCAAAAAAATCCAGCCAACTAGCCACAAAGTCAAGAGGCCCGCTAGTTCGCACCCCTGGCTGCGGCCTGCCAAAATTTGTCACGCGCTTTGGGCGGCTCCTGCATGTGGACCATCCCACCCTTGAGCTGCAGCATTTGTCGGCTCATGTCGCTCAACCGGCCCTTGACCTCCTGCACCTATCGCGGACATTCGCGGAAGCCCAGTGGCGCGGTAAACAAGATCCCACCCCCCCAAAAGACGGTTGGGCACTACTAGCAGACTGCTTGCCATAAAAAGAAGAACCACAAATAGCCCATAAAAATCAAATTCCCCCCACCTTTTAAAAAAGAGCACCAATCCAACAAAAAGGCCGGATCTCTGCGTGATTGCTTGAGTGTGATTCAGGGCACCCCTTGGTTGACTTTTTTACTGGGAACCAGTCCCAAAGAAAAGCGAGGGTGCCAGAACCTTCCCTATCCTGCGGTTTGACATGGAACCCAAGCTCTCGTCCCCTTTAAGTGTTGGGTTCCAGGTTGATTTGTGGTTCGCGTAACTTCACCATTCTGTTCAGGCATCCTTCTCTGAAAATGACCCCCAAACTCATTTGATGGTGTCCTGGGAACGGCCCTGAAAGAAAATGATAGCAAGCAAGGCGTCTGGCAACGTAACATCCTCTACAGAGCTGGGCTTCATGAGTGGAACATAGATTAAGCAGCCTGAAATCGCACTTTATCTGAACTGGTGGAATGACTGGCTAAGGAAAGTCCTTGTATTTTTCATGTCACGAACATGATGAAGAAATCTAGCACACGTTTAGTCAGTTTCCCAATTCCATACGCAAGCATGGGACCTCACTATCAATGTCCTGAGCAGTACCCTCACCGTAGGACCTTAGGGTACCTTTTTTCATTTTAACTAAACAAAGATAATCGAAGCCATTCTAGGGGGTCCCCCCCGACAGCCCAACCCAACAGACTGAAGCGCCTCCTGCCGCAGGGTGGAGTCGGCATCTGACGGGAAGGGACGTTGAGCCGGTTTTGTTGAAGGGGTGAATTCGGGAAAGCCACAGGCGCAAGGGGTGTAAAACGGCAAGCAAAGTCTGGCAATGGTCTTGGCGGAGTCTACCGAAATCTACCGAAACGTGAGTATACAACTCAAAGGGCGGATATCTGCAATGTGGTCGGGACTGTCCCCTAACTTCAGCTAAACTGTGCTCATGGAGGCTCAAGGGGCAAAGGCACGATTTGCTCTGCTAAGCTGGTGTGAAGTCGGGCCCAGGCTTTCTCTTTGCGCGTCTAGCGATTCAAAGAGCGAAACAGCATGAAGGCAGAACCTGGATTTGGCACATCAAGGTTTGTCTTCTGACCTCCGCCAAAAAAGCTAAGGTTCCTCCGAAATAGGGCTTCTACACCAAAAATAAACACGTGTTTGGTGTGGCCCCTTTGGAAACCATGAAGACTCGTATCCGCCATTGAACAAACAACAACCCAGTTTCCCAAAATGGCAACGGGAAATCAGAATGGATGGGCCGCGACCGCATCCACTTCGCGCCTGTTGGTGGTTTATGCTGGTATTTATAGGGTTTCATCCATCCCACCTGGTGCGAAATGGAACTCGCCCAACAGTATCTGCAGTTCTCACGGCAATTCCACAACCTGAAGCCAGACATGTCCAACATGAAGCTCTACCCCTCCCATCCACTAACATGGGACTTTCTACCAACAAAACACACGGGTTCCGCGTTGGTGGAAAGCAGGGTGTTCATCAGATTTCGCGCGTCTCGCCGGATCGGATCGGTGATCATGAAAAGCAGACCTCGGGTTCTTCTACGTACCCCGTGCCGTAGGCACACTCCGGCACGGATCGGATCCCACTTGGTCAGCTTCCCTTGGCTTGGTGGCTTGGCGAACGCGGTTTCCGAATCATTCACCCTGCGTTTGACAAAGGGAAAAGCGGTCGCGGCGTCGCCTGTGTCGCGGAGTGAGCGGGACCACGTCATGTCCTCCTCCGAAACTGGGGAAACCGCCTGCGCGACCTTCCTCGGGCCGCGGGAGGCGGGGAAATGGGCTGGGGATGGTGTCCAAAACGTCCAAAGATTTGGTTAAACTGGGTTGTTGGCTAGGTCCTCCAGTGGAGAGGTTAGACTAAGGGTAACAACTTTTTTCTGTAGTCTATTCTGGTAGGGGAACCCTCTCCTAAAAAGGGGAAAAGGGCACAGCTGGGAGACCTAGTTGGTGAAAAGACCCCGCTTTACCCTTCTAGGTTCCTTTTTCAGGGCGACATGAAGTTGCGGAGTGCCTGGGTCTTCATTGGCGCGACCAGGGGAAACAGGGTACATGCCTGAGCAGTGGCTGGAAAGTGGTGCATATCCCAAAATCCCCTGGGAAAAGTGGTTGGGATGGTGTTCACTCACACCAAACCACCCAGGGAAACCAGAGCATATGCCAGCCGAAGTGGCTCAAAAGTGGTTCTATATCCCATACTTGGGGTGGGATACGAGAGAGGAAGTCTCCCGCCCTTTTCCTCGCTTTGCTATATATGTGTGTTTCCAGTGGGCTGGTCAAAATGAAAGGTTGGCCGTTGACTTGGAAGGCTAGGGTGGCCTGGAATGAGAAACACAGGGTAAGTTGAGTCAAAATCAAAACCTGGTATAAACATGGTTGACCCAGAACCATGTAAAGAATTAAGAAGGCGGCCGCAGCTATTTCTGGCTGGGATCATCCCTTACTAAGCTTCATCTACCCGGGTTTTGATTGTGGTTCAAGTGCATGTTTCACCCGTGAAACTTTGGGCTGCCCAGCATCCCCACAAGGTCGACATGCGCTGCACGGAGCACCACGCTGTGCATACGTGTGTTTGACCAGAACGAAGTTGGCAAGTGTTCAGCATCTCCCAGCCAGGGAACCCCCTCTTACAAAGAATAAGGTGCTTTTTTCCTTTCGCAAAGCGCTCATTTACAGTCGCACACATTGCCTGGTTTTAGGGGCACTTTCTGTCATACCCCTTTAAAGCAACAAAACAGCCGGCGCGGCTTGGTACAGTTGTTGCTTTTTCCCTTGGAAGCAAGCTCAAGTCCTTGCCCTCTTGCAATATTTAGGTTCTAAGCCTTTGAGTCCTGCCCAGTTGCGTCAATGTCATTTTGAAGGCGGCAGTGGATGCTAGAGGTCTGAAACAGCTGACAGGTACTGGAAAATCCTCACACTCTTGCACGCGCGTGTCTGACACTTGCTTTTGGCACATGTAAGCACCCGGCCCAACTGCCCTTTGCCGGCGAAATCCAAGTTTGCCCCACGGATGGCGCTCCCCATTTCTGTCACGCGGCGTATCCGAGCCATTGGTGCCACTGGAGTTGTTGGAGTTCTTCGAGCCTTTGGAGCTCAGCGAGCTCTTGGAGCCTGCGAGGCGCCAAAAAAAACGAATTGAGAGCCGAGGCCCAGCAAATGTCAGCTCAATGATCATTTTTGTGGTTTGAGGGGGGCGGGGGGAGGAGGTGAGCACCCACCAAGACATACAGCATCCACCTGGCTGATCCTTCTGACAGCAATTCCAAATGAAGGGATCCCCGCGTAGAGGACCAACCGAGCGGGTTTTCGCTGGTTCTTCCAGGTAAGCCTCGCACCCTGATCTGGCAGTTGCTAAGGGATCCTTCTCCAGGAAGCGTGCCCACGTTGATTCCGGATGCCCCGATGGAAAAAGGAGACCTCAGGTGGGCAGAAAAGCGCCATTTTGTTGGTAGTTGATGTTGAAGGGAACCTCCCTCCCTCCAAAAAACTGCTCACCTCCCCGTCCAGTTCCACAGAGTGAAACCTCTAGCTTTTGGTCGGACGTGGGGAACCTGGGATCTGTTCAATACCCACCACAGGGTGGGAAGCCCCCGAAACACCCGCAGAGGTGGCCGATGAGGAGGGAGAACAAGGAGAATCCAACAACCCCCTTGCCAAGTGAGTGTCCAACAAAACGGGACAAGTGGAAAGACAAATTAGGTCCTCCAGTAGAGAGGTTAGAATAAGGGTACCAACTTTTTTTCTGTAGTCTACTTTAGTAGGGGAACCCTCCCAAAAAAAAGGGTAAAAGGGCACTACTGGGGGACCTTAATTCACTCCTGCAGATTGACATGGGCAAAATAACGGGGAAAAACCACCAAACTGCTGTGAATTTCGAGGCATCTCCCTTTGAATGGGGCCCCCGTGATCTATTGGCTTTCTTCCGTTCATCCGAGTGCTGAGCGCCCAGTAAAACCCCTTGACACTTAGTTCTACATGGCCCCTCACCGCTGTTGGGGTAAAACCCTAAGCTAGAAGCACTTGATTCAGCCAAGGGAGGTGTTGGCCGCGAAAGCTACAAGGCAGGGGGGATTCATGGGATATACAGCCACTGAATGGGCAGATTTTTTCAAGGGAGACCTTCCAAATGGTGCTCCTCATAGGCGGCCTTTTGGAAAAATAGATGGCCCTGGTAAATGGAATAAACCCCATCTGAACTAGCGCCATCTATGTTTAACCAAACTCGCCTAAAAAGGACACCTATGAAGTGCTCCTCTTAATGTTCCTGGACCAAACACGCGGGTACCACTGGGCCGCTCCGATCCATCCGCCTTTGTGCCGCCAAATGTTGACCACTGCTCGCTGGATGTCTCGGCTGGCCAGCTCAAAGAAGTCCAGCGGCTCCACCAACTGCCTGCCAAACTGTGCGATCCTCTGGATGTTACCCTCCTGACAGGGGCTCCCTTTAAAGGCCCCCCTTCAAGGTTCCATGTTAATTGGTGGGATGTTAATGGGCTCTTGGACAGACTTCCGGAAGGACACATGTATCTAAAACTGAGCATATTTTTTTTGCGAGCTGGGATGTCTGATTGCGCTGTTGCCGTAGATTAATTATATTACACCTTGGAGCTATAGTGTGGGGGAGGGGTTGATGGAGGACATTTCAAGCACTTCTGGCACTACCCCAGTGGTTTTTGCCTACGTGCCTCGCACCGCGGAAACTGAGTGATCTGGCGGATGCTTTGGGTTGGCTTGTCCGACTTGGTTTTATTGATTTCATAAGCATATGGGGTATAACTTGGGGTAGCTGAGGTAACTGGGGCAACCAAGCTTCCTTGTAGCCATATGAGTTCAGCCGAGGGTTCCTCAACGGATACATCCCACCCAATCCAGCAAACAAACAGCCTGTCTGGGTGATTTGTGAACTTCTACATCCCTGAAGGGAGGCTGTTGTCCTGTTGTTTGGCTTGTGCTTTTTGTTGGAGCGGTTGCGAGCCTTTTGGTTGCCAGCTTTTGGGGCGGGGGATCCTGGTGCTTGATCTTTATGGCTTCACCAACGGGCTCTCTTTTTCACGGTGCCCTCTTTTTCACGGTGCCCAGTTGGAGGTTCAAAGGGAAACTCACAGAGAACCGAAACGCCCGTCTTAATTCGACTTCCCAGACTTGGCCCTACCCTGTGGTTTGGAGGTCTGCCATTTCAGACACAGTCCAAAGTCCGAACGCCTGGGCATGGTTACACTGACCATGTGTAAAATCCCTAAAGGGTCTATAGACCATCCCTACTATTTTATATAACCCTGGCATGTGTGACCGTCTCCCGAGAAAGTGCATCGGTTTGTCTTCACTTTCCCTTCAGTTTGCCTTCAAGCAACACCAAAAAAGGGGTCCCCTCAAGAAATGACGCCCATTTTGGTTGTCTCGAAATTCGCTGGCGGTTCCAGCCAAGTGGCTTGAGCTTGGATTTCCGCTGCGCCTCATGCTGCCCAGCCTGGCGGCTGTGCCCGGCTGGCGCGAACGAAAGCGCGAGCTGAAGACGGGTTCGTGCCTGCTAAACACCTTTGAGTGCTGGACGGAGGTCGACCAAAAAATCACAAACAACAAGCCACGACCCACAAGCGACGCTGTGAAACTCGCTTGCGCCTTCTCGCTCTGCGTCAAGGGGTGTAACTATTTATGTCCAGTCCCGCATCTTTTTAGGAGTGGCAAAACCCCTCAGATTTGAGGGACCCCCGCAAAAAAGTTTGTGCCTTTGTCGACGGGAGCTGGCCTTCGCCTGCCAGGTGCGCATGCAGCGCGGGAAATCCTGGAGCAAGCGATCCAACTTGTCCTCGGCACGAAACTGGGTGCATCTGGGTGCCGAATAAGGGCTGGGGGGAAAAAACAACTACGAAAGGCTGCCCCCACTGGCGACTTAGCAAAAAGGAAAAACTCATGGGATTCCAGTAGCGTACAATACCCGAACCCTTCTACCGTTGGGAAACCGCAGAAGTCAGACGCCAAGTGGCCTTTGGAGGCTTCCAGGGGCTGGGGTCCTATGAAAACGGCGAGCTGAGGGTCTTTTCAAGCAATTCTTTGCTGCCAAAGCTTTTCGTCCCAACCTTTGGTATGGCAAAAACTGAATGTTTGTTGCAGCCGGCAAAAGCAGTTGCACATGGTTGCATTGTTACAGCCAAAGCAAGCAACAACTAGAAACTGTCAAGTGTCCGTCTTCACAAAGTGCCCCGAGTTGCCATATCGATATATGGGAAACAGCCGTGGCTGTTTTGTGTTATTTCGGGTTTCCGTCACCTGTTCAAATCATAACGACCTCACCGGCAGGGGTCGGGGGTCCTACGTCAAACATCGAGAGGGCGTCTTTCTTTCATAGGGATTCCTCATTCTCGGTGGTGAAGTCAAATCCATTGCCCGACTTTGTGAAACGAAATCCGTCAGAACGACAATTGAGCCAAAGGGCGTTGATGACTAAATGGCGGGGTTTTCGTTCCAGGGAACACCACAACGAGCTGATTGCTTTAGGCTGTCTTTCAAGCAAAGTCTTTCAGAGAAGCCCCGAGATAAGGGCACACCCAACACAGACAATCTGAGCCGATCACGTCATCCGACACAAGCTTTGTCAGTGGCTCATGTGGCAAGTTACCTCAATGCCTACACGGTGTTCTCACCTGAAGCCTTTTGGGACCTTCATCAAAGTGGGCCAAAAGGCCCGCCCAAAAGCTCAACCGGTGGAAGGAGACGGATCATGTTTTTGACAGCCCTACCACAGTAGCACAGGGAAACGCTTGTTCTTTGGCTTCTCTTTGTGCCTGGCTGGCTTTGGCTAAAAAGCTGTGCACCGTCAGGTTTGTCCCAAGGAAGCCCTCAAGAAGCCATCCTTTCCTTTAGTCTCCCCCTAAAACACCAAATCAAACACGACACTCTCACAGCATCTGAAAGGTGTGTTTCATGCCAGAAACTCCCCGAAACCCACCGTCCAAACCATCCGACTTGGCGTTCTCCGTTGGCTCTTGGATTGAAACCAGCCCCGCAAAACTCACCTCCGATCGAGTAGATTGGCCAAACAAAGTCCGATTGTTTTATTTACCACTAAAACCTCCCAAACAATTTTAAATGCTGCAGCACAACAAGTGAGACAGCCATACCCTGGGCGCCCGAGGTCGGCGTTTCTCGCCGAGCTGCCCGGTGTAGCTGCAGCAGCTTCCCGTCGTGCTCGCAGCGGACTGAGCTCCGACGTTGCTCTGGCGGAAACGCCATCACCTGGCGCCGGGTCTCACCCAGTCAGCGGAGCATGCCACCCCCAAGGGGGCACGTTTCCTTGGACTGGCCCCATGTTTTTACTGTGATCAAAGTCACCCCTAAGTGGTGGGTTAAGGGAAGCAACCCCAGTTTCTGACTTTGATAACCCCCAGAAACCGTCAAAATAATGACCCCTCTTGGAGTCCTGAAAAACCAAAACGCAAAAAGTCGGCTTCCCTCGGACGTGTTCCGGGGATGGTTTCCCATGCCTCTACAAGAACTGAAGGAGGTCGGAGACCACGACTACAAGGGTGGCATCTTTGAGCAACCCAAATATGGGTGCGTTTTTTTTTTGGTAGGGGAGCCCCAGAATTGTTTTGCTGGGTTTGCTGTTGGTTTCCCTTCAAACCAACCCCAAAAAGGCGTGCCCTCAAACCAAGACAGTGCCCATTCTGGATGCCGGACAATGCCACAAATCCCAATGCGTTGCTCATCGTCCTCCTTCAAGGTTGTTGTGGGTCTTAAGATGTTTCTAGAGGATTGCGGAACCCTTTTTCCCATTTCTCGAAGCATCACCCCACCCCAAAAGTGCGTTGGCCTGTGGAAATAAATGGCCTCTTGCTGTCAGATGTTTCTGGGCAAAAGGGCAGCAACAAAGTGGAACCTAAGATTCGCACACCCCTTGATCACTACTCAAGCCCAGTTCAATATGTTTTTTCTTGCATGGCCCACCCAAAACCATGATAAACCAAAAAAACAAAAAGAACCGAAAACAGAAAACACCAGCTGCAGCTTTTTCTTTGTTGCGACTCCACCGGTGGCTCTGATGTCCACGTCGCCTCCACGTCGCCGAAGTAGCTGCCCTCGCAGAAGAGCTGGTAGGGCGACAGCCTGCCAGGTCCGGCTCAACACCTAGTTCCCCGCCTCAATCGAATGGATTGGCAAGAGAACAACATGTGGTTGCGGGTCTTTTTCCCCAGCTGAAAGCTAAGGGGTCTCTGCGATAATGATCACCTAAGCATCTTTGGAAGGAGGGGGTGGACATGTTCTGGGGGAACCCTTTTTGAGTTGGAGGGACACCAACAAAAAACCATTTGAGGGATCCGCTAAAAAAGGGTTCTTTCTGTGAATCAGGCAGCTGCCCATGGCACACTTTTCCGTGTGCCTCGATCCAAAAGCGGCTTCCATGCCACCGGTTTGTGCGTGTTATCCTTGCTCAGGGGGCCACTGATGGGGTACCCCTTTTTCAAACTGAAAACCTGCACTCCTCCCCTTTGTGTTCAGAGAGGGCACAAATGACAAAACGTTCCTAGCTCTCACATCCTCCGTTCTTGCCATAGAGGATGCCCAGCTCAAGCCGCATCACATCAGTCCTCGGGGCCATCTGCCCTCATCTTGCATTCTCTCAAAGTTCTCGTCGGTCACGCCACCTTGGCAAAACCTGCAAGGCTGCATAGGGTTCAGCGGCTCCCTTCCAATGCCCACACATCGAGCATTGCCATGCAGAAAGCCGTCTTCCCCACGATACGATCTTGCGCCCCGTGCTCGCTGTCGTTCTCCCGGCCAACAGTGAGGACACGGTAGCACCGCCCGCATTCCCCGGACAGTGGCGTTCCGGAGCCCATAGCAGTTGCGTCGCCAGTGAATCCGGTCACCCATCGAGGTGATGTGGTAAACCTCAACTGCTTCCGGTTCCGGCCGCAGCTCCCGCCACCGGAGCTGTTCCATGACCCGAAGCTCCTCCCGCCACCTGGTATTCAATCTTTCATCTTCTGTCTCCTGCTCAACCGACCTTGTGGGAGCTCGCTCGTCTGCAGGCTGCTCCTCAGCTTGACCCGTGCTCCCACCGTTCCGCCTCCTCACTGCACTTGACCTTGAGGCAGTCCCGCTGGTAGAGCTGGAAGACCGTGCCACCGAAGCTTTTGCAATCTCGGCACCTCAATGACTTCTTCTTCTTCTCCCGTTTGAGTGCTCCTTTCCACACTACTCACTCTCAACCTCCTGATCCCCTGGCGGAGCCCCGACACAGCTTCGGTAGCCAAGCGGTAAATCACCACCGCAACCACAGCGATCAGCAACACCACCACGGAGATGTCCACACCGTCCTCCTCCGGCGGTGGATTGTTGCCCTGTGCTCTGCAACCAGTGATCACGATCAAGATCACCAGTAACTGGATCCACCTCTCCTTTTCCGGCTGAACCACCGCCTTGCTCACCTTGGTCACCTTGCTCTCTTCTCCCATGGCCTTGAGGTTCCACAGGTCGCAGAGCTCTTTGATCCTCATCGGACCCAATGGCTTTGTACCAAGGTCTGCCAGCATCTGCTGTCCTGGGCAGTGTCGTAGTTCCCAATCTCCGGCCCTGATCCTCCACCGCAGGTGGAATGACCTCAACCGAAGGTGCCGTGTTCTCCACGAGCCTGTGACATCCGTGGCAATCGCCACCGCTGCCGCATTATCCGACAGCAACATCTTCTTGAAATTGTCCATACCCAGGGTGTCTGTGATCAACGCCTCCACGCTGTCTCCAAGGATCACACTGTCGATCGCCTCGATCAGCTCGCTCTCCGCTGTCGACAGTGCTGGAAAAGCCTGCTTTCCTGCCTTCCATGCAATGACCGTGCCGTTCCATGCTACCAAGGAACATCCTTGGCTCCTTTCTCCCAACGGCGCAAACGAAGCATCTGCATAGGCCTGCAATCCGGCGGCACCATGACCCGACCAATGTCGTCCAGTGTCTCCCGACACCCATAGCCCCCATGCCTTCGTTTCCTTCAGGTAGCCCAGAACATAGCCCGCAGCCCTTGATCGTCCATTTGGGATTCTTGGACGTCATGCTGCACATACGACTCATGCTGTAGAGCAGGTCCGGCCGAGTCCTTGTCATCAACCACAGAATCTCCCCCGTCACCTTCTGAGCTCTCGTGAGGTCCATGGCCGTGAAATGGCCCGGGTCCTCATCCGCCTCGTCCGCAATTTCCTTGGACATCGGCGTCTTGGATCTCACCAGCTCGCCCTCATGCCTTTTCAGCAACTCCTCGACGTAGTCGCTCTGATGCAGGAAGATCCCATTCTCCTCCCGCTTCAAGCTCATTCCTAGAAAGCGGATCTGGTGTTCCTCCGTCAGGACGTCCGGCTTGCTTGTTTCCCACCTCTCCGAGATCACGGCCTCAAACCTTTCTCGCACCGGCTTCTCTGTCGCCGTGAGGACGTCGTCAACGTATATGGAGACCAGACCGGCCAGAACCTCGGTGCCATTACCAACCTCCAAGATCCGCCACAAATTCTGCTCCGCGGCACATTGCTCCAGCTTGTAGTAGACGCCGTTCACCTCCCACGTCAGCTTCGCCAGCTCCGCATCCCGATGATCAGACCACCTCCTCGGGCTCTGTCGAAGTCCGTACATGGCCTTGTCGATCAGCCACAGCTCGCCCGGCTCCGCATAGCCCAATCTGACCATGATGGTCGGAGGCCTCATCGCCACCAGGTTTTCCGGCTCCTTCTCCTCGTGCAAATCCGCATTGAGAAACGCAGACTTGATGTCCAGCGCAGACATAGTCCACTTCGTTTCCATCGCAACCTTGACCTGCAGGCGGATCGCCGTGATGTCCGTCCCACCCGCGAAGGTGTCGCCCTCCGCCTCCGTGTCCCGCGCCACGTGGTTCCCACAGACCACCAATCTGGTCTTCCTTCGGCCTTCACACTGAAGATCGCCTTGGCCGGCACCACAGACAGCTTGCTGCCCTTCTCTCGGATCATCTTCTCCGCCTCCCTGGGCGGCACCCTCCGTAGCGCCCGCTTCTCCGTCATCAGCGAGTCCAGCTCGGTCTTAATCGAGGCCGCCCAACCTTCCTTGTCGGAGATTACCTCATTCGGAGACACCATCTTCGTGTGCAAGATCTTCTCCGCCTCCGTCTGATCCGGAACCATCTGCTTCAGGTTCTCCTCCTCATCTCGCAGTTTCCGCACCATCCGGAAGGTCATCTCGGCGGTCCCTTCTTCATCTTCCAACATCCTCTCTTCTTCTTCCACGATGATGTGGCGAAGCAGCCGAATCCTCTCCGCGACCTTGTCACCACCACCATCGTCCATCCGAGCTGGATCACTCGTCTTCATCCTCATTCTCCTTCTCACACGGAGAGCCTCATCAAAGAGAGCATCTCCTTCTCGGTTCTCTTCCTCTTCATTAGCAGCTGCCCCCAGTGCACCCGGAACCTCCCCTTCTCGCAATCCGGAAAGCACCTTCGAAACGGCAACCACCTTCTGGTCCGCATTCAGCAGCACTGCATGCCCATGCGTGATGTCGTAGAGCGGCGCCAAGTACTTGCCCCTCTGGTTCTTCGCCTCGAAGGATTTCTGCTTCCAAGCCCTCTTGGGGACCACCACATCTTCGCCGAACTGATACTTCGGCTTGTGGCCCTTCAGATCATAGCTGAAGCGCACCTCCGAAACGTACCTGGCAATGCACGGCCACCAGACCGGATCCCACTTCGTCGCGATGATCACTCGCCTCATCATCGACTTCACCACTCCCACCGCTGCTTCAGCCCGACCATTTTCCTGCATTTGGTCCGGAGTCCTGGTGGACTTCCTGATGTCTCTCAGCCGACACCAAGCCGCCAGCTCCTTGCTCATAAATTCACCTACCTTGTCCGAGTGCAACCTCAGCACCAGGAATCCTTCCCTTCTCGATCTGATGTAGATCTCCTGGATCGCCGCCAAGACCTCCTTCCGATCCTTGGATTTGAGCGGGACCGTCATGTACAGCGTCTTCAGCGGGTGAGGCTCCTCCTGTGGCTCCGGAAGAATTGGCTGTTCCCGTTCCTCCGCCGCCCCGTCAACCTCAAAACCTTCCTCTGCGATCTCCTCTCCAGGATCCTCCTCCGGTAGTAGATCTTCTTCTGGTCCACCACTTCCTTCTTCTCCTCCGGGTTCTTCCCCAGGAAGCTCTTCTCCATCTGAGGTGTCTATTTGCGGCCATGTATACGCGGCCACCAACAGATACCTTTTGTCCTGGACCCCATCCACATCGGTGCCCATGATGAACGGCCCGGTGAGATCCACTGACAACACATTCCCAGCCGGGTGTCGCACCCGCCTATGCGGTCGGTCCCGCGCCGAGGCTTCCTGACAAACTCGGCAGTCCCGTCGAAAGGGCAGGTGGCCCATCTTCACGTGCTCCTCCCACGAGAGAGCCTTTACCTTCACCTTCGACTGACCGTCCACCTCCTTCCTAAGGCATCTCGCTAGCTCTCTCATCATCCCAGGAGCCCACCGCGCCAACGCCTTTGACGAGCTGAGCTTCTCCTCATCCGTCATTTCCCACCTTGGCTTTTCCACCTCCCGATCATGACGTTGAGCTTCTCCCTGATGTAGTCCGCAGATGCCTTTCTCCGGCCCTCTAAAGTCCATCGTTGTGCCCACCGTCGTAGGCTTCACCGCTCGTCCACCCCAGTCTCCTTGCATGAAGGTGACCTCCTTCAAATCATGAAGCTTCTCCAGGGTCTTCCACTCCGGGGTCCTCCACCACGAAGCACATCTCGGCTCGCCCTTGGGTTCCGCCGGCTAGAATTCCACCCCACCACCTTCGTTTTCTCTCGCCTTCGCCGTGATGTCCGCCAACAGGTAAATCAGGATGAAGCGGAACATCAACACATCATCTTCTCGGACAATCGCCTTCTCTCCCTCATCCATCTCCGGCAGGCCCCATCGATGCTCCATTGTTCTCACCGGACGTGGCCTAGTCCTGTTGAGCAGCGGGTAGAATCGCAGCACCGATCTCGTCCTGCAGTTCGGTCCCCCCACCACGGCCTTGACTCGGTCATCCAGAGCCAACCGTACCAGCCCGCTCATGAGCCCATTGTCCATGAGGTCATGGGTCTCGTCTCGAAGGATGTCGTACTCCAAGATGTCCCGCGGATCTCCACCCTGCTCCTTGTATGCCCTCGAAAGGTCAAACCCCTTCTCCGGACCCGCGAACAGGTGGACCATCGCTCCTCCCTTTTTCTCAAGCCTTCTCCTGCGGCTCCGATTCAGTCCCAGCGGTTTCCAATCCTCCGCCGGCTCCACCATCAGCCTTTGCTTGATCTCCTCCGGTACTTCGTCGAAAACCGGATGCAATTCCACCACCTTCTTCACGAAGTCCACCTCCTCCCTTCTCGAGAGCGACCTAACCTTGAAGCGGTTCACCCCCTCCAACTCATGGATCAGGCTAAGTGCCAGCTCCCTGGGTACTTCTGGGCACCCTTGACACATCACCACCGGTAGTTGCCCTCGTCCAGGATGTAGGATGGAGCAAGCCTTGCCGCTCCACTTGACCTTGCAGTTCAGGTCCTTCGTGAGCATTCCCATCGGGATTATCGGCTGGGTCTTCCGGTCCTCTGCGATGAGCGTGCCACCCGGGGTCACCTTCAGGCTGTAGGTTTCCCCAGCAGCCAACTCCACCGTCCGTTCCTCATAGCCCGAAACGTCCTCATCCTTCTCCACGGCCCGCAGCGGATTCGTTGCTCCAGAGTCCACCAGCCCTCGTACCCCGCCCACTTCGACCTTCGACAGTCTGACCTGTCGGATTCTCATCCTTTCTCTCATGCCGTCCAACTGCTTCTGCAAGTCGCTCAGCTTCTTCTCATCCTCCACCGGCGCACCGCTTCCCGGCGTCTTCACGTTGAGGCTCCTCAGCATCTTCGTGGCTTCCTGGAGCACGTCCTTCATGGTCCCATCCTCCTTCTCGCTTGATGCCGAGCTCGCCATTCCCGGAGAGTCCTCCTTTGTAGCTGCTGTAGTAGTCGCCGCCCTCGGGGTCGCTTCCCTGTTCCCCTCGGCCATGACCTCCTGCTTCAACTCCTCGTCCACAGCTACCTTCGCCGCCTTGGGCTTCCGATCCGGGTTGGGTTTGGCTACGTTGGCCACCGGGCAGTCCTTCCGCATGTGCTCGCTCGCCCCACACGACCAACACCTCATCTTCTCATCCTTCTGGTCATGGCTCCATCGGCATCCACGACCAAGCCTGCAGCCCTTTTCCGAAAGGAAGAACCTGCAAGGCTTCGCACTTTCTCCAGCCTTCTTCGTGTCCGGCTTGACGTCTGCCGTGTCCACCTTCTTGACGCGGGTGTCCACCTGCTGGCCCTTCGTCACCGGTGCCTTGATATCCTTCTCCAGATGGGCGATCGCTTCCACCTCCGACACCGCCTCATGCGAGGGGATGGAGTCCAGCTGCAGCGAATTCCTCGCCAAGGCCATCTTGAACGAAAGCTCCGGCTGCATCTCCACCACCTTCTTGACCATCTTGTTCAACGATCGAGCAAGCACCGTCGGGTCCGGAATGGTCACCCCAAGTTCTTGAGCTCGCTGCTTCCACCGCGTCCACTTCCGCAAGCTAACCACCAACGCTGCCAGGGTGTCGACCTGCGGGGGGTTCTCCAGGTTCTGCAAGATCACCGACTTCTCCACCAAGCCTCCAGGCTGATAGCTCGCCATGAGCTTGCACAAGATCGCGTAGCAACTCATCGATTTCGTTGCCACCATCTCTTCCCGAGCTCCATCGGGGAGAGCTCGAAGGAGTAATCCCACTGCTCGCCGTTCCAACCTCCTCCACCTCGCCTCCTGAAGCTCAGCGGGGTCCTTCGGCTGGAGTCGCAGTCGTTCCAGTGGCGGTGTTGCTTGGTACTTGGAGTACCAGGCTCTCGCCGATTCCACCACCTTATGCCACCACTGGTGTGAGGACTCACTCAAGTCCGCCATGATCGGCTCCAGGACGCAGATCCAATCACCCAAGTCGATCGGGGCGCTCTCTGGTCGGTACTCCACCAACTTCGGCAGCTCCATGGCGTTGTTCTTCACCATCTCGCTGTGGTCGTCGCCCCCCTCAGGTTTCTTCTGCTGGTCCAGCATCTGCTGCTGCATGGCCTGCATCCCTTGGACAATCTTCAACATAACGTCCAGCGATTGTCCAGGTCCTGCTCCCGGCTGATCCGCACGGAGCTCCGACGATTCCTCCTCCTGTTCACCAGGTTCAGCTTGACCCTCAGGGGTTCCATGCTCCTCCGGGGTTGCAAACCTGTCACTTTGATCACCACCTCGCCCCTGACCAGGTTCCGGCTGTTGCCACCTCCGCTGCAGATCATTGACCTGGCTTACGCAGCTCCCAACTACCTTCCTCAGCTGCTGGTTATCAGCTACCAGCTGCATCATGTAGTAGCGCATCTCCTGCATGGGATCTGGCCATAGAGCAATTCCTTGACCACCACCAGGTCCTCCATGTCCTTGAAGAACCACTTGCTGCCCCATACGCTGATCTTGCCATTGGGGAAGCCGTGGGCCTCCAGCATATCCTCCTGGTGCTGGTAGAGCACGCTGTAGAGCTGACCATTGATCTGGCCGTGGACCTTCCGCCAGTCCTCCAGGTACCGGTAGAGCCAATTGCTGTGATGCCATCGCCATCTCTCTGGCCTCCACCATGCCCTCGTTGGACCTCTCAATGTAGTCCGGAAATCCTCCTCGGTCACCGTCTCCAGGACTCGCATTGATCAGCGGTGCCTCATCAGTCCACTCGTCCAACCTCCTCATCTGTTGGGGTGTGAACAGCGCATTCCGCCCAGGTCCAAGCTCCTCTGGTTCTCCTTGAGGACCATCCGGCCATAGTGCCGCCGTCTCCGCCTCCACCGAGCCGTCCGGCCTTGCCACCATCGTAGGTCCTCGATCTTCTTCCGCCTCCAGGGTGGGTCTGCCGTGGCTGCCAGACCCCTTGCCTGCGGCTTCGTTCGCCTCCAAGGTCCTGGTTCTTCTCTGTCTTCCACCTCCAGTCGCCATTGCGTCGGCGCCGTGGTCACGACCTTGGGCTCATAACCTGTGAATCAGGCAGCTGCCCATGGCACACTTTTCCGTGTGCCTCGATCCAAAAGCGGCTTCCATGCCACCGGTTTGTGCGTGTTATCCTTGCTCAGGGGGCCACTGATGGGGTACCCCTTTTTCAAACTGAAAACCTGCACTTTCAACCGTTTTTAAAACCGGTGGGCATATATTTGTCAAGGACCGCCACGTTCCGACGTCCTGGAATGGCAGCTTCCAAGCCCAAACAAAATCACCTTCGCAGCACTAAATGTTGTAGAGGGCTCACTTCCTGGGTGGATTGGCCAAACAAATCTAGACTTGTTGCTTGCTTACCACAAAAATGGTCTTCCATGTCTTCCCCCCCAAAAAAAAAACCAAAAACAAACAACTCCAGGAACTCAGGGAGTGAGGGCTTCATTCATCTCAGCTGCGAGGTGGATGTTGTTCGCTGTACTTAGCGCAACCTTTGATGCGTCTAGCCGAGTCTAGCCTGTATAGCCGTGCCGGAGCTATTGGAGAAGCGGCGAAGGCGACGTCCGGGATTCTCAAAACAAGTTGCAAGGGGCGACCGAAGAAGAGCAAGCGTCTCTAGGCCTGTGAGAAAAGTCGGAGGCATTCCGCCCCTGCCAAATCATCCTATTGTGAGGGGCCCAAGGAGGGGACGCTAGAAATGGTCTCTATTAGTCTATTAGTCTCTAGTATACTGGTCGCTAATAGACTGGTCTCCAATAGACTGGCCTAGGTTGGTCTGTCTATTAGTCTATTAGCCCCCAGACTCTATGAGTCTCGGAGTGCCTGTTGGGATTGGGGGCTTCCAATGGTACCTTGTATTTGGATCGGCCTGTCCATGCGGAGCTGCAAAGCTTCGTCGTTCTGCTCCACACGTCTTCCTCAGAAGCGGGAAGTTGGGAGGCTTATCCGGCACTGGGTATTAAATTGGGTGTTACCCTCCCGCCAATTAACTACAAGGAAAATTGTCGCCCAGGATTTCCCCCCCCCCTGTCAGATTCCATGTTAATTGGTGGCAGGGTCAGTAGGCTGGAACAACCACCCCCTTGTTGTTTTTGACAATTATGTGCGATTGATAGCACACCTGCCTGGACAAATAAGAAATTATGTTCAGTAGTGCTACATTCCTTCTAAATAAAACCAACCACGGGTAAAAAAACAAACATATATTCATTTCAGCAAATGGAAGTGGCACGCCTGACTGATGGGTCCTGGAAGGCTAATTTCCTCTAAAAGGGACCCTCTGGTGGGTTCCATGAGGGTAGCGCACAAAAAAAGGGCACAAAAGAACACCACAAACCCAAACCTGTCCCAGAAACTCGCGAGGAAAAAATATATCCACTTTTCTAACGATAATAAAACACAAAAAAAACCACCGGCGACCAGCCAACTGGCGGGCCGAGCATCTGAGGAAGTCGGAGGTGGACTGGCGCTTCAGTCGCGTCTTTGTCTTGGGATCCTGCGCGTGGAATGAGCACGGGCAGCACGGCTTAAGAGCCCAGGAGTTTTATGGCCATGGGTCAAAATCCCGGTTAGCCCCCAGTGAACATCCCAATCCCCCAAAATGGTACCATTGGTTTTGACCACCAAAATGACCACCATAGGTTGCCCAAAGAGGGTGTTTCCCCAAAAGGAGTTTCCTTTGAACCGGTTTGCTTTCTTGGGGTGCCATGTTGATCTGCGGCATATACTAGCCCCCCCCCCCAAAAGGACCAAGGGAGCCAAACCCCCTAGACAAGAGAAGTCAAAAACGCGTCCAGCCTTTAGTTTGATCTTCCCCCAAAAGTGGCTTGGCCTGAGCAGAGGATACAACTCCCCCGAGGTCATCAGCAGCTTACGACCTGTGGTAAACCTCCAGGGGAAGCCAACCAATTGTTCAAGGTCGTCTGGCTGCGCAAGAATGCGCTACGCATCCTTTTGGTCAAAATAGGTAGCCCGTCATGAGGACCAAACTGAAACCAATCCAGATAATGTTTTCAGCCAACCTTCCCCTGAAACGACACCCATGCTCAGCACTATCAGCCAAAACGCCTGACCCAAATGTCGCTTCACATGAGTTTCCAAGCGCCTTTGCCCAATCGAACGTTGCACATGTTGACAGGTTCCCGTAGAGTGTCGCGTGTCGAACAAACCCTCCAAGCAAACATCTTGCGTCCGCGCGGCCAGGCCCCTCATGAAGTCTGTCTTCCTGACAAGACTCCGGGAGAATCCAAACGGTGTGCCGCCGAAAGCGAGGTGCCGCCACCGAATGCGAGGCGCCGTCGGATTCTTCCCTCTCAACCAAGGGCTGACTGTATCCCTGACGGTCTACCCGGGTTTTTATTCTGGGATCACTTCAAACGCGCTGGGAAACATGCCCCACCCTACCAACTATTGCAGGCGTACAGTCTGGAGGCATCTCAAAGCACCCTGAGCACATGATGGTGCTCCTTTGCGCAAAAAGCCACCCACATCCAGCCGCTTAATGTCCAGAGGAGTACCCCAAAGTCTTGGATTGTTTCTGAAGTCGGGACATCTGCGCCAATACATCAACCACCAATGAGGTTCCTAACGGCTGCCAAGCTTCTCAATGACACCCCCGTCGGGGCTTGGCAGGGCGATGTTGGCAAACACGCCTGCCGCTTCAGCGAGCAATGTGGCTTCTTGAAACAAGGCGCCATCGAGTGGATGGCCCATAAAAAGTCCGAACCATCGTTTACCACCAAAAAGGCCTTCCCATGTTTAACGTCCAGGAACTCGGGAAGTGAGATTGCGACTTGCACCTCGGATCGGAAAGCGCTTCATGTGATTGGGGCCAAATGCCGGAGCGTCACAATCTTTTGACTTCTCCTTTCCATCCTCAAAAGGAGACGCTTTTCGAATCGACTTCCCTGACTTTTTTCCCGCACGCGCGCCTTTCAAGACGAGGTAAATGCTGAAGGCCTGCACATGACGGACTGTTGTCGTTGTCGTCGTTGTGGTTGTGGTTGTGGTTATGGTTGTGATTTTAATTTGGTTGTTGTTGTTGTTGTTGTTGTTGTTGTTGTTGTTGTGGTTGTGGTTGTGGTTGTGGTTGCGGTTTTGGTTTGTTGTTGTTGTGGTTTGTTGTTGTTGTGGCTTGTTGTTGTTGTTGTTGTTGTTGTTGTTGTTGTTGTTGTTGTTGTGGTTGTGGTTGTGGTTGTCGTTGTCGTTGTCGTTGTCGTTGTCGTTGTCGTTGTCGTTGTCGTTGTCGTTGTCGTTGTTGTTGTTGTTGTTGTTGTTGTTGTTGTTGTTGTTGTTGTTGTTGTTGATGTTGTTGTTGTCGTCGTTGTTGTTGTTGTTGGTGTTGGTGGTGGTGGTGTTGTTGTTGTTGTTCCCCACATCTTGTGTGGGGTTCTTACTTTTACCGCGCCGCGCCCGCCGTCCGCCGTCCGGCCCCGCCGTCCGCCGCCCGCCCCGCCGCCCCCGCCGCCCACTCACTCACACTCACTGTCTCACACTCGCTCACTCACACTCACTCTCTCACAGTCACTCACACACACTCACTCACACACTCACTCACACACACTCACTCACACACGCTCACTCACACTCACTCACACTCACACTCACTCACTCACTCACTCACTCACTCACTCACTCACTCACCCACTCACTCACTCGCTCACTCACCTGAAGCTTGTGTTTGTGTAGCAGGGGCAGCATTTGGCAGCTGTCTAAGGGGATGGGATGTTGTCGCGCGCGCGGCGGGGCGCGCGAGATCGTGGCAGGCCGCAACTTGCCCAAATGCCGGCGCGAGTCGTGGCAGGCGCAGCATTCTGTGCATCTGGTGTGTGCTGCGTGGCAGGGAGCTTGGCATTTGGCTGTCTAAAGGTAAAGAGGAGCTGGGATGTTTGGCACGGACGCGCGCTTCTCGCAGAATCGTGGCAGGCGCAGCACTTTGGAGATGCCACTGCCGAAGTCGTGGCAGGCGCAGCATTCTGTGCATCTGAGCGTGTGTTTGCTTGGCAGGGGCAGCATTTGGCAGCTGTCTAAAGGGATGGGATGTTGTCGCGCGCGCAGCTCGGGGCGCGCGAAATCGTGGCAGGCGCAGCACTTTGGAGATGCCATTGCCGAAGCCGTGGCAGGCGCAGCATTCTGTGCATCTGAGTGTGTGTTTGCGTGGCAGGGGCAGCATTTGGCAGCTGTCTAAAGGGCTGGGATGTTGTCGCGCGCGCGGCCCGGGGCGCGCAAATTCGTGGCAGGCGCAGCACTTTGGAGATGCCATTGCCGAAGTCGTGGCAGGCGCAGCATTCTGCGCATCTGAGTGTGTGTTTGCGTGGCAGGGGCAGCATTTGGCAGCTGTCTAAAGGGCTGGGATGTTGTCGCGCGCGCGGCCCGGGGCGCGCGAAATCGTGGCAGGCGCAGCACTTTGGAGATGTCATTGCCGAAGTTGTGGCAGGCGCAGCATTCTGTGCATCTGAGCGTGTGTTTGCGTGGCAGGGGCAGCATTTGGCAACATCTAAAGGGATGGGATGTGGTCGCGCGGCGCGCGCAGCTCCGGGGCGCGCAGGAACGTGGCAGGCGCAGCGCTGGAGATGCCGCGAGAGTCGTGGCAGGCGCAGCATTCTGTGCATCTGAGCGTGTGTTTGCGTGGCAGGGGCAGCCTTTTGCTTGGCTTGTCTAAAGGGCTGGGATGTTGTCGCGCGCGCGGCTCGGGGCGCGCAGAATCGTGGCAGGCGCAGCACTTTGGAGATGCCATTGCCGAAGTCGTGGCAGGCGCAGCATTCTGTGCATCTGAGTGTGTGTTTGCGTGGCAGTGGTAGCATTTGGGAGCTGTCTAAAGGGCTGGGATGTTGTCGCGCGCGCGCGGCTCTGTGCGCGCGAAATCGTGGCAGGCGCAGCACTTTGGAGATGCCATTGCCGAAGTCGTGGCAGGCGCAGCATTGTGTGCATCGGAGCGTGTGTTTGCTTGGCAGGGGCAGCATTTGGCAGCTGTCTAAAGGGATGGGATGTTGTCGCGCGCGCGGCTCAGGAGCGCGCGGAATCATCAACGAGCGACATAGGGAGGATGCCACTGCCGAAGCACCAGGCACAGACGATGGCAGGCCAAGGCCTTCAAATGTTTGCGTGGCAGAAATTGGCATTTTGGCAACATCTAAAAGAGGCTGGGATGTTGCAGCGCGCGCGGCCGGAGCGCCTCAAAGAATCGTGGCAGGCACGGCCTTTGGTGATGCACCGCGCCGAGGTCGTGGCGGGCGCGGCATTCTGTGCATCTGAGCGTGTTTTTGCTGGCAGGGGCAACGTTTTGTGGCTGTCTAAAGGGGCTGGGATGTTGTCGGGCGCGCAGCTCGGGGCGCGCGAAATCGTGGCAGGCGCAGCTCTTTGGAGATGCCATTGCCGAAGCCGTGGCAGGCGCAACATTCTGTGCATCTGAGTGCGTGTTTGCGTGGCAGGGGCAGCATTTGGCAGCTGTCTAAAGGGCTGGGATGTTGTCGCGCGCGCGGCCCGGGGCGCGCGAATTCGTGGCAGGCGCAGCACTTTGGAGATGCCATTGCCGAAGTCGTGGCAGGCGCAGCATTCTGTGCATCTGAGTGTGTGTTTGCGTGGCAGGGGCAGCATTTGGCAGCTGTCTAAAGGGATGGGATGTTGTCGCGCGCGAGGCTCGGGGCGCGCGAAATCGTGGCAGGCGCAGCACTTTGGAGATGCCATTGCCGAAGCCGTGGCAGGCGCAGCATTCTGTGCATCTGAGTGTGTGTTTGCGTGGCAGGGGCAGCATTTGGCAGCTGTCTAAAGGGATGGGATGTTGTCGCGCGCGCGGCCCGGGGCGCGCGAAATTGTGGCAGGCGCAGCACTTTGGAGATGCCACTGCCGAAGTCGTGGCAGGCGCAGCATTCTGTGCATCTGAGCGTGTGTTTGCGTGGCAGGGGCAGCCTTTGGCAGCTGTCTAAAGGGCTGGGATGTTGTCGCGCGCACTGACGCCGGGGCGCGCGAAATCATTATGAGCGCAACGCCCCAGAATGCACCGTTTGCGAAGTCGTGGCAGAGCGCAGCCTTCTATGCATCTCAGCGTGTGTTTGCTTTGCCAGAGACGGCATTTGGCAACATCTAAAGGGATGGGATGTTGTCGCGCGCGAGGCCGGGGGGCGCAAGATGCGTGGCAGGCGCAGCACTTTGGCGATGCCGTTGCCGAAGTCGTGGCAGGCGCAGCATTCTGTGCATCTGGGTGTGTGTTTGTGTGGCAGGGGTCGCATTCGGCAGCTGTCTAGAGGGACAGGATGTTGTCGCGCGCGCGGCGGGGGGCGTGCGAAATCGTGGCAGGCGCAGCTCTTTGGCGATGCCATTGCCGAAGTCGTGGCAGGCGCAGCATTCTGTGCATCTGGGTGTGTGTTTGTGTGGCAGGGGCAGCATTTGGCAGCTGTCTAAAAGGCTGGGATGTTGTCGAGCGCGCGGGCGCGCAGAATCGTGTTGAGCACAACGCTGGTGATGCCGCCGAAGTCGTGGCAGGCGCAACGTTCGTATTGCATCAGCGTGTTTTGCAGCGGCAGGAGACCAGCGGCAACGTATCTAAAGAGGGCTGGGATGTTGTCGCGCGCGCAACGGGGGGCACTGAAATCGTGGCAGGCGCAGCTCTTTGGAGATGCCATTGCCGAAGTCGTGGCAGGCGCAGCATTCTGTGCATCTGAGTGTGTGTTTGCGTGGCAGGGGCAGCATTTGGCAGCTGTCTAAAGGGCTGGGATGTTGTCGCGCGCGCGGCTCGGGGCTCGCGAAATCGTGGCAGGCGCAGCACTTTGGAGATGCCATTGCCGAAGTCGTGGCAGGCGCAGCATTCTGTGCATCTGAGTGTGTGTTTGCGTGGCAGGGGCAGCATTTGGCAGCTGTCTAAAGGGATGGGATGTTGTCGCGCGCGAGGCTCGGGGCGCGCGAAATCGTGGCAGGCGCAGCACTTTGGAGATGCCATTGCCGAAGCCGTGGCAGGCGCAGCATTCTGTGCATCTGAGTGTGTGTTTGCATGGCAGGGGCAGCATTTGGCAGCTGTCTAAAGGGCTGGGATGTTGTCGCGCGCGCGGCTCGGGGCGCGCGAAATCGTGCCAGGCGCAGCACTTTGGAGATGCCGTTGTCGAGTCGTGGCAGGCGCAGCATTCTGTGCATCTGAGCGTGTGTTTGCTTGGCAGGGGCAGCATTTGGCAGCTGTCTAAAGGGCTGGGATGTTGTCGCGTGCGAGGCTCGGGGCGCGCGAAATCGTGGCAGGCGCAGCACTTTGGAGATGCTGTTGCCGAAGTCGTGGCAGGCGCAGCATTCTGTGCATCTGAGTGTGTGTTTGCGTGGCAGGGGCAGCATTTGGCAGCTGTCTAAAGGGCTGGGATGTTGTCGCGCGCGCGGCTCGGGGCGCGCGAAATCGTGGCAGGCGCAGCACTTTGGAGATGCCATTGCCGAAGTCGTGGCAGGCGCAGCATTCTGTGCATCTGAGTGTGTGTTTGCGTGGCAGGGGCAGCATTTGGCAGCTGTCTAAAGGGCTGGGATGTTGTCGCGCGCGCGGCTCGGGGCTCGCGAAATCGTGGCAGGCGCAGCACTTTGGAGATGCCATTGCCGAAGTCGTGGCAGGCGCAGCATTCTGTGCATCTGAGTGTGTGTTTGCGTGGCAGGGGCAGCATTTGGCAGCTGTCTAAAGGGCTGGGATGTTGTCGCGCGCGCGGCCAGGGGCGCGCTAATTCGTGGCAGGCGCAGCACTTTGGAGATGCCATTGCCGAAGTCGTGGCAGGCGCAGCATTCTGTGCATCTGAGTGTGTGTTTGCGTGGCAGGGGCAGCATCTGTTTAAAGGGCTGGGATGCGGCTCGGGGTGCGCGAAATCGTGGCAGGCGCAGCACTTTGGAGATGCCACTGCCGAAGTCGTGGCAGGCACAGCATTCTGTGCATCTGAGCGTGTGTTTGCGTGGCAGGGGCAGCATTTGGCAGCTGTCTAAAGGGATAGGATGTTGTCGCGCGCGCGGCTCGGGGCGTACGAAATCGCGGCAGGCGCAGCACTTTGGAGATGCCATTGCCGAAGTCGTGGCAGGTGCGGTATTTTGTGCGTGGCAGTGGCAAGGGCAGCATTTTGTGTATCTGGGCGCGTGTTTGCGTGGCAGGGCAGCATTTACCAACATGCATTGTTCAGCAGCCGTTTCCCCGGCAATTTCTTCAGAGGCTAGTTGTTGCGCACACAGTGCAGGCTGGCTTCAGATGCAATCAGTTGCCGTGTTGTGCGGGGTGATTGAAGCCATGTTTCCGCTTTGCTTGATGACTAGACAGTGCTGTTGCTCTCTGACGCTCGGATTATTGGCTCGGGAGAGCAAAGCGGCCAGTGTTAGTGTGATACATGTATCTTTGCTTTCCAAGTCGTTTGCTGTTGACATCTGCTTTGCATGTTCAATCACTAGGCTTCTTAGACTCTACAGCTTTGCTAGTTTCAGCAGCACGGCCTAGCACTGCCATACTTCTTGGACAACATCCTGTTCCTGTCGGCGTAAGATGCCGATCGAGCATCACTACAACACATGGCGAGCGTGTTTCAGCAAAGCTGGTACGCGAGTTCGGGGTCCAGCGCGAACTTCGCGCGGAGAAGCAGAGATGGACCTGGCTTGTTTGCAAGATGCATGACCGGCGCCCTGCCCTTGAGAGTCACTGCTATATACTTGTTGATGAGACAGTTTTGCAAGGCTCTCTTGATCTCCAAGATCCCGCGGCCATAGCTCAAGAACCTCAGAAAGGCAGGACCTGACTGTTGAGAAGCCCGCGGCCATTCCAGCATGTTCAGCGAACTGTACCTGGCCGTGCCAGAACACATCATCGAGCCGCACTTCAGGACACCCCAATCGAAAGATTCGGACGCGTGGATGATATGGAATTTGCTTGCACTGCTTGCATCTGCGGTCGCGGGAGCGACCTATATACGCTTGTAGAACCAGCTGCAATGCAAAGAAGCCCGCAGAAATGGGGTTCCGCTCTTGGAAGGCTTTCGTCTTGAAGTACTTAGCGCGTCACAGCGCGGGATGCATGGGGCCAGGCTGGCAGATACATGCTGCGCCTGACGCGTTGGCACTTCAAGCCATATGTTAAACATACGCCGCTGACATATGCCATTGGCGATGCCAATGCGACCCCTCGATCTGCCAGAGCGAAAAAACAAAGTGCTGAGAGTTTTCGACATAGCTGAGTGCGTGAAGGTTTTGCATGTGAGGGTCTCTGCATGTCTCGGATTTGGGATTATTCGCTGCTCGGCAGATGCAAGTGTCGCATACTTCAATAAGCATAGACTTGTGGGGTCATCCGGCACTGTTGTTGTTGTTGTTGTTGTTGTTGTTGTTGTTGTTGTTGTTGTTGTTGTTGTTGTTGTTGTTGTTGTTGTTGTTGCTGTTGCTGTTGCTGTTGCTGTTGCTGTGCTGCTGTTGCTGTTGCTGTTGCTGTTGCTGTTGCTGTTGCTGCTGCTGCTGCTGCTGCTGCTGCTGCTGCTGCTGCTGCTGCTGCTGCTGCTGCTGCTGCTGCTGCTGCTGCTGCTGCTGCTGCTGCTGCTGCTGCTGCTGCTGCTGCTGCTGCTGCTGCTGCTGCTGCTGCTGCTGCTGCTGCTGGTGGTGGTGGTGGTGGTGGTTGTGGTGGTGGTGGTTGTTGTTGGTTGTTGTTGTTGTTGTTGTTGTTGTTGTTGTTGTTGTTGTTGTTGTTGTTGTTGTTGTTGTTGTTGTTGTTGTTGTTGTTGTTGTTGTTGTTGTTGTTGTTGTTGTTGTTGTTGTTGTTGTTGTTGTTGTTGTTGTTGTTGTTGTTGTTGTTGTTGTTGTTGTTGTTGTTGTTGTTGTTGTTGTTGTTGTTGTTGTTGTTGTTGTTGTTGTTGTTGTTGTTGTTGTTGTTGTTGTTGTTGTTGTTGTTGTTGTTGTTGTTGTTGTTGTTGTTGTTGTTGTTGTTGTTGTTGTTGTTGTTGTTGTTGTTGTTGTTGTTGTTGTTGTTGTTGTTGTTGTTGTTGTTGTTGTTGGAGCAGTCGCCCGATGCGATGGCAACCCCGGACTAGCGACTTTCAGGATTGGGAGAACCTTCCTCATGAACCTGGGGCCTATTCCGAAGCTTCTCAGACCTCTGGATTCGGACGGACTGCCGACAAGTCTCTCGCCTGATCGTTGCCTCAGCCGCGCGCTAAGGTGCACGCCGGTGAAAAGAGGAAGATCCAAAAAGAGTGGCAGGGTAGACATTGGGTCCTCTCTTCAGGTTTCCCCAATTGGATTGCCCTGGTTCTTGTAGGGGAGAACGGGAAACCAATCCTTAGCCTCAGCACCAAATCCACCACCACCTGTGAAACTGATCTTCCGGGCGACCACAAAAATTACCCGGGTTCTCAGCTTCATTCACCTGGTAGAACATGCATCGGGCAAGCATCACTTCTTTCCCTTCCGGCCAAACTGAGACGCGACGCCGGAAGAAAACAATTAAACAAGCTATCTGATTCCCCAGATAGCTGAAAGCTATAGGGGTTCTAACTTCTAATAAAGAGGAGAAAGTCGATTTGCGAGATTGACGGCTGGGCGCTAGGGGGCATGCAGTTTGGGGTCCTGGTGCTGGTGCTGTTTTTGGGTGCTGGCGCAGGCGCCGTTGGAGGTGCTGGATGCAATCCCGACCAGTTTTTTACGCTATTTGCAGTCTATGCTGGTGTATTTCTTTTACTACCTGAATGTGCTCGTTTCGCACTTCGATTTCTGCCCGCTCCTTTCAGCGACCGACATCTAGGACCGATCACCCCGGTTTTGGGGAAAACCCTCGAAGCAGCAAAAAGTGTATGTTTACTATATTTTGGTGACGACCCCTAGTTTTGCAATGCGGTTGGGCTAAAGGCAGGAATTTAGGTAACGAAGGTTGCTCCAGGTATAACTCCAAAATCTGAACGAAGAATCGGATCCCCAAACAAAATACATTTCTCATGGCTTTGATTCGTTGCTCACCCCGAATCGGGTGGCACCGCTCACGTCATAGACTCGGCAGAAGCTATATGCGCCAAGCAGCAGTGGTAGACCACCTGTTTTCGCTCAAAGTCCTGGGCTGCAGTGAAGTGACGGACAAAGTAGTCCGTTTACAACTTGGTGCTCAGGGTCCAACAAGCGCAGGGAAAACAAAGCTCAAGGAAACTCAAGAGAAACCCACTTGACCCAACCCTGGACACTCGCAAAAGCACATTTTGAGGACCGCAGTGGACCTTCCACAACAAGTGGAACAAGCCAAACTGTGTGACTTCACCCTCAAGCTCTATCCTTTTGTCACTTCAGTGAGAAGGGGGCCACCTCCAGATCTTCGCTTAGCCAAAGCCCCGACTACCCCCAGACCCGAGTAACGTTAACCCCGGATGAATAAAGCTGTCCCACTTTTTCGGGGGGTGGTCCCTCCAAAAGTGGTCTGAATCCCCACCAAAAGGGGACACCCCCCTATTGATCAACCTTGGGTTCTAGGTAGATCCGGGCTCAACATTACCTCACTTCCTGAGTTGATGGGCCAAAAAAAGTTCAAACTGTCTGCTTACCACTAAAATGGTCTTCCAAAAAGTTTAAAGTCCAGGAACTCAGGGAGTGAGTTACCTCTCTCTCAAGCGCCGAAGGCGCGAGGACCTCCAGGTGCAGAGCCAAGATCATGTAGAACCGCGGCGGCAGCCCGTGACGGAACTTCCCCCGGCACACCGTGAGGAACCTACACAAAAGCATTAACGCAGGCGGGAAGCCCACGGCAGGTTTTACTTTTTGTTTTAATATATATATATATATATATATAGTTTTTTTTTGTTTAACTGTTTGTTTGTGTGTGTTGTTTTTTACACACAATTCCGGGTTTTACGCCTTTTTGTTGGCTTGTTCTTTTGGTTTGTGTGTGTGTTGTTTTTTACACACAATTCCGGCCAGGGGCGGGGGCGATTGTTGTTGCTCTTTGTGTGGTGTTCAAGGGAAACCAAGAGGAAAAGCATTGTCTTGGGGCGTCCCCTGAGAAAATAACAGACGGTGGGGGGGAAAGGCGAAAGGACCCCTGGCCTTTCTGGTCGAGGTCCAACCTTTTCTTTCCATGCCCTTGGGGCTACTGAGACAGATCGGGTCAAATGTTCTCTATTGAAAATCCGACACTGGGCACGAGCAAGTTTTTCGAAGCGGGTGCAACCTGGTCCTACTCAATTTTTCCGGGTCCATTAAACAGTGCTCCTTGGGGGATACAAGCAGGCAAGCGTAAGTGTTGGCTTTACCGTCTGAGTTACAGGATCTGTTTGTAAAGCAGCAAATCTTTCCAATGAACCCTTTGAGCAAGCCTGTCAAAGTGAACACTCTTGAACGGTTCTCAGATTTACTCTTGGGACCCGGAGATTTTCTTCAAACCAGTTGCAGGTGGTAAGGGGCCACCTGAGCGCACCTGAGCGCATCAGCGCATCAGGGGGCTAAAGAAGCGGAGGGGTCCTCCCATGTGTCCCTTCATGGAAAGCACATGGCTTGCGGTCACCCCGGAAAGTGGCAACGCTCCCATCTCGGGTGGTTGTTACGCACAAAGGACCCTAATCGGCATGGGGATGAAAGGACAGCACGGGAGAAATGTGCGCGCGATCAGCTCACTCTGCGCTTTTGCTTGATGCAGGATGCTTGTGCAAATCAGCAGCCAGGCAATTGTTGGTTCATGCTGCGGATGCGTACTGGCAATGTCCCACCCATGGAACCGTCCAGCAACAACACCACTCCTTCCCTTTGAGCTGTTCAACATGGCTTCCGTTTGCTTTTTCGCCCCATGGTTTTGCTTTTTCGCCCCATGGAAAAATGAGAAGAAAAAAACAGTCTGGTAAGTAGTGATAGATTCCCAATTAAACCAACAGGGGGCAATAACAAACTATTATTTCAGCAAATGGAAGATGGAGGGCTGACATTCCACTCCGAACTTCCTTCCCAATTCACACGCCGCTACTTCCCGCGCCCCTTTCGGACGCCAAGGAAAGGCGGGATTGACTTTGAAAAGTCCAGTCAGGGGCACCCAAGGGCTGCATCTCACTTGGGATGCCAACTAGTTTGTTCGTCAGGGATCTCTTCCGAAATCAGCTGGTAGTCATGTGTTTGACGAATTTCCAGAGAAATGTTCCATGCAAATCAAGATGGAACCCAAAAGCAGCTTCCTCCACCAATGATGAGTTCATTCCATATCAATCTGGAGATCCAGTCTTGATTCGCGACGCCTGTTGGACATGAGTCTGCCGGAGAAGAGCGCGGAAGGCAACTGATGGACCTCGAAGGCTGTGGCTGAGGCGCGAATCCATGGCCGATTGGCAAAGGCCTTGTCAAGGGTTAATACGGAATAGCTCCCCCCCCCCTACACATTGCCAGTGTGGGAGTCCATGATGTAACGACCCCCTCTGCGACAATCCACCGCTTACTCAGGAAGTGGATGGCCCCAATAAAGTCCAAAAACTGCTTGTGTACCACTAAAATGGTCTTTCCAAGAAGAACAAAGTCCGGGAACTCAGGAAGTGAGACTGTTTCCCAAAAGTTCAAGTTCAAAGGTCCAAGCAAAAAGCCATAGAGGTCCATGGGAAAAAGTTGGTGGTTTGTTGGCGATCCCCTCCGCAACAAAAAAAAAAACGGCACAGGCCTGGAAAGGTCAAGTCCGGCGGGACAAGCCGAGTCAAACAATCCCAAGCTCATCAAACTCTTCGAAATATTCATGGATGGTGCCCCAAAATCACAGGGGGAGAAAAACATGAATCTTTAGGGTTTTCCCCATGAGGGTGATCAAATTCCCCCCTTGCGCCTTCCTGAGGAAGCAAACAAGAAGTCGGGTGTCAAACGGGTCCATTCAAATCCTCATCGGGCCCTGGGACCCCGTGCAAGACGGCTGGGCATACGCCCGTTGGTCAGAATCTCCCGCATCCACTCCTGGCGGTCAACTCGGCTGTGGGCATCACTGGCAACTGCCCGGCTCGTTTCGCACCAGCGTGTGCGCCGTTCGCTGCATGTTGGTAACAGCATCTCCGGAAGGTGATTTTGGTGATGCCAACGGATGGCAAGCGCATGTTTTAGAGACTCCGCTGCGCAAAGGACCTGGGGTATGATGCGCCATTGTGGTTGCTCCCTGAGGCTCCGACCCGGTCCCAGTCGTGCTTGTCTGCACGGCTCTCCCGCGCCCACCGCACGAGCCTAAGATCGCAAACAGCACTCTTCACAGCACTTATCCCGCACCCCAAAACCGTCCCCGAAAAAGGGAGACTCCTATACATTGTGTTTTTTTTTGGGGGGGTTCCTTCCATCAATCTGCGGGGGACTTCCTGTACCCTTGTCAAATGGTGGGTTGGCTCTTTCTTCGGTACCTCTGGCGCTCAAAACGGACCCCTTTTTCATGCCGACGGCCCGTCAGCACAACCACACACCAATTCACGAAGGCACATGAGCACGGTCAGAGTGTATACATTGAATTGACACTCACACCGCATCACCACGTCAATCGCCCCGTGAATTCGGCTCAGTCGTCATCCCTGCCACCGCCACCTTCACCGCCCTTGGGACCGCCAGCTTGCTTAGCCATGATGATCTGGTCAACCTGACGCAACGGACCTCTGCCCGAGGCACAAGTCTAGCTCAAATCATGGCCCTTCTGTCTGAAGCATCTTGGTTGGCAGCATCGCAATAACGGTTAAACTCAGTAAACCATGGTCATCATCCATGTTTCTGTTCGTCCATCCGCCCGTCCGCCCGCCCACTGCTCGTTCCCATGATTGTCGGGCCTTGAGAACGGTGAGGATGGCGTCCAGCGTGAACCGAATTGCCCACCTGGCACGACTTCTTTCGGCTTTGGATGCGCTCTTGGTGCCAAGATTTTCATTGAGTCGGGAGGCTCCCTGATAATTATCAGCCCAAAATAAAATATAAACGTGAAAGGTAGCCTACTCGAAACCCAGACAATGGAAGCAAACGTGGAACACCCCATGGTCAACCGTGTTGTGTAGCTACTGGAACTGTTTCCATGTTGACCCAGGACTACGGCTAATCTTCACTCTTTGGGGGCAACACCCCCTAAAAATCCACTAGCCTCTGATTAGAACATTGCCACAGTTTGTGTTTTTCAGGCTACCCTTTTTCAACGTGGTTTGAATGGAAAGCAACCATTGGGATCCAAACCACGTGTTTTGACACGTACCCAGCAGTTGGCGGCCAGCACCCCGCCCACCAAAGGAATACATGACACAACCATGCTAAGACTCTTCGTTTCGCAGTGGGTTTCCACCCAACCATTTTTGCCCCCCTAATTTGACTCACATACCGTAGCCCTTCGGGTGCATTCTAAAATCTAGAAAAGGGTTTGGATGCGCTTTTTGCGGGCTTTTGTGGGTGTGACATGTTCTTCTCGCTGTGGTCCTTTCTTGGTGTGATTAAGGCATGAGCCTGTGCCTAGGCAATGGGTGCCACAGAAGAAAGGGCCCCAAAGTAACCAATCCCCAGTCCCAAAGTTCAGGCGTTCCAACGTACAAGCAACCAAGACAACCACGCAAAAACAACAAATGAGAAAAGGTTACCCACGGCCGAAGCCGACAACGAACCGCACGGAGTTACCAACCTGACAGCAGCCTGAGGCCTCTTTCTACCCCAAGAACCCGTCTGTCGAAGCAAGGGTCTGGCCACGCCCCTTCAAGGCCGCGACAGAACCGAACAACGTGAGCCAAATGTCATCGGACAGTCACCATCGCGACGCCGGATGACACCTGCAACACATGCTAATCACACTTACTGATCTTTGAGTGCTCTTCTAATACCCGGCCACAGATTCACCACATCCAAACTGCTTTCTCTTGCCGGTGCTCAGTAGGGGATGGAATTGGAATGACCCCTATAGCCTATAGATTCCATCCCCTATGAGTTCCTTTAAGGAAGCAAAAGAGCAGGTTCATGACATTTCTCATTCCCTATCGCAAGTAATCGCAAGCTCTGGATAAACAAAAACGCTTGGACGTAAGGGGACCCCCAGGTTTATTCCTTCATTCCCCATTTTCATCCAAACCTATTTCTGGACAAAATCGAAACCTTTTTTCAGGGACCCCTTTTGACCCTTTTAAAGGCGGGTATAGAAAACCATGGCCCCAGAAGACGGTTCGCCGCGCGCCACAGGCCGCAGGCCTCTTGGTTTCGCAGTGGTCCAAAATCCCCTTCTCCGCCGCGTTGCAGATCAGCGGGCCGTCCACGTCGATGCCCATTGCCTTCTCGCCCTTCTGGTGAGCTGCGTACAAGGCTGTGATGGCATCTACGTGGTTGTGCCCCGCGTTCTCCGCCAAAATCCTGGGTTGGGGGCGGGGGGTGCTCAAAAGATGCCATGTTTCGCCAGGTTTTTCTTGAGGTCTCAATTGTTGGGGGACCCGTGCAACACATGCTCTTCAACATCTGGTGGTTAGGACTACTCCTCCAGGCTTAAAAGATGCCAGTCTTGAGGTCTGATTTCTGGAGTGGTAGAGGGAAACGTCAAAGAGTGCAACACATGGCCCTGAAACATTGGTGGGTAGTCTCCAAGACTCACTGGATTCCCCTGCAAAAGTTGCCATGTTTTGGCAGAGCATACAAGATGCCAGGCCCCTCATCAGCATCACCAAAAGGAGGCGAATCTTTAAAATGGCAACAAGGTGTTTAGTTAGTCTCCAACACTGGATTTCTCCAGCAAAAGTTACACTGTTTTCAGAATTCGGATTTCCTGCAAAAAGTGTGGGCAAATGAGTGTTTCTCACAATGACGGACCCCTTGAGATGGGTGGTTTCCTTTTGGTTTGCCTGTGACACCATACTAAGAGGCGGCCACCTGCATTGGAGAAGCCAGACCGTCGCACAGCATTGTTCCTCCAAACTGGCTGGCTAGGCTCAAACTAGACACTTGTTACTCCCGACCCAGCATGAGTGGCAGTATAGGCGACAAACCACCTCCTCGTAAGAATACTCCTCTTGGCATGCAGAACAACCACATACAACCACCATAACCGCACTTCCCAAGTTGACTGGCTCAAAAAAAGTCCAAACTTTATATTTACCACTAAAATGGTCTTTCCAAAAAGTTTAAAGTCCACCAACTCAGGAAGTGAGTCAACAGCTGGCACACTTTGAACAAATGGCTTGAGACTTCTGTTCGTGCAGCACATCTGGGAGGCCCCCGTGGGCCTAAAACCAGAAGCTTGCGGCGCAAAAAACAGATGCCGCGCCGAAGCGGAAGCGTGCGGCACAGAAGGCCCCCGCCCCGAAAAGGCGGCGGTCGCAATTTTCAAGACCGTTTTTTCAAGGCCGGTTTCTTTTTTTTTTTTGGGGGGGGGGGGGCAGGATGTGTAGTTTTCCCCTGTCATGCAGAAAGGAACATGGTATGGGTTGACTTGTTCGGGATGGGGGAACTCCCCCCCTTGTGATAACCAGCGCCTCGCTTCCAGCCAAGGCGCTTTGGCACCACTTCCAGCGCCTGCACACTTTAAGATCGAGCAGTGTTGCTCCAAAATGACTGGTGCAAAGTTTAGAACAATGGCTTGAAGGACATGAAAGGAAACTAAAGGAAAGCTACAGGAAGGTCAAGCCATCTTTTCAAGGCCTGGCCTTAGGTAATCCTCAGCTTATACCTGAAACAACCAGTTCCTATGAATGGGCCTTCTTGATGGTAAATGGCAGTTTGGGAAGCCACCAATTGAAAGGTGCCGTTTCAGGTTCCAGGTAGGAGGGCATAGGCACATTGCTCTTAAAGGCCCGTCCTTGTGTACATGTTTCATGGTGTCCCTCGGTTCAACTGGTGCGAAGTAGCTTTCGCCCTTCAGCTCAGCACAAGCCCCCTCAGCGCACCAAACAAGCTGGGGTCCGAATGAGCCGTGCCTAAAACCCGTGGATGTTCGGTTGGATTAAAGATGGTTACAAAGGTTTAGTCGTCGTCCTCGCCATAGTGAGTGTTCAATAGGTCTGGACACATCAAACAACTGCCTTTCGTTGCCAATAACAACAACACAAAGGGCGACCTGGAGCACCAATAGGCGATTTGGGTGTGTCTTTTCTTTTGCGGGTACGTTTTCTTCTTCTGATTTTAAATGGAAAGCCGTACGAAACCCCACCATTTGGGGGCGCCAACCTAATGAATAGGTACACCCACTTACTTGCCGGTGCTCTGCAGAAAGAGGAGAAATCGAGTGACCCCTCAAAATTCCATCCCTTGCAGTTTCCTTTAAAGAGACCAAGGCCTGGGTTCATTCCCCACATTCCCCACTGATCGCACCCGAAAACCGCAAGTATCGCCACTCGCCAACCCAACGTCTCGACCCTTCCCATCTCTCGGATCCAGGGGGAGCCTCCGCGAACTTGAGCACGGCGTATTGGTCCAGCCCCGGCACCGTGGCGCCGAACTGCTGCAGCTGGTGCGCCAGCTCAATCTCTGTGGCCTCGGCGACGAGACGAATCCCAAGGTCCGGGTGATCGGGTGCCGGCTCGCGGACTGAGCCCGGGGTCCGCTAGCGGGGGATTCAAAACATGTTTTGGAGGGGAAACGCCCCATAGAAACGGTTTAGGAATCTGGGCTCATGCGCTGTATGGATACCCTTAAGACTGCAAGGGAACCAAAAGCATCCACAGAATCCTGGAAATCACATTGAATTCCAGGGTTCTGAGCTGTGCTGGGTCTATTCTAGTAAATCACCCTGAAAGTTACCCTCATGTTGGCTTCAACGGGAAAAGCCCCAAACAAAACTTTGAGAAGTTCAAGTTATGGGTCCCGATTTGCTGGACCAAATGGTTCGGGTGTTCCCCAGTTTAAAGGCTAGCGAAGCTGGACCAGTGTGAATTCTCTGCGACATCCCCTGCTAAACTTGGAGGAAGGATGGACATGCGCCCTACTCCAAATACCCTCTTTTTTCAAGGTATCATTTCGACCCTCTACTAAAAAAGGAGGCATTTACCACGGAAAACAAGGTTTTCCCAAAATGCCCTGGAAAAAAAAATGTATTTTGAGTAGGGGGTAATGATCTTTCCTCTTGCAGCCTCGCCGGGACATAGTGGCCAGGGGCTAAGGAAGCCAAACCTCTCACCCGGCCAAGAGCTGAGAAAGCCCAGCTTGGCGAACGTCTTGCCCCTGAAATGCCCTGGGAAAAGCGGCCATCTACGGATCTACGCAAAGCCACACACCAAATCTAGAAACCGGTCTGGATACTTTGGTGGATTCCCCTTTTCCCCTGTTCAGTACTCTTTTCCGCATTCTAACGCCAACATAGAGCAACCATGGGAGCAATGTAGGGTGGGAGGTAAGAGAAAAGTAGTCGTCTCAACCCATCCTGTCAGCTTCCGTGTTGGAAAAAGGGTCTCCAGATTTGGCGCATCCAACTGGACCCTCTCTCAGACCAGTGGCACCTGCGCCTGCCACAAATCTAGGGTTACGGGTGGTGCATCGCACCACGTTCACGGCGTTGTCCACAGCTCTCTCGAGCTCGTCCAGCATGTTAGGAGCCGCACTCCTATCAATCGGGGCGAACATTTCACCAACCTGACTTACGGTTCGCCCAGATCATCTGACTGCCCAAGGGCATGATTGAAATTCAAGCATTTGTGCAACAGCGCAACTCTCTGCAGATTTGAACTCACAGCGTAAGCAGTTGTGTAAGGGCAAGCCATGTGCTTTCACAAGGCAAAACAAAAACAAACCAGCCAGTCAGGTAGGTGCCTGGTCGCCTCCCCTATAGGTACCGGGAAGGGCACTGAACTCCCGAAGAGCCACGGATCTCAAGTGAGTTTTTGTCGCAGGAATCAGAGGGTTTCTTTCAGCCTTGGAGGCTTCTTGAACAAAACGGGCTGGCCACTCATCCTCTGCGCCCCAAACAATTCACAAAGAAGATGCTGTCAGGTTCCTGAAACGACGACCCGGAGACGGGAGACGCACCCTCTGCATCTGCCTCCCTCTACCTCCCTCTGCATCCATCTCCCTCCCTCCCTCCCTCCCTCCCTCCCTCCCTCCCTCCCTCCCTCCCCTCCCTCCCTCCCTCCCTCCCTCCCTCCCTCCCTCTTTCTCTCTTTCTCTCTTTCTCTCTTTCTCTCTTTCTCTCTTCTCTCTCCTTCTCTCTTTCTCTCTTTCTCTCTCTCTCTTTCTCTCTTTCTCTCTTTCTCTCTCTCTCTTTCTCTCTTTCTCTCTCTCTCTCTCTCTTCTCTCTCTCTCTCTCTCTCTCTCTCTCTCTCTCTCTCTCTCTCTCTCTCTCTCTCTCTTCTCTCTCTCTCTCTCGTTAAAATCAGTTGTTACTTTGCTTACAAGTGCAAGTGTTGTATTGTTCAAACAAACAGTCAACCAATGTAGTCTGCAGCTGCCAACCTTTTGACTCATGCGGAGTAGTAAGCTCAAGGCCTGCAGTAGTGAACATACATGCAACACGAGTGCAAAGTGAAGCATGTAGTTTGACGCGGCCCCTCAGTTCCAAGGTCTTTGTAGTACCTTTTCGACTGAAGTGCAAAACATGGATTGACAGTAGTGATGAAAACCATTGTTGTTCATCAATTCTACTGTATTGACAAAAGTAGTGACCTGCGCTCAGTAGTTCACGCTGTTCAGGTTCCAGCTCGATGTAGGGCGCTGGACGGAAGCAGTGAAGGCAGGCACTCGTTGTAGTAGAGCAGGAGCTCAAAAATGTAGTCCACATTTCTGGGTGCGGTAGGCTTGGACCATCTGTAGTCGACTGTCCAAGGTCGCATAGTAGTTGGTGGTGAAAAAGGTTGTCATGTAGTTTGGAGCTCCCCGTAGTCGCTCATCATCTATCTCGGGACACGACATGTGTTGGTCGTAGTCCCGTAGAAAGCGGTGTAGTAGTGCTTTGTGGTGTTGTGTGAGGTTTGTCATTGTGAGTAGTGTGAATCCATAGTATTGGATGCTTTTGCAGAGGATAGTAGTGATTGCTTTGTGCTGGAAGTCGTGTAGTTGGTCTCGGTTGTAAAGGTAGTGGAGTAGTTCAGGTAGAAGTAGTGGCATGTGGTAGTTCCAAACGTAGTTGTTCCTGAGGCTGTAGTTGTCAGTGAAGGTGGTCATGTTGTAGTTCACCTTGTAGATGGTCTGTGGCAGTGTTGTAGTCGGGAGGTAGTAGTTATGTTGTACCGACATCATGTAGGAGATGTAGTCTCTTGTGAAGTGTAGAAATTGTCCTGAAGTGAGGTACCTCAGGAGTAGTGGTTGTTCAATCTGGAGTTGGATGATGACGTAGTTGGTGTTGTCGCCAGTTGTAGTGTGGAGTGAAGTCGTGTGGTAGTAGTGGACGTTGGCTGCTTCAGGTAGTAAAACGCTGAGCAGTGTGGAGTTGTAGTGGGGCATCCGAAGATCTCCAGGGATGCAGTGAATGGGTCGCGTGTAGTCCAGTTGTGCCAGTGGAGTAGCCTGTTGTTGTGAAAGTAGTTGATATTCTTCAAGTGTGAATGCAGTGAAAAATTGAGTGTAGGGAATGTTGTCGGGCAGTGGTGGTGCAGCGGTTGTCTGGTGCTCAGTGATGTGTAGTTGGTCCATCACGGTGGTCGGGTTGTAGTAGACGGTGTTGCCGGGTGTAGAATGGTTGAAGTTGTAGTTGGAGTCGTTGTAGGTTTGAGGTGGTGGAGTTCCGTGGTCACTGGAGTCCGTAGTGACCGCCACCTCAGGTGTAGTTGCCCGGTCGGGCGTAGTGGCATCTCCCATCGTAGCATCTGCAGTAGATGGAGCGGCCATGGCTGCAGTGGAATGCAAAATGTAGTGAAACGGGGCAAAACAAATGAGCCTAAGTAGTTGCTACCAGGCAGGCGGCGAATGCAGACATATGAAACAAACAACTGTAGTGTTGACTCAAGCCGCCAAAAGTGCTAGTGAAAGTACATGTAGTTACTGTTACTTACATACCAAAAGTGTCGTGTTACATGTAGCTACTTACATACATGAAATGTCCAAAGTCGTTGTTGTTGTTGTTGTGAAACTGCTGTGCTGGTCGTTCGTAGTGCTAATGCGTATTCCAATGCTCTGGATGAGCCTGTGTAGTGTTTCTTTGCTGATGTATTTGGTAAACAAATCTGCGCTGTTGTGGAGTGTGTTGATCTTAAGGATTCTGATGATGTCGTGCTTGATGAGGTCTTGTGTGTAGAGGAATTTGAGGTCGATGTGTTTTGCTCGTTTGCTAGTGCCTTGTCGTGTAGCAATGCTCTTGCCTGCTGTGGAGTCTGTGTGGATGCGTAGGTTTAGCTTGCTGCAAATGTTGGTTTCAAGTAGGAAGTTTCTGAGGTGTAGTCCCTCATTAACTCCTGTGCAAATGGCGTAGAGTTCAGACTCTGCTGAGCTAAGTGCTATTGTAGCTTGTGTTCTGCTGCCAAATGCAACTGTTGTTCCTAGAAAGATGATGTTGAAACCTGAAGTTGATTTCCTGGTAGTAGGGCATCCTGCCCAGTCGGCATCGACATGAACGTCGAGATCCAGGATGTTGTTGGTGTTTGCTCTGAGTGTTGTTGTTGGTTCTATGGTGAATTTGTAGTGCTTGGTGCCGTGCAAGTAGCGTAGTAGATGTTTGACTCTCTTTTGTGAAAGTTCTGTAGGTGCTGTGAGGTCTCGTGCTAGTTCTTTTGTGGAGTATGCAATGTCTGGTCGTGTGTATGCTAACCATTGAAGTTTGCCAACAATTCTTCTGTACCTTTTGTGTTGTTCGTGGTCAAGTAGTGCTTCATCTTCTATTGTTGGTTTGTAGTGTGCAATTCCTGGAGTGTTCACTGAGTTGCAGTTGTTCATTCCAGACTCCTCGATCATGTTGTCGATGTAGGAGTCCTTTAGTCCAAGATTGCAGTAGTTGCCGAAGTGGTCGATGTTTCTTCCAAGAAATTGTTGTGGTTTGCCAGGTTCGAGGTAGCCGATGTGCTTGAGTAGTACCTGCTTCTGGACGGCCTCGAAAGTGGAGTCGACCGCAGTCTTGTCTCCAAGTACTAGTAGATCGTCCACATAGACCATGATGTAGCAGTCGCGAGTCGCATTGGTGTAGACGTTGGGTTCTGACTTTAGTCTTACAAAGCTGAGCTTTTGTAGCACTTCAGCCAGGTAGTCCTGCCACGCTGTCGGTGAACTGCGTAGTCCATACATGGCTTTCTTTAGTCGCCAGATTTTGTCCTGGTGTGGACAAAGTTCTTTAGGTGGCCAAAGGTAGACGTCACGTTGTTTACCGTCGTGGTCTTTTGCGATGGGTGCGTGTAGGAATGCTGTATGGAGACGTCACCTAGTCGCGCGATCCAGTTTGGTCGTGACATTTGTAGTGCGAGAAGTGTCCGGAGTGTCGTGAACATTGGTGTAGAGGCGTAGACGGAGTCTTCGTCCTCGATCTTCTCGGTGTAGCCTTTTGCGACGATTCGGCTTCGTACTCCTGGTCCTTTCTTTCTGTGTACCCATCTTGTAGGTATCGCTTCTCTGATGACGTTGTCGTTGACGGTAGACGCATCTACTTCGTCGTAGACGTCGTGTAGTTTCATTTGGTTTGACTCGTGTTTCATTCCTTCCAGTAGTTGTGTTTCGTCGTAACCTTCGTTGTCGAAGATTATGGGTTGGTCTTCTGAGGTGTCGTCGTTTGTGTAGGGGGTGATGGATTTTCCGTTGGGAAGTGTCACCGCGTTGATTTTCTGTCGTAGTGGTGGTGGTTCTTTGGTTGCTTGCTCCGTTGATCTGATTGTAGTGTCCTTTGAGGTCTTCTGTGCTTTAGTTGGTTGCATTACTTCTTTCTGGAGTTAAACGTCTTAGTGTTTGTCGAGGTGGTGCTGGTAGTGGTGGATGTTGTCGCCCAGTTGGTGAAGTAGCCATAGGACTATCCAGTAGTGGTCGTGAACTTGACGTCGACGTAGATGGAAGTCGTGGAGGTGGTGTAGTGCGTTGTTGTTTTGTTGCGGGTTCTGCAACGATGTCGTCCGTCGCATTCGTCTGTTGTCCAAAATCTTGAGTGGACCTTCTTTTCTCTGACGGTTGTAGTTGCGTATCCAACAGTGTTGCGAACGATGGGTTGTAGGTGTTCCGTCGTGGTGCCCATGGTGTGCCGGAAACTTTGTTCAACAGTGCGAGGTCGTATTTGAAGTCCGGTTGTAGTCTCCGTACTGTTCGTACCTTTTGTACGCCTGATTCTGTTGCGACGTAGTTTTCTCCGGTTTTCCGAGCCAGATGCATTTCTGCATCCGTAGGTCTGCTTTCGGAAGTTTCTTGTGTTGTGGTGGGAGGTGGAGTAGTGTCTCGCCAAATTCGCAGATTGCTCGCTCGTAGTTTCTTCCCCAGCGGCGTTCAAAGCTTGTGTAGCCGTCTGAGTGAATGACGTAGCGATTTACCGTCCATGCTGCTTGTCGTACTATCCAAGGTAGTAGACAGTGCTTTGTGGACATCGTCATGCTGTAGTTGCTTTCAACCTGAGCTTTGACGACGCGGATTTGTCCGAGAAGTGTTCTATGTAGTCGCTCAACGCTTCCTTGACTGTTGCTGCTGTAGGAAGGTGAATGTCGTGCACTCATTGTGCCGACTTTTGCTGCTGTAGCTTTTAGAAGTGCGTTGAGTGTGTCTTCGTTGTCGCTTGTAGTATGCCTTGTGTTCTTCCGCACTCAAAGATGAATGCTTGTAGGTTGTTGATCATGTAGTCCATCATTGATGATTTGTCTGGAACCAATACTGCCATACACAGTTGTGTAGTAACATCAACTGCTGTCAGTACTGGTGTGGTCTTTGGGTCTTGTTGTGACTTGATGTAGGCAAAGTCTACTTGAATGACAGGTTGTCGTGATTGTTGTTTCTTGTAGTTGTCTTGGCGTCCTTGGCCTTGAACGCAAATTGGACACCAGTTTCTGTATGGTAGATGTGTAAGGTTGTGTTCTGCTATTTGTTGTGGAGTGGGCTGCTGTGGTTGTCGTAGTCCTCTTGCTCTGTGTGCTTCATGATGCTCGTGTTGTTGTTCTTCATCGTGGTTCTCCTGGATGTACTCGTAGTCTTTCTTCACGGTGAACCTTGTTGTTCCTTTCCATTGAAATGGTAGTGCTGCGTTGCCCATGACTGTCCAGTCATCTTTGCGTTGTGAAACTTCTCCAAAGTTGTTGTGAGTGATTGTAGTTCTGTGAGGTTCAAGTGTGTTGATTGGTGGATGTCCTGGTCCATCTGTTGGAGTGAAGAGAGTTGTTCTAAGCGTTGTGTGGTGTCGTATCCAATGTTCACCTTGTCTTTCCCAGTAGTCTTGGTTGTCCTCCTGTGCTGTGAGTGGTCTGTGTATTGTCTCCTTTGGTTGTGTGGTTTCAAGGTTTGTGGAAGGTGCTGCTTTGGGTCTCCATATCTTTTGTGGTGCTCGTAGTTGGATCTTTGATCTGGTTGGTGGTGTGTCCATTAGCCGTTGTGGTTGTGAGCTCTGCCTTGTTGGTGTGGTCTTTGATGTTGCTCTGCGTGTAGGTGTTATCTTTCTTCTGAATCTGGTTTCTCCAGTCCAGTTGTCACCTTCTAGTCTTCGTTGTAGTTCTTGCTTGGAAAGTTGTGTTGGGTTCTCTTGTAGTTGTTCTTGCTCTTGCCCTTGTCTGTTGATGATGGTTAGTCGCCAATCATCTAGTTCTCCTTCTGGTATTGGGCAGCCACTGTTGTGTGGTGTGAACAGTGCTTTGCGTGGTCGTTTGTGTACTCTGATGGCGTAGTCACCATCAAGTTTCCAGTAGTCAGTGTTTCCACCAAGGATCTGTCGTAGTCCTTGGTCTGTGTGTGTGAGTGGTGCGATTTGTTCTTGTTGTTGTACTGCTCTCTCTGTAGGTTGAATCACAGCAATGGATTTTCCATTGTCTGTAGTCATTGGGTAGATGTCGAATCCTGTAGGGATGTCGATCTTCTCTGCTCGTAGGTAGAAAAGTCCTGAGTGTCTTATGAGGTGTGCTTGTTGTTGTCCATGTGTGATGGTGCAGTGTCGTGGAGTGAAGTCAAGTCCATATCCTCTATCAAGTAGTCTTGATGCACTGAGGATTGGATACTTCACATCACAAACGTAGTAGGGTATCATGATCCTGAAGTTGTCCTGCTTGTAGGGAACGTACTTGATGCCGTAGACTGGAATCTTCTTGTTGGTAACCGTGTAGAGTTGTGGAACTGATTCTCCACAAGGTCGTAGTGGAAGATCCGGTGCGTAGTCCTTTGGGCAAACATGTGTAGATGCTCCTGAGTCGATCAACAGGTGATGATATGACTTGAAGTTGGAGTACATGATGTAGTGGGTGATAGTGTCCTCAATCTTCTTGTTCTTTGTTGTTGTCTTGCTGCTGCTATGTCGAAGTGTAGCTTTGTGGTGTCTTCTTGTAGGAATTGTTGAAAGCTCTTGCTGTGGTCGTTCCATGATGTTGTGTGTGTTGTTTTCTTGCCAAGTAGTGATTTGGATTTGTGCTTGTGTAGTCGTGAGTTTGCTTGTCTGATGTGTCCAATGGTGAGGTGTGACTCGTTGATGCCTCCAATGTAGTTTGCTGTGTCCTCATAGCTGTTGTCATTCAAATCCCAGCTGTTGTCATAGTCGTAGTCGTTCCAGTTCTCCTCCATGTAGTTCACCTCCTGTTGTCCTTCTTCTCCTTCGTAGTACCAGTTGCAAGTGTCGTTTACATCCTGATTGTTCTTCATTGTTGTCGTGATCTGCTTGTTCTTGTTCTAGTGGATGTAGTTCTTCTCCTTCTCCTATGTGCCATACCGGCACTCTGCAGTCTTGTGCCCAGTGGCCAGGCTTGCCACATCGATGGCATGTTGTGTAGTTGTTGCTTCCTTTTCCTTTTGATTTGCTGTAGTTTCCTTGGCCTTTGTAGCCTTTGCTTGATCCATATCCTTTGGATCCTGAGTAGCCTTTTCCTTTGCTCTTGTTGTATCCTCCTTTGTTGTAGTTTCCTTTGCTGCCTTTGTCGAATCCTTTGTGGTGTCCTTTACTCCTGTACTTGCCTTTGCTCTTGCTTCCTTTGTAGCTGCCTTTTCCTTTTCCCTTGCCTTTGTAGTTTCTTCCTTTCCTCCATATGTTGTCAACATCCATTGGTGCAGCTCCTCCATTGTAGTTTGTTCCTACTGCTGAAGTAGATCTAGTGAAGGCTGAAATCGTCTTGTAGTAGTCCAAGATGAGTGCTCTGATCTCGATGTAGTTCGTGATCTGTCCAGCTCGCAGTTGGAGGTGTTGCTGCAGTGCTCCTTTGGTTTTGTTGAGTAGTATTGCTATTTTGATTCCATCTGGTAGTGCTGTTCCATTGTCTTTCTCGTAGCGGTTGATGTCGTATTCCCATTGTAGAAATTGTTCTTCAAACTGCGCTTCGTTGAATGTGGGTTCCAGTAGTTTGGTAAGGTAACCAACGCTCCTTGTTCCTACTGGTAGGCTGAACCTGTTGTGTAGTAGTCGTAGTGTTTCACATCCGTTTGCGTTGTAGCGGTTTTGCCTTACTACTGTAGCTGCTGCTCCCTGACAGATGTTGATGAGGATGTAGTGTAGATCTCTGGAGAGGTCTACTGCTTTGCTTGCTTGTGTAGGGTCGAGTATGTGTGTTCTGATGTCGTGTCCTCAATCTGTCGTGTAGCCACTTGTGCTAGTTGTAGCACCAGGTCGAAGTCTCGGTCTATGAGGCCGAGGTATGCTTGTAGCTTGAACAGCCATTCTTCATACTGGGAGTAGCCACCAGTGAAGCAGGGTGGTGGCAGTTTGTATTTGTGTAGCCTTTGAACGTCGTTGTCTTGTTCTGTTCCTGCTCCCGTAGTCGTGGCTCCTACTGTGTCTGCTGTTGGCCCGTTCTCTGCTCCTGTAGTTTGTTGTGCTGAGGCTGATGCTGCTTCTCCTGACATGTCGTAGTAGTTTGGCATGTAGCTGCTGTTGCTGTGGTTGTAGTACTTACTGCTTACTGGAGCTCCCCTATGTTTAGGATCTCAGCTCCGCTACCACGTTAAAATCAGTTGCTACTTTGCTTACAAGTGCAAGTGTTGTATTGTTCAAACAAACAGTCAACCAATGTAGTCTGCAGCTGCCAACCTTTTGACTCATGCGGAGTAGTAAGCTCAAGGCCTGCGGTAGTGAACATACATGCAACACGAGTGCAAAGTGAAGCATGTAGTTTGACATCTCTCTCTCTCTCTCTGTCTCTCTCTCTCTCTCTCTCTCTCTCTCTCTCTCTCTCTCTCTCTCTCTCTCTCCTCTCTCTCTCTCTCTCTCTCTCTCTCTCTGTCTCTCTCTCTCTCTCTCTCTCTCTCTCTCTCTCTCTCTCTCTCTCTCTCTCTCTCTCTCTCTCTCTCTCTCTCTCTCTCTCTCTCTCTCTCCCCCCCCCCATTTGATTTTTTGCCTCAGCACCACCGTGGAGATCTTGGAGTCCCGGGTCTTGATGATGGTGAACTTCTCCGAGGAGATCTCCTCCACCTCAAAACAAACGCGAGCCGAGCCGAGGGGTTCGACGTCCAGGCTGACCGGCTTGGAATGACCGGCTTGGACCCGTGGCGTTTTTCTGGGGGATCCACCCAAGTGGAGGCTGGATCTGCCCAGGCGACTTGAAGTTAAGAAAGCCTGGTGGGCTTCAAGGTTTGGAGGGTCCCAAAGCCCTGCACAGCTGCAGGGGGATGTTCTTGATCAGCTGGTAAAATGTGGGCAAAACGGCCAAGATCTATGCGTTCAACCGATTCGATGCCATGATTCGAAGCCACGGCCAGGGGAGTTCGGGGAAGGTCGTAGCCTATGGAAAAACCTCACTAACAGCATGGCACGGTGCCCCACTGGGCGCTGAAAAATATAGAACCCTGGTTCCCTGATCCATCAGCCGGCATTTGGGTATCATTTGTTTGGCTCAAATTGGTATCTGGCTAAACTTACCCTATCCTTTTTGGCACAAATATATTTAGCAGTTGGTTTCCCTCAGGGCTCCAGCCGCCAAACATAAGAGGTCCATGTCTTTAAATTTAGCGCCCCGCCATCAAATGAGGCATAATCACAGCCCGGCATTAAAATGCCCTACCCAGAACCGTGAAAATAATTAAAAAGGGCGAATATCCGCACCCATTTATGGCAAGGTGATTGTCCTTTACCCTCCAATTACCCCAGTGTGCTCTACAACTCTTGGTATAGCAAAAAACCTGTGTGCTTTTGTAGCCCAAAATTAAACACAACTGAGCCGAGGCAAACAACCAAAACGCTAAAAACCCACCATGCCAGGCACAGCGGTGGAAAAAAAAACACCCCCCCCCAAAAAAAAAAAAACATGTTGAGCCAGCGGCCCACCAAAAATTGGACCTCTTCCAGACCTGGCGGATTGCTCCCAGACCTGGCGCGCGACTGCCGCGCGCCTTGATGGACTCCACGTAGCCGCACTCCTCCGGCACCGGGGGCCCGGAGCGGACGATGGAGGTGGCGCCCACGGTGCGGCAGATCCTGCGGAGCCCAGCCAGCCGCGTGTGGGACCCCAAAAGGTGCGGGGGGGTGGGGCGGAGGGGGGGCGGATGGGGGGGGGAGGGGGGAGGGGAAGGGGGGGGGGACTGCACCAAGTTGAAACCACGGCAAACCATTATTGGTTGGTATTTGCAGGGGAATCGAATCATTCCAGGGTGTAGGTGGTGCGAAATGGATTTCGTCCATCCACGGTAGGGGAGGGGCGTCTCTCAAAACGGGATGTTAGAACCCCTAAAGGCCCTATGCTTTTCCTCTAGGTTTACCGATACATATCAACAGTTGCTCGGTGGTCAAAAAGGCAACTTGTCTGGGGTTGACCATTTGGAGTGGGAAAGTCGTAAAACAAAAAAGGGAAAACAACCAGGTTTCTGATGGAAATGCAAAGGCTCCGGTGCCACTGGGCTCATAAATTCCGCTGATGGCAGCGACTAAAGTGGGCACAAGGTTCCACGTCCCTCACAGTGCAGTGACTCACGGTCACCTGACGGTTTTCGCAGCTCCAGCAGCGCTTGCTGTCGGGGCGGAACAAGCAGGTTAAGCCTAGAGGTCCATGAGACAACAAAAAGGACATGTTTCACCCCTGTTCGTGTTGGAGAAATGCGCCCGTGGCAGGCCTTGCCGCCCTTTCAACGGTCGAAAACCAATTGGGGGCTTCTTCTTGGGGCCCGGTAGCCCTGTTTGGGGGTGAACTGCAAGCGCGACACGGGCCGCTCCCACTCGTATAAATTGGTCATGGACATGGACCTTCTAGATTCTTCTGGCTGTTTGGACCAACTGCCCCATTTTGGGCGAAAAACAGCGGAATCCCGATACTCGCAGGGGGCCCTACATTTTGAGCTCCCTGGTTTTCCCAGATTTTCCCAGTTGCTCCGGAAAAAAAAAGAGTTTTTTTTACCAGGACATTCGGGGGCGAACCCTGGAGCCAAAACGACCAATGCTCTCTTGTCTTGGCGCATTTGTTTGAAACTTTAGCTCCTGTTGGGATGGGGGGGGCTCAGATTTGGGGTGGGGAGCCATAACTATTAGTTGTTGTATAACATAAATAAGCTAGTGTGATATAGATGATACCTATTTATTTAGCGCAGTTTTCTTCTTCTTTTTTTTTGGGGGGGGGGGGACAAAAAGATGGTGTTGTGCCATGAGCTGCCCGCTGGGCAGCCCCTCCTGGCCTCCGGAGCTCGAACTTGGAGGAGATCTTCAGGGCGAAGATCTTGTACCTCGCCCCGCCGATCCGTCCGACGAGGATTGGGGAGGGGTTTGTTTGGGCTGGGGCGGGGGCGGGGGGGGAGGGGTTTTTCAGGTTCCCGGACCCCTTAGTTGGTGGTTTGAACTAGGGGTTGGGGAATTGAGCCCCTGGCTCTTGTAGAGAATGGGGAGCCACCCCAAAAAACCTCCGAAACCCCTAATCTTGCTGTTGCGAGAGATGCAGGGACTGAGAAATGGAGTGACCCCGTTTATATCTGTGTAATAAATCATCCCCGATTTGGTATCCTTGGTTCGGGAATCCTCAAGGGCGGTTTATTCCCAAGTCATTCCCACCTATCGCTCCAGCAAGACGTAACCTGAGAACAGGAACGGCATAAACCGCATGGTTCTCCCGGGAAAGCAGGGGGAAACACGCAAACAAGATAAAACGCACGGTTTGCTTGTCTTGATGGAGTTATGCGATGTCCTGACAAATTGACACATATGCAGATGCATATGGAAATGCATGATACACATAGAAACTCAGTATGTCGTCTACTGCTCCAGTGTTTGTCATTCCAAGATGCACTAACTGTATTCATAAACGTACATTTATACATAACATAGGCAACAAACCACATGTACAGGTGCATGTACTTATCAATCAAATCATACATTTACCAATCAATCAACCTACCTACAATGCACGCACACATTTTCATTATATATGCTTAGCAATCATACACACATACCTGCGTTTCTTTAAGTCCGATTTGTTCTGCATGCTCGTAAGAAACTCCTTTTTCGGGGAAGGTCATCCTATTTTTCCCTTGAGACACGTTTTCAAGAATTTCGGTTTTTGGATACTGGCGGAGGCCGCGGTTTTTCCCCGATGCAAAAGCTTTTCGGCGATGCAAAGGCGTTGTTTGCCCGAACCCTGTTCTATGGCAAGTGTCCCAAAAGCGCTGTTTGAAGCAAAATGCATTTTCTCATGGAAACGACAAAAAATGCAGTTTCGGCAACAAGTGGAAATTCTCCACTTCAGGTTATCTAGGTATTTGCAGCACATAGGTGGTTGAAAAGCGTCTGGCAAAGTCTTTGCAGCCGGTAGCGGATCTGAAGAGGCAAATAACCCAGACACAAGCAGTTGCCAGAGCAAGTACCCTTCTCCGAACATGCTACCCAAATTCAATGAGGCTACCCCAACACAAGATTCATCGCATTTTGAAGACATGGCTTGGAGACCCTTTTCTCTTGGTCCGCTGAATGATCTCCGGGGGCACGCACAAACCTTTACATGTCTGCACCCCCTGTGCATCGAAGGCCCAACTGGCCTGAGGGGCATCTCACCCCTAAAAGAACAAGGCCTTGTGACCCTTGTTGTCACTGGCCTCGAATCCCATTCGGGTCAAATGGCCTCTCATGACGCCACCCGACAGGACCTTCGTCACCACGTCCGCATCGTTCACCGCTCCAGGCGTCTTCTCCACCCTGAGCGCCTTCTCCGCCACCCGGTCCTGCAGCCACAAGTACCGGGCTTGCACATGCCGCGTCTTCCCGACGCCTCTCCGCTCCGTCATGGCTTTCGCCGCGGAGCTATCCACCAGCATCTTCACCACCGGCACCTTCTCACCCATGTAGAAGGCCATCACGTTCCTCACGAACTCGGCCAAAGTGGCCGTCCGACACATTCCATAGTACTCGCTCTCGCAGCTGCTCAGCGCAACGATCTTCTGGGTCACACCGCGCACCATGAGGGTGTGGCCACCGTTCTTGATCACCGCCCCCGTCACCGACTTCCGTGTCAACGGATCACCAGCCCAATCACTGTCCGACCAAGCTCGGACCTCCATTTCTCTCATAGGCTGCTGCTTGAAGATCTTCTTGAGGTAGGGGACCTTCACCAAGTACCTCGCCACGCGCTTCAGCCGCTGCATGTCACCTTGCTTCGGCGACCTCATTGCCGAACTCAGCACCTTTACCGCATGCCCCAAATCAGGGCGGTCCTGGCTCAGATAAGCCAGGCGCATCACCATGCTCCTATAGTCCACCGCCTGCTCAGCATCCAGCTCTGGCAGGCGCTCCTCAGCAACTCTCTCGGCGTCCCGCATCTTCTCCTCCGGGATGTCCACGCCCTTGGTCTTCTCATTGAACCCGAAGTAGCGCATCACTATCTCCGCGTGCCTTGCATCCGCCTCCAACTCCAATTTCCACCTCGCCGCATCATCCAGCTTGAAGCGGATCTTCCTGTTCAAGAAGAACATCTCTTTGTCATCTTCCGCGCCCCGGCCAAGCATGGCCTCCAGCCTTGCCGTGTAGCGCGTGTTCAGCACGCCGTCCAACCACTGCAAGTTGGCCCCGTTGCCCTTCACCATGAAGTCGTCCCCATGGACCAGGCCAATTAACCTTCTCTCCGCTATCTTGAAGATTGCGGGGCACAGTGCACAAAACTCTGCACCATGCTCCTTCAACCAGCCGATGTAGTCGCCCTGGAACACCTTGCTGGCATCTTGCGTCCCATACATAGACCTGCGAAGTAGTCCCACCATAGGCTCCGGACTCTCTTCACCATCATCTCCGCACTGGTCCTCCTCCGGCAACTCCACGTACAGTTCTCTTTCCGCACGTCCCATGAAGTGTGCTCGGCTGATGTCCCAGCAAGCCACCTTGGCGTCCGGCTCCTCTGGGTTCTCCGTCATGAACAGGCTCAGGAGCAGGTTCACCGCCTCCAGCGGCGGGGTCGCCGCGAACGTTTCCTCCGCCCGAAGTCGATCTTCAGGCCTTTTTGCCTTTCGCACTTCTTTCGCCACCAATCTGCTCCTGACCTTCGCCTGGGTCGCGTCTCCCTTGTTGATGTCCAGCCACTTCAACTGCAAGGGCTTCATGCCCTTCCCTTCACAGATCCTCCTTGGGACCTTCACGTAGACGCCCTCCTTGTGGAGCCAGCCCAGCTCCTCCTTTCGCGCCGCCTTCACCAGGTGTGCCGGCAACTCCGTACCGGTCACATCATCCACAAACTGGCCGAACTCCTCCTTGTAGAGCTCTTCCTTCTCGACGTACTCATCCGGTGTCGGGCCTGACAACTGCTCCTCCACCGCACTGATCTCTCCCCTCTCTCGTAGCTCTTTCCTCAGGCCACGTAGAATTGCCTCCACCAGCTCCTTGGGGTAGACCTGCGCAGCCTTAGCTCGTCCACCTCCCACCAGATGAACATGCCGATGCACTTCTCGACCTTGTAGGACATTCTCACACACGCCCTCCAGCTCTTCTGCGATCCTCCTCGAGTTCGTCAGCCACAAAGTCTCCTTTCTCACATGCAGGATTTCCCCTTCTCGGTCTTCCATCTTCATGCCCCAACGGCACATCGGACTCTGAACCAAGTACGTGTCGTCTCGGTTCACCTCCTCTTCCACTTCCGGCATCTTCCATGACGTGGACGGTTTCGGGTGCTCATGGAGATAAAAGGCACCCTGCTCCCGCTGTTGTTTGCAGCACTTCATCGCGGTCCTCATCCTTGCCTTACCAAGCTCCTCCTCCTCTTGCACCACGCCCGGGTCCCTCTTGCCATTGGACACGTTCCTCAGTGGGCTAAACGTAGTGCACGGCGGTGAGCTCGTCAGGAGCCACGGCTCCTCCACCTGAATCATCTCCAGCACCTCCTTCTGATCTTCTGGCCTGTCGAGGTTCCACCTCTCTGACCCATCTGGCTTCATCTCCTCTAGGTCCACCGCCGCTCCGTCACGCATGCCGAACCGCTTCAGCTCCTTTGTCACACGCTGAGGTGAAAACACCTCCAGCACATCCAACGCACCTAGGCTAGCCACTATGCTTGCAGCCTCCTTGCTCCCGGCCTCTGCCAGGATCTCCTCTGCCTCCATCCTTCTCGAGCCTGCCTGCCCGCCAGCATCCTCTTCCATATCTCGCAAGACATCTTCGATGTCCCTTGCTCCTTGCTCTCCTCCTTTCCGCTTTGGCGATGCTTCTCCGGCATCGGGGCCCCGGCTTGAACTTGACGGCTCAGCCTCAGCCCTTGCCTCATCGTTCGCTTCCTCTTCCGCTACTCTCTTCTTCGCCCTTCTCGCAATTTCTCTTTCGTCCTCATCCTTCTGCTTCTTCATCTTCTCCTCATCCTTCTTTACATCCTCTGCAATTCTCCTCTTCATCCTCACTCTGCACTCCTCTGAGTGGCTCACCTGAACCAGCGCGCCACCCGTGTTGATTGAATGGCACCCTTGGCATCCTGGAGTGCTCCCATACTTCTGCATCATCGTTCTCCTCACCGGCCACGCTCGGCCCTTCGCCGAGGGACCCTCTGCCTCTGGGACTTCTCCCCCCTGATGCTCCTCTGGGCGCTCAACCGGGACCTCTCCTCCAGGTCCGGGAGCTGGGGCCACGAGGACCACCGGGGGCAGCCTCTGATCCTCACCTTCTTTCTGCTGTTGCTGCTGCCGCTCCTCCGGCTGCGGGTTGACATACTTCTTGATGTCCCAGGGCACACCACGTAATCCAGGCTCCAGCCTTGACCACCTCTGATCCTCAGGCACCATGTGGAAGCCCGTGCCAACCACCACTCCGGCATCCGTCATGGCCAAGATCGACCCAAACCTGTTGTGGGTGCCCAGGTACCTCCCGCTAACCATCCTTGACCAATCTCCTCTCTTTCCGCCTCCAGCAGGTTTGACCATGATCTTTTCCCCGAACTCCGGCATGGCCTTCACCCATCTTTTGCCTGTCCGTCTCTCCTCTGGCGTCCTCCCATCTGCTCCGACCTTGAACCTGCCATGCTGCTCTGCAGAGTACCTCGGGGCCCAATAAGTGATAGGATGCCCTTCAGGAACTCCACCTTCCAACTTCTTGTCCAAGGCCAGGAGATTGGCTTTGCACCTCCATTTGATCTCCTTGACAGCCGCCTCCGCTTCTCCGTTCGACCGTGAATCTCCGGCCGGCGACTCCTCTGGCACCGCCTTCTTCAATCCTCTCGCCTTCTTCGCTGCCTCCATCTTCATCTTCACCAAGCTCCTTTCACCATCGCTTTTGAGGACCACCTCCTTGTAGCCCAAGCTTTCCAGGAACCTGGTCAACATCTTCTGGGCCGTCGCATCCACGAGCCCTTTTCTTTCCATGGAGGTTGCCGTCATCAGCCCGGTCTTCCGGTCCCGAGCTACAATGTTCGGCTTCGCACCTTCGGCCTCGCCCATGTAGAAGTAGTCGAGGCTCACCGTGGACATGTCGGGATTCTCATCGCCATGGTCCACCTTCACGTGCTTCTGGACAAGGCCTGCTGCTTTGACACACATCTCGCACCAGCTCCTGTAGACCGCATGGCCGCTCGCCTCGTGCTCCTTTCTCTCACGCTCGCTTGGCTGCGGCGGCACCCAGCCCGGGTGAGCAGGTCTGGCCTCCACCAACTCCTCAGGACCTTCTTGCTGAGCTCCGATCTCATCCTCCAGAGCCCATACCGTGTTGCGCTCCTCGTCAATTCTCGCTGCCTTGGCTTTGGGCTTGCTCTTCATCAACCCGCTCGCCGAGGCCTGTATCTCCAGTTCCGCCACCTGCTCATCCGCGCTCTCTGGGTCGGGCATCTCCAGGTAGAAGTTGTAGATGCCGTTCTCCTCCACCACCGGGATCATGCCCTTGTCACCGTACAGCTCCAGCGCCTTCTCGTAGGCCTCTTCCAGCGTCTTATAGACAGGATGCTCCACCGGCATGATAGTTCCTCCGCCTTTCCACAGCCAAGTGCTGTGCCCTTTTCCATGCAACCTGCCCGCGCTGATCAGGACCTTGTGCACGTCCGTCGCATTCCCATTCACCATGCGCTTCACGCCGTTCATGTCATAGCCGCCAATCTTCACCGGGCCGTAGTTGTTGATCAGCTCACCCGAGGCGGTCTTGAACGTTCCTTTTCCACCTCCAGTTCCTTCGCGCTTGTACCTCTTCGGGATAGCTGTCACCGAAGCGCCAGTGTCGAAGTTGCACTTCAGCAGGTTGATCTCGCCGCCAAGCTCTCGTCGTTTGATAGCCACCCTTTTCGCAAACGAGGTCGTTGTAGACACCCTCGCCGTTGACGACAGCGCGCAAAGGTCCAGCCCGTTCGCTTCGCCTTCCGGCTCATCTCCCGGCTGCTCCAACGATGCCGCTTCCCGCTTGCCGCCTTTGCCACCTTTCGGACTTGTAGGCGCCGACGATGATGAAGCTCCACCACCCTTCGCCCAGCAATCCTTCTTCATGTGGCCCTTCTTCCCGCAGTTGTTGCAGATGCCATCAAACTTGCCCTTGCCGGCGCTCTGGCTGTTGCTTCGGGACTTCGCGCCTCCTCCTTTCGATCCCTGCTGCGGCTTCGACCAGCAGTCCTTCTTCTTATGGCCTTTCTTGCCACAGTTGTCGCAGTTGCCCTCGAACTTGGCCTTGCCTCCTTTTCCACCTCCTTTCTTGCCCTTCACGAGTGAGGCCAAATTGCCATTGACCGCCCGGACCAGGGAGTCCACATCCATGGGAGCCACATCACCTGCTGAGGACTTGCTGAAGTCCTTCGAGATTGTCAGCTTGCTCCCCGTCTTCGCCTCCATATAGGTCACCACTTCCTGCTCCATCTCCTCAAAGGTCCGGAACCTCGTGTAGTTCAGCATGAGGTGCTGCTCCATCTCCTTTGGAACTAATTTCTCCAAAGCGTTCATCGCCAGGCTGTCTTGCAACACCTCACGCTTCCCGAACTGATCCTTCTTGCGGTCGTATCTGTTTCTCAATGCCTTCCAACGTTCTAAGGCATTGCCGAGGTTCTCGTATGAGGATCTTTCTGGGCTCGTCAATGCTTGAAGCATTATGCGCTTGCGTCCTCCGGTGCTCGGGTCGAACTTCCTATGCAGGGCCCTCCAAGCTTCCAATCCAGCACCCTTCGGCGCGTTCTCCACCAAGTCGAAGACCGCCCCCTCCGTGGTCGCCCTGAGGATGGTGTAGACCTGTTGGTTCATCTCATCAACCTCATCCCATTGATCCAGAAGATCTGCTCCGGCCCCGAACTGGTTGTCGATGTCCATCTGCGCGATGGGGTTCTCCTGCTCAGCAGCCCATTCCAGCACCTCACGGGATTTGCCGCCGATCACGCCTGCCACGTAGTCCTCCAGCTTCAAGGCCCAGACCCGGAATCGATCTTCGGCTCCTTCTCCGAGCACCTGAGGCTTTCCAAGGCCCTTTTGATCTATCAGGCCTCCTCCTCCTCTCTTGCTCATCTTCTCCAGGACTTCCGGCAACCGGCTCAATGCTTGTAGCACTTCCGCCGAGCCCCCTGATCCTCCGCCGGCTCCAGCCGTCTGCTGCTCTGCCGCTTGCACCCGATCACGGAGTCCCGCATTCTCCTGAGCCAACTGCGCCATCTGCTGCTGCATCTGCTGCACCACCGCCGTGAGCTCCTGTATCGTCGCCATCGCCCTCTTCAAGGATCAAGCCGACCAACACAAAGAAGCCTCCCTCGTAGGTGAAGATGCCCACCAGCAAGGCCAGGACCCACCTCCAGTGGTTCCACCGCCAAACGGGCTTGCCTCGCTGCCGCAGCTCCTCAAACCTCTGCAGCTGCCGAGCGTCCTCCGACCTCGACTCGGCCGCTCCCCTCTGTGGCCCAGCTGGCCGCTCTCGGGGAACCCCGATCCTCCTCCTGTAGGGCTTGTCCTTGGCCGCGGACTTGCCCCTGGTCGTGCCCGAGAGCTCCGCTACCATGAAGACATGGCTTGGAGACCCTTTTCTCTTGGTCCGCTGAATGATCTCCGGGGGCACGCACAAACCTTTACATGTCTGCACATTTGCTCAATTGCATCCTAAACACCTGAAACCAAAAGCATTTCACCTTCTGGGTTGCCATGAAAAAATGAATCGACAACAGGAACCAAAAGGGAATCCCAGGAACAAACAAATGGCGACCCGAAAATCGGCCCGGCGCATAGGGACCGAACCGCGATCCCAAGCCAAAAACCCAAGGCTGCCTGGTCGAGAAGCGCTACAAACTAAACACCAAAGACTGGTTTGCAAACCACGCGAGTAAACGCCAGCCCTTTTTTGGGCAGTTGACTTTTCCAACCAAGAGACAACCGTAACAAAAGGTGAATTGAGTGCTACTGGAGGTCTGGACAGTTGAATGGTACTCCGGCTTTCGCTGGATCATGTCCATAGAGGAGCCATGAAAACCTGGAGAGCCCAGGCGCTTGTTCAGGAAGTGCAGCGCCATATCCGAGATGGTGCCCCCGCAGATGACCACCTCCACGCCCACTTCCTTGATGGACCTCAGAGAGGCAACACCCACAGAAACTGGGTATGAGGCTGGCTCCTCTGGAGAAGCAAGAAAAAGATACACACCCTCGTTTAAAATGTGGCAGGTGGGGAATCCAGAGGGCGACAAAGGGAAATGCTGTCCATGGGGGGAAGGGAAGAAGGCCATGAGTTTCGACACGGGGACATCATTTGGCATCTGTGTCCACCAACCACTGTTGAGGAGGCCAAACTCACACAAAGGATCCATCCCGTTGGCTGCCTTGAAAGGAAAGCAACTCATGTCGGCCCATTTAGCACCCACACAGGATCAATGCGCTATTACATCGATGATCATTTGCAGCTTGGTCAGAAAGCGGCGTAGGTTGAACACTTGATGCTTTGTTCGGGACACATCACCGAATCATGTGTAGTTCATGCCAGATCCAGAGTAGGCACATCAATCAAATCTCAAAGGCAATGCACCTATGGCCAGAAGAGTTAAGAGTGTAATGACTTACCCTTTTTTCAGGTATCCCTCAGTTTTGACATCCTGCCCGAATTTCTCTCACGATGCCGCAAACCGTTGACACTTGAACAGCCATAGCCTCCCCTGATGCAATGCCAACAAAACCTGAATCAGACTTTCTTGATGGAATTCCGCCATTTCTGGAGGGGCGAAAGAAAAAAACAAGCAAATGCAAACCAAACACACAAAGACTTGAGGTGACTTTACATGCCATGGGCCTCTTTTTTTGCACATACTCCCCGCCCCTTCCTGTTCCTTCACAGGGGAAACCGCCCGTTCTGAAAGGTCCGCCATGTTGGAAACGAACCGCCAAATGTGGTTGCCTCTTTCGGTTTTGAAGGGATACCCTTTTTGGAGCTGCCCCACAATTAACACAACTAAGGGCCAGTCCCATGTTCCCGACGCGAATCTGGCCAAATTATTTCAATGTCCCATACGGGAACTCGAGCATTGTCCCCAAATGACACTGGATTTTGATGGGCAACTGCCCCACCCCACCCCACCTGACTTCTTGAAATTTTGGCGAGTGTGCCCCATGTCATCCGCTTAGCAGTGAATAACAAAAAATACTGACTGTTGCGCATCTATATCTGGCCCCGTGGTTGTACCTTCCCACAAAAATCAGGGGCTTTCAACCCCAAAGCAACACAAGGAGTTGCAACCCCCTCAATTCAGGGCCCCCTTATACTTGTGGATGCCAGTATGTGGCTGTGGGTCAAAAATAGGTACCTTAAATGGAACCCCTAGTAAGTGGAAACATGGACCAAAACCTGCGGTCCCCTGGTGGTTTCGTTTTGACCCATACCCATGTAAGCATCTGATCAAAATCGGATGAACTCGCCTGATCATTTCCTCCATCTTCTGCTCCTCGCCCTTGCTGAAGTTCATAAGCTGCTCCGCGTTCTCCAGCAGCACCGTGCCCTTGGTCTCGGTGCTGCCCAAGTCCAACGACTCCGCGTAGATCGCCACCTGGATCCATCCGAAAAGCGCTCCGGCCCGCTTCCCGTGCGGGGAGAAAAATGGGACGCAGCTGAGCGCGCGAGATGTTTGGTCTGCTTGAGTTGGAGGGAAATCCACCCCTCTCAAAGCGAAAACAATATCTCTCTGGAGGCCTGGTGTCAAGTCATTGGCTCGAATGGGCCAAACATGCAAAATATACAAGACGGCCATACCTCACAAAGGGCGTAAATAAAACCAGACGTTTAGGGATCAAGGCATTTTTGTAGGGAACCCGCCGAAGAGAAACGGAAAGCACGTGGAATGCACTGAGCAACTGGATGTATGAGAACTTTAAGAATCACAAACAGCATTGACGAGAAGCCTACTTGCAATTGCCAAAGGGTGATGCTGAAAGCCACCATGCATGTCGTGTCCCAATACCAAATACGAGTCGAAGCCACGTTAACCCGGGGAATAAATAAGGCCTGACAAATGATGTGGGGGGGGGTGCTTCTTCCAAGTGAGGGAAGTCCTACGCGCGAGTTCTTTTTTGCCGATGGAATACAACGTCCAAACGCTTCAACCCAAGTTTGAGTGGCAACCACCAAACATTGTTGGGCAACCCAGGTGATGCCTCCAGTGTATAAACATGTATAAACCCTGGGTAGCTATCAACATAACTGCATACAAGTACATGTATGTATATACATACGTATAATACATATATATATATATATATGTATACACCAACGGGTGTTTCCCAAGATTAGCGCCCCCCTAAGAGTTAAAATCATCCACGGGGGCTCCCTATTTTATTTTGTGAGAAACCCGTATCTACACAGGCAATTGGCGGCTCCTAACCATTGATAGCGGTAATGTTAACCCCATATTAGTCAACCCCAGTTTTTCTAATAGGGGGTGCTCCCCTCCAACAGTGATGATTCCCCACTAAACCCAGGGACCCCCCCCCCCTTTCTTAAACTGGGGTTGTTTCTCTCGGGGTCAACGTTCCGCATTCCCGAAACGTGAAGCACCAACAGGAGAATCGATCCATCGCACAGCGACCCCATTGCCTGCGGGTACGTTTTCGCGAGCCGTTTCAACCGCCATAAATGAGGTGAGCAAACAGCATAGGCATATGCATAAGCCATGTGGATGCCAACCAGTCGAGAAGGTTTGGAAGCCACAGAGGTGATTTTCAGGGAAACCAAACCAAAAGCCACCCTGAAAGACCCAGCTAAGTGGCTAAGGGGTTCGGAAAATGATGAAACAAATTAGTATACACTATCTTAGCCACAGTAACCCCAGGAAGAGTCTGCTGGCGTGGGGCAGGGAGTTGCCTGCGCACACGGCGTTGACTGCCTCAACCTTCCGGATTGACACTAGCAGCTTCCTGTTTGAATGAGCAGGGTCTGGCTGAAACAAACCTGGGCAAAACACAATTCACGGATTCACGGAGCGAAGAAGAGGAAAAGCACGATTGGAAAACCGTCACAAGCCAGACCAGGTAAACCTACCTATATGGTTCGATCATAGTGTCGCTTGCGTTCCCCAGACGCCTTGGTCTTCTCCTTGTGGGTCTCCACGCCGCTGCTGCGGCGCGCGATGGCCATGCCCTCCACCACGAAGGAGGAGTTCAGGTTGCCGCCCTGCACCTCAGGAACCCCCCGGGTCCAAGACCCGCTTTCCGGGTTGGTTTTTCGGGTTGGCCTTGGAAAAACCCAAGTGCTCTGGGTGAATTATAACATCAGGCTGAAACAAGGTGGTTGGGGGGGGGTTCTGGGCTGCCCGTTTTCGGATCCCCCGCGAAAAGCGACTAACTTTTGGTGGGATAAATGGAAACCACACACTAAAAGGCTAAAAAGCTAGGGGAAAGGCTGGGAGCCACCAAGGGTTTCCCAGAGAAAAACAAACAAACAAAACATCGGGGTTGGTTTGGAATTGGCCTTTGACACCCCAGGAAATTACGTGTGCCGGGGTTTGCCCGGCGATGTGGGTGAGTCCAGAGCGGGTTCAGGGTTGGCCTTTCACACGCAAGTTGAAACTTGGGCTGGGCAGAAGTTCAAACACCATGGGTGGGATTCTCCTGTGAAGGCTGCAACCCTTGTATTAGAACCCGAGGGTCCCCACATTCGATACCGACGGACAAAATGAAACACTTGGGATGGAATTTTGGAAGTGCCGGGAACAACCCAATTCCATCTGGTGGTTTGGAGAAATCGACACCTTGACCGAACTCAAGCCACTGGACCCATCCACTTTCAATCAAACTGACTTGAAAAGGACGCCTGCGCCGTTTCCGGACCTTTCGTTGGAGACTTCCTGAGATCGGCGGATGAAAGTCTCTAGTGGTTTGCCACTAGGGCGGAACTCGGAAAAAAACAGAGTTGGAGAAACGGAAGCATTCACAAAGGGAGCTGCCAGAATTCTACGAACCGTTCCAGTGGCTAACAACTCTCTCCTGAACAAGATGGTGTCCTAGGAATATCTAACACATCAACGAAAACATGTGGCTCATCCCCCCCGCCCCCGGAGTTCTTCGACTTCGCAAGTTTCGCGGAAAGCAACTCGCAAAAGAACCACCGGAGCTAAGTTGCGGAGGTCAACTTGCAAAACGACCCGGACATCAAGGTGCCTTCTGGTCTTGCACAGGGCCTTACACTATGGAATCCCCCTTAGGGACCCCAGAACTGAAGTTTGGTCATCATTCTCACAAACCTCTGAAAGGCGTTGTTCCCGAAACTGCTAACTAGGGTGGATTGGAAGGTTTTATGCTGGGAGAATCCCTAGAAGAATGTCCGCGTTTCGCATCCCAGCAACCCCTATGAATCCAAATGCGAAACTGGCCAATGGGGGGTTCGAGCGCTCAACCCCGGATCGCGGGCAACAAATCCTAATCCAAGTATCCAACATTTCACCCATTTGGAGGGTAGACATGCTTGCAAATATTCCATACCTGGCCGTGTCTCAAAAAAGAATCGATCCCCCCAAAAAGAATGGTAGCTGTCCTTCTCGTCTCCCTTTCAACCCACCCCCCCCAAAAATAAATAAATAAATAAATAAAATAAACCAACGGCAAACCACAAACAACCAACGCGACGTCCCCCGTGCCGGGGCCCATCTGAACCCAACTTCCGGGCCTTGGTGACGCGGACGTTGTCCACGTCGAAGCGGCTGGGCGTGGGGGGCATCACGCGGGCGCAGGCCTCGGCCACCAGCTTGGCCAAGGGGCCCTCGCAGCCCAGCCTCAGTTGCCCAAAGGACCCAGAACTAACAGGTTAACCTTTAGGCACCTCTACTAAAAATGGACCAACATGGGAAAACCAAAAGGTCAAAAGGTCGGCTTTGGACAACTGAGCAGCTGCTTGGAGCTGATGGCCGTCTGCACGCACTTGGTCAGCCTCGGACCCCGATCCGCCCAGTGCATTTCCAGGGGCAAAAAAAGACTCGGCCTCCTCTTTTGGGCTGGTTGACTTTGAAGGGAAACCCCTTCCCCCAAAAAAAAGGACACAAGGGCACCACTGGGGTGATTCCCTGAAAGGAAACCACCAGGTGGATGATTTGCAGGGGTCATTCCCGCATTCCCGGCTGAGCACCAGCAACACAAAGAGGGGAATGTTGGGTCCGTTTTTTTTGGTTGTATCCAGTCTGCCGCAGCAGAAGGGACATAGCTCCCCATAAATGGAGATCTCCAGGGGTCCAAACCCCCCCTCCCCGAATTCCATACCCCCAATTCAGTATTTAAGGGACCCGGAGGGGATAGCCTGGGTTGAGCAAAACTTAAACGTCCTTGGACCCTTGGCTCAATGAAAAAAACTGAATTTGTCCAAAAGGCTTAAGGGGGCAAGGTCTAGCCTGAAGAGCAATCGCCCGCAAAAGCTCGCGCTCACGTTTGGTTCCATGGAACTGGGCTCCCCATGCGCAAGTTGCACGTTTTGTGGGTTGAGTGGAACCCCCCAACTAAACCCCCAAAAAACCTGAGAAGCTAAGGAACCGGATGGCTGGGGAGAACCAAGGGAAACGCAGAGCGTGTTTTTTATTCAGAAGGATCCAAAGAAGAAGGTCAAAGACCAGCCAAGAAGTCACTCACTCAAAACACATAGCACTTGTGTTGCACCCCTACAACACCCTGCTTTGCAGGACAATGCAAATCGCACCCTATTTTGGGCACTTGCAACATCCTGTGGGAGGGGGTGCCCCCATGTTGTTAATGTAAGCCTGTCAGCCGGCTAAAAGGTCCCCTAGAAAGTGGATGAAATTCCTTCTGGGGCACTCCATGTTGGGATTCGGTATTCAATTGCAGGGGACGTACTGCGGATGGACAAATCTTGCAAAACGTGTTTATTGGTATTTACAGGTAAATCATCATTCCAGGTTTCTCAGGGTCATAGAAACAATCAATGTTGCATCCGCTTCTACAGTTTCTGGGTAGCTGGACAGCCTGGAATCACTCCTCCTCTTGCGGAAACCCTGCAGGTGAAGTTGACGGAACAACTACGTGATGGGCAAGGAACGGGGCATTTCTGCCCCAGTCCTTGCGGCTTATCAAAACATACTTGCAACTCATGGGGGGTGCGGGGGGGGAGGAGGGGGCAGGCAATTTGCTGAATTTCCTACTCAATCTTCAGGAAAGTGGCTGCTCCACGCTCCTCAGGTCTTCGCAAGACCAAACCACTTGCTGGTCCAAAAGCTCCAAGGCTTTGTCCCTCGCCAGCTCGTAGCCCTTGTAGACATCCTAAGTGGAAGCCAGCCAGGGACGGAATACGATATTTTTTTTCCACGGAGATGAGGATGGCCGACCATAACCCTCCATTTGCTTAAGCACCCAGTAGTGATCGAGGGGAAAAAACAATACTCTTAAACAAATGGAAGTAACCAACATTCAAATCTAGGTTCCAGCAGGGCCCCGCGGAAATTGACAATTTGGGCACTCAGCGCAGCAGAACTCATCAACAAAAGGTCGGGAAAAACCATGTTGTCTCCATCGCGGTAGTAAGCAGGGTGTTAATTCTCCCAAGCTAAGGCCAAAGCAAACAAGGTAGCAAGCATTAACCACCTCCATCTACCAAGCGCTGACATTGTGACATAGGCTGGCTGACTATTCGCCATGCGCTAGAGGGCCATCCAACCGGGCTGATAACTGGTTTGTCTCCGGGTTTATTTCAGCTGCGAAGTGGGAGGGTGGCTTCTTGGGGTTGTGCAAAGGTAAACCAGAAAGAAACCGCCCACAGATTTCGGAGACAAATCATAAAAAGGACTATTGAACTGCAGACATGAAATGGAACTCAGAAATGGGTGCCTGCTTTTTCAGGGGACCTCCCAGATTGGTATTTTGTGCTGTTCGCTTCTCTTTAAAACCGCAAAAAAAGAGTACCCTAAAAACCACCAAAAAAAGGGTACCCTAAAACCGCAAAAATTAGGGGCTACCCAAAAAACAGCAAGAAAAGGGTATACTGAAAACCGCCAACAAAAGGGCGACCCTAAAAACCGCAAAGAAAGGTAACCTAAAATCCACAAAAACAGTTCCCCAAAAATCGCCGAAAAAAAGGGTACCCTAAAAACCGCAACCCGAAACCGCAAAAAGAAGGGCTACCCTAAAAACCGCAAAAATAGGGTTTACTGAAAACCGCCAACAAAAGGGCTACCCTAAAAATCGCAAACAAAGGGGTACCCTAAAAACCAAGAAAACAGTTCCCCGAAAACCGCCGAAAAAAAGGGGTATCCCAAAAACCGCAAAAAAGGGGTACAATAGAAACGGGGGGGTACCCCACAAGGGACGACGCCCCCCCCCCCGCATGGCCCGCGTCTGGCAAAAAAGCTCCGAGACACGTTGGCATGGATGCCCTCCTTCAGCAGCTCTTCCGCGCGCAGCAGCAGCTCCCCGCCGAGGCTCACGCAGAAGTTGGTGCCGTCCCCGCCTCGTGTTTCGCCCGAAGAGCTGCTTCTATGTTTTGTTCTTTTGGGGGGGGGGGGCGGGGGGGGAGCGCGGGGGGGAGGGCGGGGGGAGGGCGGGGAGGGGGGGGGGGGGGGTGACAATCTTGGGGTGATAATCACAATCTTATGCTGGTGGGAAAAAAGGCAAGCGCCCTTGATTTGTTTTGGGGGGTTGATCAGTCGCTCGCAAACGTGGGGACCCTTTGTGATTTTCGGTGGGAGCCATTGCAGTTGCTGGCATCCATCCGTCTCCAAACCATCGAACCAACACCAACCTGCTGGCGCAAAACATGGGCCTCCCAGCCATGAGCCTCCCATTTCCGCCGAGCCGCTCTCCTGCTCCTGACTCTTTGCCGCCATGACCTCAGGTTGGCTGGGCTCAATGGGACACGGCAAGACGCTTGAGTCGTCACACTTGCACTCCTTCCACTAAAACGCGCCCAAACCCAAAAGCCCCCCCCCCCCCGGCAGAGCTGTTTTTGGACATCCATTTCTTGCCTTTCGGTTTCTGGGTCGAACAAACAAGAGGGATCTCCTGTTCAATGTCCCCAGCCAGATCCCGAGTCAAGCCCTCAGCCCAGTGGGCTGACGGACGCCCAGCGGTAGAAAAAGAAACTGGAACCCTTCTTCCCTTTGCAGAGTTCACTGGGTTGCTGGCAGAGACCCCTCTGCAAAAGTTGTTCACATTTTGTGCGTTGCAATTCGGAAAATCCCAGCTGGTCCCACCAAACAGTGAAAGTCAGAAGATCCAACCAAATAGGCTTCAAGTTACTGCGGAGTTAATACTCCCCTACAGATTCACGGAAGGAAGCAAGAAAAAGGAGTCCATTTAAGGGAGATTCTGATCCTAAACATGGTGGGGTTTTGCGTTCCATGGTCAACTCTAGGGGGGTAATTGTTGTTGCTCAGTGCGCAGTTGCCCAGGCCTTTTGGTCAGTTGATGGGCAAGTGTCAAGTCTAGGGACCACTGTTCGGTCCTTTTTATTTGGTGCGAACCCTGCCTTGGTTGACCAACCCACTTGGGGGTCCCATTTTCTTTCGAGACGAACCCATACCGCAACCGGAACGCCCCTGAAGCAAGCAGTAAGCCATTTTGTGCACCGAAGCGGCAACCAGCTTGGCTGCGGGGTGCATGACCTCCATCTCTGTGACGATGGTGTTGGTGTCGCTGGTGACCTGCGTCGAATGGCTGGAAGAGCCATGCAGGTCCTGGAATTGAGCCGGTTCTGAGTGTGCCGACCACGCTGGAAAACATGAGGTTTCGCAACCCGTCACGGGAAACCATGAATGAAACATGGAGATAAACGTCTTTTCCTATGGGATGGTAAGGGACACGCCCCTCTATTCCAAGGATCACCCTGGAAACCATCTTGCTTGAGTCTCCAACAGGTGGGTATGAAAGTTGCATTTGGAGCTCTGATGAACAAAAATTGGATTTACTTGGGCCACCACTCAGGTGTTGGTCCACTGATCGTGGCGAAGGTTGGATTCAGAGCACCTCTATTGTCCCCTATTCGATAAACATGGTTTAAACTCTTACACTTCCGTTTGCTTAAGCCCGCTGGCAAAACACATGTGTCCAATGGTGAAATCGATTCCCTTTGAATTCACTTAAAGGAAAATAAACATATTATGAAACGCAAATGTGTGATAGATTTACTTTAAAACCAACTTGGGGAAAACAACAAATATCGTATGAAAATGCAAATTAGTGTATTCGATGGAACATAACACAAAGTATGAATGTCAGCAGATGGAAGTCAGTGATAGATTCCCTTTAAAACCAACTAAAGGGACACTAATTAACATATTGTGAAACACAAATTAGAGAAATCGATTCCCCTTAAACTTAACTTAAAAAACACATCTGGGAAAATATAGCATATCCATGACAGAAAATGGAAGTGAGTGATTGATTCCTTTAAAGCCAACTGGAGGCTTTACCGACAACAACAGTATTTATTTCGGCAAACTTCCATTTGCTTAAGACCCCTGGACAAAATAAACAATATGTCCGGTAGTGACAAATTGATTTTAGAACCAACAAGGGTTTTTACAACGTAAGCTTCAGCAAATGGAAGCAAATGGCAGTAAATTGGCCCGTCGAGGTGCGAAGTGCTTGCCCAGGTGGTTCACGATGAGCTTGTTCATGCCGAAGGGCCCCAATGAGGTCTTCGTGATCTGTGCCAAGTTCCTCAACGCGTTCGATGGACGGAAAAGGAACCAACCTGGAGTCTCCATGATCCTTTAAAAATAGGTCCATGACCCCATGTTTTAGGGTAATGACCCCATTTTTTGAGGGTCATGGAGACTCTAGGAAAGGACGCATTCTACTGTGGATGGTTCCGCGAACTCCGTTTCGCAGCACCGTTCAGAAACCCTGGAATGATTTTGATTCATCCTGTACATAACAGCAAACAGTGGATTCCCATGGTTTGAAAGTGGTACAGGGTTTCGTCCATCCACAGTATGGACGAAAAGCAAAGGAACCAAAGGATCATCAAAGAAACCAACTGGAAACCACGGCTTGGACTTGTTGGGGTTCGATATGGAAACCACGACTGGACTTTGGAGTGTCCATTTGGAGGCAACCAGCTGGAAACCGTATGGACTCTAGTACCCTTGTCACAGATTGTGGGCAGTCGGACACCAAAAAACGCAAACAAACAAACAAACAAACAAAGGAACTGGACCTGTTTTGAATCCCGGGCGCTTGCATGCCTCGATGTTCTTCAGCAAGGCCTCATCCACGCCGGAAAAGTGTTTGCCGCCATCTTTCAGCAGGCTCTGAAGCCCCACCTGCTGATTGAACATGGCGCCTGCAGATCTCTCCCCGCGCGCGATTTTCTCGCGAGCTCGATGGAATTCGGACCGTTTTGAGCCTCTCTGCCGGCCATGCGACATGCAAAACGCAGGCCACCGGGACTGCACTGACGTGATCTCCAAGAATTGTCCAGCGTACTTTTGCAGATTACAGGACCGCTGGTCAGCTGGAAACGCAAGCCAAAGCAACACACACACACACACACAAGGCCACAAAGCTTGATAAATTGTTCTCAGTCATGGGTATGTGACAAAACAGGAGGACCTGAAAAATTGCTTCGTTTCTGTTGTCTTGATTTCCATTTAAGCCGAATCCATCTCTTTCTATCCAAACGGACCCAAAAGCACGCGACACTTACCCCCTACTCCAAATACCCTCTTTTTGCAGGGTATCATGTCGACCCTCTACCAAAAAAAGAGGTATTTACCATCAAATAGCCCGGTTTTCCCCCAACTTCCCTGAACAAAAAAACGTGTATTTCTTGAGTAGGGGGTCTCAGTTTTGTGGCGCAACAAAAACGGGCTGTGGTTTGCTTCGGCTCCGAGGAGCTGCTTTCGCAGAGGCCGATCCAAGTTGCAGTGCTCCGAGAAGTCCGCCACCACCTCCGACACTCCGACACTCCGACACCGGCGGTGGGCGGTGGGCCCGAGTTATCCCCAAAGCTCACGAAACCCTGGCGCTGGATCCTCCAGATTTGAGAAGTTGGAATAAGCTTAGGTACCAACTTGTCCATTTGTTTTCTTTTTTTTGGGGGGGGGGTTGTCTATTTTAGTGGGGGAACCCTCCCCCAAAAAAGAGTAAAAGAAGAGGGTACTACTGGGGGACCTAGCTGGGACTGGGGTTTGATATGGGTCAACGCTACTTCCATTTGGGTTTTCGCCCCTGACAAAATGATAAATCTATCCAGTAGTGATGAATTCCTTTTAAAACCAACAAGGGAAAATAAACAATATGCTTAAGCAAATGGAAGCATCAAGAATGTTGACCCCTTTCTAATCAACCCAGGGTGACATGTGGGGAATCAGACCACCTTTGGAGGGAAACACCCCCGTACCAATAAGCGCGGGGTTTATTAATATGGGGTCAAGGAAGCTGAGAAAAGGGTAACCTCAAAGCACACAGCTGGGTGCATCGTGCATACTATGGGTGTTGCAATGGCCCTTGAGTGTGAGCTTGGGGTGACTCCATGGTGCTCCCCCCAAGTCCAAGTGTCCAGTGGGGAAGGTTGGACTGAAACGCAATATGGTTGCCCGCAAGAACTCTTCCCAGGGAACATGAAACCATAATCAACTTCCCCTCGCCCAGCTCCCCCCCGCCCAAAGATCCTCGAAGGACCCAGCAAGCAAAACGGGCATTTCAGGGCGCCACTGAACCCACAAAGACATGATCATAGCCGGGTATTTAAGTTGTCGACCCAGAAGCACGTTCAGCATTGAGAGGGCGGATATCCGCACCTCTTTATGTCCCCCCAGAGTTTCATGGTGGTTCAACTGGACCACCAGGGTGCTCCAAACACTGTATGTTTTATCTGTTTCATATATTTAGTCTACCCATGGTCTATGCCTGGAGGAACAAACATCATGGGGGCTGTGGAGGACAAATGGCCTGCATCTGCTGCATCACGCGTGTGGCGCTCTCATCCAGGCGCGTCAGCGTGGTGATGACTTCATTCAAGATCACCTCCCCGGGCTCTCTTTCATTGTGGGTGTCTTGATTTAGAGCACCTGCATTTAGTGTGAAACCCAAAGGAACGCACCTGGTTTTACAGGGTTCCCCGATTTTGAGGCACCATAATTTGGGATCCAAGATCCCCTCATGGCCTATGACGGTCCTACGCCTGGCCTGCGAGTCGCCCTACAAAAGTCCTCTCGGACTTGGTTCCCAGGTCTACAATGCATAGACTCTGTAAGCTCCGGTGGGGTCTCACAGGTAAAAATGCAAAAACCACCTTCCAGAGGCAAAAAATCGGATCCTCTACATCTGAAGGCCCTGTCTGTGGCCTGGCTGCTCATCTTGGCCGCCATATGCTTCAAGTCCCCAGAAACATCAACAATCTGCCCCCTACCAGGGGAGGGGGAGGGGGGTCCCCAAATTCCATGTTGTTTGCCTTCCCCATACCATGTTGTTTGTCTTCCCCATAAAAGGCAACATGGAACCCCAATTTCATGTTGAAAAAGGATGGGGATTAAACAAGATTCTCAAGCAAATGGAACTTGGACTTGGTCGCCCATCCCTCCCTCTCTGCCGGATCGATCCGAGGTGCACTGTTCACAATGGCGCCCAGCAGCATGGTGCCGCAGAGGTAGACCAGCTCTGGAGCGGTGAAAGCCGACATGTCCTGAGTGCGAACTTCTGGGGTCAACGGCCTTCTGAGATGAGTGTTCTTTTGTTCCCCCTCTCCCCAAAAAACAAGACAGGCCAAACAAAAGGGTTTTCAGAAACAACCAGTTGCAAGTGACCCCAACCCACCTACAAAAGAGGGACTTTGGAGGGTGCCACTGAAGAACAACTGGGGGCAAGCTGTCCATCATGGTTTGCTGGTGCTGATGCTTGACATGGGCCTAATCGCCCGGAGAACTCTCTAATATTCGGGTCTGCTTGTGGCTGAAGTGACAGACCAGCATGCCCTTCCGGCATGGTTTGCTGCTTTAGCCATGCCCATCGGCATTCAAGCAGTGCCCAAAACCCGCATGACTTTTGGCTTTAGCAAAATGTTTGCAAAGGTATTTACAAGCCACAACCCCATAACCCTAGTCTTGGGCGATGCCCTTCAACTCAAACCGGTGATGGCAGGCCGCGCCAAAGCCCACAGTGGTGAAGACCGTCAGGACAAAGTAGAAGGAGTGGAGCCATTGCGCCTCCCGACTCAACTTGGGAAGCAGTCGGTTAGATATTCTTAGACCCCCAACATGGCTCCGGGTTTCGGGCTTCGTTGTCCTTTTTGAAGCCAACCAAAAAAGGGGTCCCTTGAAAAGGGTTTGCACAGTGGCGACCTGGGTTGCTCCAAAAGATGCTGGGGGTAGAACAAGCTTGGTCCGAGAAGAACATGCAAAGTCTCTTTTGGGGGATGTATGTGATTGATTTGAGTGTCACAGCACCGTGAAAGGCGGCACCATGACAACATGAGCCCAAGGGTGTGTTTGGTTGGATTTCTTGGCGCGCCTTGCCGTCAAGCTTGTGGAAGCTCTATTGAACCTTTTGTGCTAACCGGCGCGAATCCCAAGTAACGCACTCCAGCCGCTTGCTTCAGCTTGAACCTCCTTTGGGGGGCCGTGTTTGCACCTACAGCATCTGGGTTGCGAAGGCTTCGAGCGAATTTCAGTGTCCGGGTCCGGTCAAACTGAAGACTTTTGCTAAAGCTGAGGTCCTGGGGGTAGAAACCAACACGTGTGGTCTGATAGGCTGGGACCTACATGCGGCGAGTCTTTGCGAACTCCCTTGCAAGCGACCCCATCGGGATGCGCACCCTCAAAAAAAAACAGGAAGCACACCCCACACCCCGACCGAAGGAAGGCAAACCAAGCAGGTACCCTTGGTAAGCTTAGAGCGTTACAGGGTATCCGTGGCAATTGATCTTCCAGATACCTCCTATATACTGGCGCTGCGTTTTAGGGTTCATTTCGGGGGCCGCCCCTTCATTCACGTCCGTGTACCGGCAACTCGCATGGGTTCCAGCTACTCCATTCCCCCACCCGTGATGTGGGTTCAAGCTCCAGTTTCCCCCAACCCAAACTTCCATTTGCTGAAGTCCACTGGAAAACAAAACGATCCAGTAGTGATAGATTCCCTTTCAAACCAACCGGGGGAAAATAACATATAGTCTGAAGCAACTGGAAGCAGTCTCCGATGTCCGATTTGCGACCCCTGCCTGGGGCGAAACTTCTGTGCCGTCCCCGCGGTACAGGAGGTTTCCCCCGCTCGAGTCGGAGATGCGCATGCCCAGCCAGGTATCCTCGTACCTTGGGCTCGGCTTCAACTCTGGACGAACCTGAAGAAAACGGTCACGTGGGGGCAAGCTTGCTATCCGGCCGAGCTAAAACAACTGGGGAGGGTGGGTGAGTGGGTGGATGGGTGGGTGGGTGGAGTGAGCGAGCGAGGTTACCCTTTTTGAAGCGTGGTCACAAAACATACGTCCAAATTCTGCTTTATATTTAATCAATATATCAAAAAAAGATGCATCAACCTGCAAGGAGACCCCAGATTCCCCGTTCCAACATGTCCCAAAGGAAACCTAGACAAGGCAATGTTTAAGACCACCCTTTACTCATAAAATCCTCCGCCCCTGGCTTCCCCCAAAAGAAGGCCTGCAGGGTCGTATTCTGGGGAAAGATAGAGAGTCCCTGTATGTCCCACTTAAGCATACACTGCCAAAGGAGAATCACCTAAATTCAGCCCCAAAACGAAGAACCCTGAAACGGGGGCACGGAATTAGTGGGCGATTTGGGGAGGATTTGGGGCTCGAACTGCAGCTCAGCTTCGGCGTATGTGTGTTCAGGGCCGCCACGAGGTACCAGCCGCAGCAAATCATGTGAGCGACCCAGGACTTGGCCGCCGCGTCTCAACGGATCTGACTTGCAAGAAGTCGGACTTTTCAGTCCCTAAATCACCTGGTATACGTAGACACCTTGACAGCCTGGTACAGGTGGTGATGGATTATTTCTTTGGCATGAAGGTGACAGAGCTGTAAGGAACGGACACACAAACAATGACCCGAAGAGACACACACATTGCAGGCTTGCTGTTCACAGGGCTTAGCTTTGTGCAGAAGCCTCCAGGGTTTGAAGAGTCTTACGCTGGGTCATTTTTGGCTGGTTCACATCGGCTCCGGTTCGACATCAGTTTATGGGCGCCCAGCTGGTTGGTGGCACTGTCGGATAGTCAAGTCGCCAGGGCTGGTCCCTAGGACGGCCGCGACACATTCAAAACCCGGAAGAACCAATCCTAAGGTCACTTGGAAGATACGGTTTTGCAGGGGGTTAAAAGGCATCACCTTATATTTTCACCAACCCTCTCCTAACGTATCGAACTCAATGCGAAACTCCTCAGGGTACGTTTCCCCACTGTTCGTTCACCCCGAGTTGCTCCGGGGGTAAGCAGCAAACCGGCAGGTGTTAGCCACCTCCTCGTTGGGGGTTGCCTTTGGATGCCTCTGGTAGGCTGGACCCCTCCAGGGATCCAACACGTCTCGTGTTCCAAGCCGACCGGAGGCGAGGCCAATGCAGCCACGGGGCGAGCATGCAGAACAAGTTGATGATCCTTGGGGCGACCAACGACCAACTCTCAAGAGCGTATCAGGCAACGGAGCCCGCCGGCTCGGGTTAAAAGCTCGGGCTGCCTCTCGCCTATCCTGAACCCATCTTCTGCAAATGGACTGTTTGCCATCATAGAATCAACATGTCTGCCCAAAACTGAGCCCCAACCCCGAACCTCAGTCAGGTATCCCTTAGTCGGTTGTTTGGATTGGTGGCTGGCTGGCTGGCTTGTAGCGTGATGGTAAACCCCTCCTGAACCACAGCACCAATCCAATCCACCCTTGAGGGAAGCTGACCCCGAGAGAAACAATACCAACCACAACCTCAGTTGTTCAGTGACCCTGGAACAAAAGGGAACCCTTTTTTGGGAAGACAATTTTTAGTGGGCAGCCACCAAACAAAGGGAAAAAGGGTGCCACTGAACAACTGAGCAACTCCAACCCTGCACTCCAAAGCTTTGGGCTCCACTCCGCTGCGCTCGATTCCGAGTCCGAACCTTCACCGGTCGATTCCGAACCGAGTCGCGAGTCGAATCGATTCCCTGCCTCACACCACGGAGGTTCCGGAAGTTCACGACCATTGGGCCTCGCGAGATTGAACACGCCCAGCACGCCCAGTGCCTCCAGGCAAGCCACTTTTTGTCACCAGAAACCATCATGTATGAAGCTAGAGGTAATCGGTAAGGGATTCCTGTTTGCCTGGTAGCAGGGGCAATAGACAACATACATTTCCGGGGTTCCACTTACTCCAGCATGCCCCCACCCCACCCCACCCCACCCTACCCCAACCCCACCCCATGGTAGCGGGGATCCCGTGACGCGTTATCATGCGGTTGCCCTGTGCGCGCAGCAAGCTGCCAGGCTTTTTGGTTTCGCGTTGAAACAAGAGCTCGAATCAGGTCCCTGCCCCCCCTCTTGCCATTGTTGGCCTGAGTTGTGTCAACGTGATTGCTGTCTATTTGCGGCTCCTCCTGGGCGGCGTGATACATGGCCCCTTCCATTTCGGGGAATCCTGGAAGCAAAACCCCTATTGCTGGCGCTGCTAGAAATAGTTAACCCTGTTTGTTTCTGTTTGAGCACGGTACGGTCCCTTACACGATACACTTAATTTCCCCTACTCGCAGAAAGCCTTCGAAGCTTGTCAAGGTGGTTTTTTACTTGGCCCAAAAGTATCCGAGGATCTTTACGGACTCCCAAAAGCGTCCGAATCTGGGGGGTTGAGCGGTAAGTTCGACGGAAGGCTTGTTGCTTTGGCATCCACGCGCCGTCAGACGAAAAACGACCGGGTGACGCCGCCAGGGCGACAGTTTTTTTTCCAGAATTTCCGAACTCTTTGGGCAAGAACTGCGCCATCTGAGCACTTTCGCCCAACAAAGTGCTCCAAAATGGGTGGCGTCCCTTACACTTCCGGAAGGAAGGGCCCTGCTAAAAACCATCTCCACAATCGGTTTGCGCAGGAAAAGGAAGAACCTCTGGCGCCCAACATGGCAAGCGAGGAAGTACAACCACCGTGGTGTAGCACAACCCGAGTCCCAACTTTGCGCCCCCCAGCTGCCGTGGCAGGGGAAAGACAACTAGGCCGCCGCGCTTTCATCCAGGAATCTGATCAGCTTCCTAGGCGAACCAGTCAAGCAACCCACCCCCACCAGGTGCGGCGAATGCATCCGACACGCGGAGAGGGGGGGGGATCCGTAAACACAGGCCCCGGTCGATGTCGAGCTGAAGCAACCATCTAAGGTAGAGCCACCATGTCGGCAGGGCCCACAGGAAAGGGGACGAACAACGATGTCCAACGCAGCCATATTCCCACCAGCCAACTCAAACAGCTTAGGTCGTATGGCCACAGAAACTGCTGCTCTTGGAAATCCATGAGCAGCTGAGCTAGGCCTTGCCTTGGGAAGTGTGCCACCTTAAAGGCAACCCCATGCCGGTCTCGAAATGGGTGTGCAAAACTTCTGGGATGCGCCCTGCAGATCACCCGAATCTGGCGACAGCCATATTTATTCGTCTTCTCCGCTACATGAGCTACGTGTCTTGCCATGTCTTCAATGCTCCGGTGGAGGCAATGGACGTGACAGACTGAAGTCGAAAGAAATCATCATTTTGTCAACCTCCCCTCAGAGCTCTGAACATTTGGGACCCCTGGTGGTTTTCCGCCCTGATCCAAAACGTGCTCCCCCTTGAGACAGACCCGGTTGCTTGGGAAGTGGTCGGCCCTGCGATCTAATGGCCCTGCGATCTAATGGCGATCAGAGCGAGTTTAAAGGGGAAGTCAAAGGGAAGGCATTCTCCCAATTTCAAGACACCCACATGCGTCATGGTCAACATATTCCGTTTCCAAAGTGCATGAGAAAGCGAGAAGGTCCGTGTTTTAGTGAGTCCCTGCACGTCCCTCCCAAATGGACAAGAAACTACCGCAAAGGTTGACGAAACCCCATATATTATGACCATGAATGCATCATATAGGTACTCACTTCCTGAGCGGATTGGCCAAAAAGATCCAAAAAGAGTCCAAACTGTCTATTTACCTCACAAATGGTCTTCCGAAATAGTATAATGGTCAGCAACTCGGGAAGTTAGAATGTGACATCTGTGGGGATACTTTACACCTGACCGAGATAGGGCTGAATGGCACAATCCCGTTTCTGTCGGTCAGAGGGGGATCATGAAACCTACTGATTCACCGCGCAGTCTTCCAAATGGGATCTGTGCCCTTCCCATTCGTTAAGGCTGCCTCATACCAAGGCTACGCCATTTATCACTTGTTTAGTACTTTCGCTAGCTGCCCGGCGAGGCAAAGGCGAGTCTGAATGGCATCATTCCTTTCTTGCAACCCATGTGGTTTTCAAAGCCTGTGAACACATCCTGGCCAAATCAGGTATCAACAAACTGCTCTAGCGCCGCAGGGTAGACCTGCAGATATCTGCAGGTCGTCTCGTGTTTTTGCCCCAATTCTATCGAAGCTATGAGTCCAACACAAACCTGCCAAAAAACAAGCGTGGACACTGGCAAGGGGAATTTCCTTTGAAAGAAGCTTGGTATTTCCAGCACCTTTCCCGAAGGCAGCCCATAGCTCTTTGCGGACCTTTAGATTGCCAACTGGGCTAGGTTTTCCAGTAGAGAGGTCAAAATAAGGGTACCCTTTTTGCTGTAGTCTATTTTAGTAGGGGAACCCTCCCCCACTAAAAGGGTGAGAAAGCGCACTACTCGGGGACCTAGTAGGGAACAATTGGTTTCAAGGTACGGTATTGCCATGTTTGGTCAGTTGCTATCTCCATGCACTTCCCGTTGCACCCACACGAACTGAAGCTATGCACAATCTGGTCAGATTACATCGCGACCGCACAAAAAAAATAGTCATTTCAGCAAATGGAAGAAACCTACAACCACAAACACCGTCTTTTGTTAGAAGGTTTAAGGGACCCGGACCCTCCCCCCCCCCGCCCCCCCACAAAAAATAACGAAGCATATAAGTCTGCCGGGTCGTCCTTTCGGTTTCCCTGAAGGGAAAAAAAAAAAAACGGAGAGCCGAGCTGCGAGAGCTGAATCAGGCGCACCAGCCGCGCCAGGCGCGACATGCGCTGAAGCCGGGTGAAACGCGCCACCTGCGGGGCTCGTCTTCTCACCGAGTGGACTGGGCCCCCCAAAAGGGGCCCCGATCTTTGGGGAATTGTTTGCCCGTTTTGTGCTGGGAATGCTTTGAAAAGACACGGGAGAAGCTCACGAAAAAAAAAATGGAAATCGCTCGCCACAAGAGAAAGTCGTGGAACTTTGGTTGCTTACCACCAAAATGATTGGCCCAAACCCAAAGAGGGACCAACAGCCAGGGAGTCGGGAAGTGAGTCTTTTGAAGGGAGACCAAAAAAAAGAAAAACAAGTTTTCTTAAGGAAAAAAATCTGAATCACCTCATGGTGCAGATCCCCTGCGGAACGTGTGTTCCTTAGCCTTTGGGATTGTGAACTGTAGGAGTTTCCTTTGTAAGAAACGTCCAATCAATCAGGGACCAAAAGGCGATGATTGAAACCAGTGGGGAAATTTCGGGACCCCTGAGGGGCCTTAGGGAAGACCAAGCTCGGGAAGCTTGGGGGGTCGGCAAAGGCGGGCCTACACCAGGTTTGGGTTGGGACGATCACGAAGCCAGCAAGTTGGGTTCTAATAGCTCATCTGATGCTCTGGAATCAAAGCAAACCGACCGAAAAGGCAAGAAGTAAGTTGTTCACAAGCCTCCTGCTGCCTGGCAGAGCCCCTGTCTTTTCCACAATTCCTTTCATAAATTTCTGGGACTTCCGTAGAAAGGAAGCGGTGGACGTGAAAAGCGTAACCCCGGGCACTTTCGCCTCAGGCCAATAGAAAAGGAGGTCAGGGGCCAGACGACAATGACGGCTCAAACTGGCACATGGAGTGGACATGGAGTGGACATCGGCTTGAAAAGTCTTTTGCTGGGCAGAAACGAACCCGCAGCCTGGGGGGGCAAACGCCCCGCCAAAAACAGCTCGCAAATGAGAACCCGCGCACTCAGCGTAGAGTCCAAGAGGGCTCAACACACAAAGGCGCAGGCGGGGGCTTTGCCAATGCCTGGGTAAAAGTGAAAGTCAAATACAGCAGTCGGGATAGGCAAGGAAACGCTTCAAGTAGAAAATCTTCAGACGCCGAAGGCAAATGGAAAGGGTGGCGAATGCAATGTCCACATCATACCGGTGAGCAATTGGGGCAGGATAAACATGCCAAACCTTGACAAGCCCACCGACGACCGCAAACATGAAGACAAGACCAAGAAGCTAATTAGCAACTGGCGGTCAGCCAGCGCCGGGGAAGAAGACAGAGAAGACATGAGAAGACAAGCTCCAAGAGGACAAACTTGACCAGTGACATAACATCATTAGTGTTTCGCATGATCGTCTCCTGCAGGTGCTGCAAGAGGGGACCAAAAGCCCCCACCCCCGACCCCGACCGCAGAAAGGTTCGTGCCAAAAAGGGGCTGGCTAAAATGGGAAATGAAGGAACATCAAAACTCCGCATCCACTTCGCGGTCCGGACTAGGACCTCGAGTGCACCCTCGTGGTTTCGTGATTCCTAGGGTTTGCAGGGCCCGAACTACTCCAAGGCTTGCCTGAATCCCGCTGAAGTCACTTTACCCTCGCGACTCACATGGAACTCACCTTCTCAGAACTCAACAGGGATCCTTACATTGTACACCTGAACATTGCCTTGTAAATGGTGTTGTCCCTTTATTTTGGTGGAAAAAGCCATGTTTCACATGGGCAACATTTATCTTTTAAGGAGCCCTGCTCAACCAGCTCACTTGGTCAATGAGAGCTCAGGAGTCAAAGGAACTGGCCCGTCCCCGAAACCGCGCCTCCAAGATATCGGTGTGCCTAGGGAGAAAGACGACAAGAATCGACACAAAACAACTTGGACTTTACGTCTAGGTCCTCCAGTAGAGAGGTTGGAATAAGGGTACCAACTTTTTCCTATTTTGTCTATTTTAGTAGGGGAACCCTCCCCAAAGCAAAGGGTAAAAGGGGACCTAGACATGCTTGATGTCGAGAGTTGATTCGGTCCAGGCTGAAAAAAGTCGGTGGGATTCACATGACGCGCCGCGCGCAGTCAAGAAGCCGCTGCTGTGCGACCCCTCGACGGCTCTGGGCATCCCAGCAACATGTCGACAGGGAACACAAGCTTCGCACTGTGCGTGGATGTGCGTGGACCTCTGGACCAGAAGAGCCAGTCAAAAGGTCACTGCCAGAGCAACATCGAGCGAGAGCACATGGCTTGCAACACCGTCTGATGTGAGAGGCTTGGTTGTCTTCCAACTGGTTGGCTGCGAGTGCATTCAATCTTACGCACAGCGAAGTGTCCCATTGCCGAGGCGCACGTCGGCAGAAAGCATGGCTTCCAGCAGTTGCGGCGGAATACAGGCAACCAAGTTCGGGAGAAAGTATGTCCTGGAGAATAATTTTTGGACGGTGCGAGTTGAAGCTGAAAAAAAAAAGCACATACACCAGAAAGTGGCTTCTACTTCTCAGTTTCAAGGAAGGCTTCGTTTTCAGACACCCCCCTCTGCAGCTTCCCTTTTAAGGGCCCCTCCACTAGCAAAGCTGCCTGGGTCTGCTCCTCACTGGAAGGGTACGTTTGCGTGTCTCCGTGTGACATTGCGAGAGAGGCGAAGTAGGTACCTTCTTGCTTAAGCCCCTTGATAAATAAATCTATATATATATATACATATAATCCAGTAGTGATGGATTCCCGTTAAAATCAACAAGGGAAAATGACAAATATTCAGCAAATGGAAGTAGGGTGAACAGCACGGCACAACTCCCCTTCCCCTTGGAGCTTCTCGATCATCAGCTCTTGGCGCCTCTACGCTTAGAGACCCAAGCACATAAGGCTACTAGCAGGTCAATGGGGTTGGCAACTGGGAAATGATGTACCGGGCTTTTCTTGCTGGTTCTCAGGAAGGAATGACCCGTCTATGTTTTGGGAATGAACCTGGGGGTTCCAATACTCAGGAATTCCCTGCCTATCGAACCATCAAGTTTTGGGGATCATACTGTGGATGGACAAAATCCTGCCCCACTTGGAAACACTCTGGTTGACACCGTGAGCTTTGTTGGTATTTAGGTTTGGGAATCGAACCATGCTGGTGGGGGTCCTTACCTCCATTTGCTTCAGTCCCCAGGAAAAACTAACAATGTGTCCAGTAGTTAAATCGATTCCCTTTAACATTCCACCGGGCGAAAGTAACACATCTTCCTTTCAGCAACTGGAAACTTTGCTGCGAAATGGATCCATTCCGTTCACTGCCGAGAGAGGCAGTGGGGGCCAGGGGACCCCCCAAAAGGTCGTGGTCCTCAGGTAGTACGTGGAGGTCTGCCGCAGGTCCACGACTTCGACGCCCTGCGAAGCGGCGGATTTGATTTGGTCCAACCCCTAGCCCCCAAGGCGCTTGAGCCTCTGCAGCTTGTCTAGGTCCTCCGGTAGAGAGGTCAGAAATAGGGTACCCTTTTTCTCTGGTCTATTTTAGCAGGGGAACCGGGGGACCTAGTTTCTTTTTGACAATCACAAGGAAAATCACTTTTGGGCAAAGTCCATGGCAGCCCGCCCGAAGTTCCCACCCCAAGGAACCTTCTGATCGACGGAGCGAATCAATGGAGGGGGTCTCCCAGTTTTCTAAACTCAGACCGGGGAGCATATGCCAGCACGCCGCAATGACTGCTTGCGTCCGCGTCTAAACGCCCATCGGCTGCCCAAGCAGCAATCGTTGTAAGGCTGCTGGTGACTTTCCCAAGAAACACACATATGCATTTAGGGTGTTCGAGGTGATGCTTCTGGGTCACCTACAACACTTGGGTTGTTGCTTTTGCATGGGCCTTCAGCACTCCGGCAGTCCCCGAAGGCGGGGGGGGGTGCCTGGCTGAGTGAAGCCAATCCGTCTCAAGGGGTTTCAAACACGCCATGGCAATGTGCTCACATCCACATGGCAGCAACAGTTTACCTACACACATCTATAATTATAACATGTATACATATACATACACAGACATTCTCGATTTGTTTGTTTGTCTGTGATGTTTGTGGTTTGTCGGTCTCTTTGTGTGGGTGTTAAAGCAGCAGGGCTCTCCTAAAACGGTTGGCTTTGCTTTTGGGGCTCCCTTTGAATACCAATAAAACAGGGTCCACCATCTAGAGGACCCCGTCCCCCTACCTGAGGCACGGCAAAGGGGCAAGGTGGCCCGCTGCGCCTTGGCGTCCTTGTAGCTAATGAAGAAGTTCAAGAACAGATCCACATAGAACAAACCTGAAAGGCAACGACCCTAAGACTCATGGCTCCTACAATGCAGGCCCCCGGGCCCTCCAATGAAGAACCTGGACCCCTCAAGGGCCCTCAAAAACAGCCCATGTTGAGGGCCCAAAAACAATCGGGAGCCTTAGGGGGAGACGAAAACGGGGAAATGGAGACGCGCTCGCTTCCGATTTGTATAGCCGCCCCATGTTTTACCCACAAGAATGGGCTTGTCGCTTTGGACAAGTGGAACGCCTCTTCCACCGTCAGGTCTTCCTTTGGTATCGCTTCAAAACAGCTCCAAAAAGGGTAGCCTGAAACACGAGTCACCCAACTGGCCTTCAACGAACAACTCCGCCAGGCTGCATCACCCCAAATTGGCCCCAGATTTCTGGCTTGAGACAGTCCTCCTGGTCTCGCCGAAGTGCTCCCAAAAGGGAAACACGATTATCCAAAAGTCTGCTTCCAAGCCCAGGAATTGGGGAAATAAGAACATGTTTGTTCGGAGAGTAGCTGGGTGCCGGAAAAAGGGGTCTGAAAAGAAAACCGCATCTCCTACATACCTCATTCCAGGCTGTCCTCAGCTCCCGCGCTAAAGGCTTAACTTCTAGTGAGTTAAATGGAACCCCGCGCCGAACCCCAAAAACCTAAAAACAAAAAAGGGGACGGGCGGGAACCAAGTATTGGCTTCCTCTTTGGGAAACATGGCGACAAATATAGGGGTACCTTTCCCAATCTGCAGAAACCTTCAGAAACCCCGGGGAAAAGGCAGCTTTTGGGAAGAACGATGCTTGAAAAGAAGGGAAAAGGAGTCAACTACTAGGACATTGGATCCATTTGGCTTGCCCGGCTCGTTGCTTTTCTTTTTCTGCTGAGGCGCAGTTCACGGCAAAGTCCAGTGGCCGGTCCAGCATGCCCTGGGCTCAAGTTGAGGTGCCGCTCGTTGAGGCCCCTCGAAACGCTAGAAAAAGTGGTTGCTTCAGCTTCCCTCCAATGGTTTGCGGGTGGTTTCCCATCAAACCTCTACAAGAACCAGGAGTTCAAATCCCCAAACGACCAATCCAAATCACCAATTCAGGGTAACCTGATTGCCGGTGATCCAAATGGGTTTGCTTTATTAACACAAAAGTCACACCTGGTAGAAACAGCAATGGAACCCTGTTTGCGTGCAAAGGTGTGGAACCAGTTTCAGTTTAAGCCACAAGGTGTTGCGGGTAGATCCAGCCAAGATACTCATGCAGACCCTTCATTCGCTGGATTGGCTTGGGGGGCTTGAATCACTGGAGAGGGTAAATGGACAAGGACACCTCGCCAATCATGCCAATCCAAAGGAGAGAGAAGACGCTAGGGGTTTACGAGAAGCCACCAACTAATCAAGGTGTGACATTGCAATTTGAATTTGCACATTGAAAGAGACTAGCAAAAGGCCTTGAGCAATTTCAGGTCAAAATCTGAAGCAAATTCGGAGTTGCACAGTTTTCGTGCCTGGCAAGGGGGGGGATCTCATTTGGACGAGGGCCGAAGCAAAGGCCCCTTGAACCCTCCTGGGCCGTTGTATGTTTTCCCGAAAATGCCCGTCGTTAGCAGGAAACGTACTCCTTAGAGCAGGGCTGTGGGAAATGAACACTTCTGTGATACAACGAAAAGGGCTTCCCAAAGACTAACCCCCCATATAAAGGGGGAGATTCCCTTGTATCACAGAAGTGGGGAAAAACGCCTTGATCCCACAACCCTGCCTTAGAGGGAATGGGATTCATGAAGATCGCCCTGTTTGAGACATACTTATGCAACACCAACTTTGGCGATTAACACTGCGAACCTCCTCTCCAACACGATCTCCACAACGCACGTTTTGATTCTTTGTTTGATTTGATTTACGTTTGTGGGCGCACCCACCAAACAGCAAGAAACTTGTGCGGGTTGAATCCGTTCTGGGGGTCTCCCATTGTCCAACTGAGCCCAAAAAACCTTGCTGTATATAGCGGACTAGTGGAAGGCCGTTGAAATGATCTAGTTCTCCAAAGGGGAGGTTCTCTGGTGTCAGAGAAGTGGGAATTAGCCCACTCCCACCCTGCGTGGCAAACAGCCACAAGCCTTCCCCCCGCATCGGCCGTCCAACTCGCTTCCTGCGGGACGTAGAGTGAGTTGGGCACGTGCAGGTCAATAAAACAAAGCCTGCGCGAGCAACGAGGCGATAGGACGATGAACGGGCGAAACTGACTTGGAAGTATGCAAACATCATCTTAACACACAAATACCGCCTTGGTTGGGAGAACAAAGTGTTTGGTTCAAAAGATGGGTGGGTAGAAGCGCTTGTGCTATTTCACATCTTGTCCGATTCGGGTCCCTCAATCCCTGTCTTTCCCATTTAGTGTGCGAGTCTGCTGCTCTGAACATCTGCCGAGATGCTGAAACGGAAAGTACGTGGCTGTGTAGAGCAGCCTACGCGGAGCCATCTCAAGTTCAATGCAGCGAAACAAACGCAGAGATGCAGAGTGCTAAACTTCCTCCATGCTGACGAGCTGCAGAAAAAGAACCTCAGCTCATTGAAGCCAATCGCTCCAAGCACGGAGATGTCTTCATGGCTGGTGAGGCGCAGCAACAATTTTAGCACTTGGATGACCTTCCACGACTGTCGCTGCCCATGTTCTCGGTTTGGATGCACCTGTCACCTGCCTTTCGAATCTCATCTTGACACGTTCCGCCCAGTCCCAAGCATTGCCAAAAACCAAGTGATCTCCCAGCTGAGTGCCGCGCGACTACATTCCACACCCGCCGCAGTATGGAATCTTCCACCAAGATTAACGAAGAGCAGCATGCGTGAGATCCTTGGCTACGGCCATGCGAAACACTGCAAAATGAGGCCGCAGCACTGCCAGCCATTTGCTTTTTTGCCCCCAGAACATCTGGACCGGTGCAAACCAAAAAAACAGTCTAGCGGTTGATTGAGGGATCCAAATCTTTAATTTGCTTAAGCCCCCTGCATGGACAAACATAGGCATATGTCCAGTTTTCCCGCTTGGAGCGGATTTAAGGGAAGCCTGAAATCTGAAGATACCCTTTTGCTGTGGTCCTTACATCTGAAAGGAACAACTGGCTCTCTTTTTTTTGCGGGGGGGCTACAGTAAAAAAAGATACACCGAATTGGTTTAAACAACTAAACACTTTGGTGTTTAAGCTGTGGTTCCCTTGGTGTACAGTGTTGTTCTGACACGAAAAAATCACCTCTGCCGAGCTTCCGGGGGAGCTTCGCGTGGACAGGATGTCTCGAAAGCTCCGAATGCTGCTGACGGAGGTTGGATGGACCTTGGCACTGCCCCCCTCTGTTTGCTTGTCCGATTTGAAACTCAATTCCGTGGATTGGCCCAAACAAAGGACTCTGATTTGCTATTTTCTCACCAGCCAAATGGTCCAAACCAAAAGTGACTCAAGTCAAGTGCAGGTGAGTTGAATCAAGCCTGAAAACTTTCCTGCGCCTCTCTTGGAAGACATGGGAAGGAGTCAGGTCTACCCCTCTGGAGGCCTTCTTGACCCTAAGACCATCCAACTGGTGGGTTTCCGTTTCCTGCACCCAAGCCCCCAACAAAAAAGCACTTCCCAGCGAGTTGGTGTCCTTTCTTCAAAAATCCGACCAAAACCGGTTCATTCCCAAAACCCGGAAGCTTCGTCATTCCTTACCCACCAGCAAGCTCCTTTCAGCAGGGATCCCTGCGTCCCTGCGTGATATTCTCCACATGGCCCTCAAACTGTGCTGTGCTGAGGCAAACTGCCCTTGCTGCCCTGCCCCAAAACAAGCTCGCAGATTTAAGCTCAAAATGCTGCACGTGTGGAAGATGGGGCCATGGGACAGTTCGTGAGTCTTCTGGTTTTAGGGAGATAGCTGGTCCCCCATGTCCCTCCCAAACATAACCACAGACTACCAGCTCTCACCGAACCTCATGTTATTTGCACCGTTTCTCCTTATTCTGGTGGAAACGACCACTAGGATACTAGGATTATGTAGGATACATTGGGATAAGTTGGCAAACAAAACAGCTTCCTCTCGGCTGTTACTGCCTTCCCAAACGAGAATTCAAGGTTTCTGGGCTTTTTGAGATGGCCCCAAGTCAAGAATGGCTGCTCGCAGTCCCCCGCGTTGATGCTTGGGGGGCTCCCCAGCCGAGCAGTCTAGAGCCCGGGCGGGCGAGCTGGCGCAACTCTCCTGCTCGTAGTGGTAGTCCACCTGCCAACGACTGGGAGCACGCCGCAACGCCCAACGCCGCTGTTTGGGGGGGGGGGGGGTTGGGTTTGGGGTTGGAGGGGGGTTGAGGGGGTTGGGTTGGGGTGGGTTGGGGGGGTTGGGTTGAGGGGGTTGGGTTGGGCGGATGTTGGGGGGGTTGGGTTGGGTGGGGGGTGGGTTGGGTGGGGGGTTTGGTTGGTTTGGGTTGTGGGGGGGGGGGGTTTGCGGGATTGGGGGGGTTGGGTTGTTGGGGGGGGGGGAGTGGGGGGGGGGAGCGTTGGGGGGGTTCGGGGGGCGTTGGGGGGGTTCGGGGTTGGTTGGTTTTGGTTTTGTGGTAAGGGTGTTTTTCACAAGCAAACCCGTGCCAGGCATCAGTTGGTGTTCATCCATCCCAATTGGTGCAGGATTTCTGGCAAAATCACCAAGGCTGCTCCAAAACACCCGTGTCAAAGGAACAGACCTTTGGTCTGGAGAAAGTTGATTCAAAAGGGCCCAATACCACGGCTTCTACCTTGCGGTCTGGTGATTGCTTTGAGTTTGGGTTGCTCATTTTGCCTGAAAAGGAGGCGAAAGCAAAGGCAAGCCTTTCGTGCGCTGTACTACCAACCACGCCTTCCGCCCAAAATCCCAGTAGCCTTCCACAAGCGAGCATGAAAACATCAAAGGCTCCAGGAAGCTCTCGATTTCTTCTGTAGTTTATTTTGGTAGGGGAACCCTCCCCAAAAAAAGGGCAAATGGGCACTACTGGGCGACCCAGTTGATTTGGCAAAAAGAAAACCACCGCCCAAGGCGGCGTTGACCAACGCTCCAATCCCCCCCGCGAGTTGGAACTCAAAGCTGCGCCTGGTGCTGGGGAAACTCCTCATCTGGGCCTCAAATCCGGCCGGGTCCCTAGGCCTTCGCACTGGGAGGAGCCCCTCACTCAAAAACCCAAGAAGGGTTCACGGACTGTCCGCGTCAATTCCCTCTGGAAATGCAGCTCATCAAAATGATTGGGGGGGCCGATCACAACCTTGGTACTGTATGGGCTTGCAAAAAGCTGACTCTTTCCTGCAGCCCGCACGCCACAAAGCTAAAAACTTGATCCAAGGACAGTCAAGCGCAAGAAGCAAATGGAGAAACCCATTCGAGTTCCCTTGCCCAGGCCGCAGGCCAATGCTTCCGGCGACAAACAAAGCTGGCTTAGCACCAAGGCTTAAGCGCCATGAATGATGGGATCACTAATCCGCAATCCTGCAACCCGCAGTGGGAAAGAACAAAGAGTGAAGCCGCTACCTTCTGTGGATCAATGCGGCTTGTTTTGCCTGACTGCTTGCTGCCGAGGGTTGCCCGACCCTCCTTCAGAGATTCAGCGTGTCACTGCCAGGCTCACTCTTAATATGTTTACCCCGCAACAAAACAAAATAACTAAAACGATGCCATTGCCTTTTTCGGGGGCACCCTGCAAATCAACCAGGGGTTTAGTGATCTCGGGTCCCCACAGAAAGAAAGCACGTCTGCCCCCCGGCGCATGGGATTCTTTTGTGTGACGTTCGTGAGTGGCCGCGTTGCCCTGCCAGTCTGGCAGTGACCTCTGAGGTACATGTTTGTGTTGAATGTGGCGTTTATGTAAGCTTGGAGAAATGTCCTGGGTCCTTTTTGGCTCCACGTCAATTTTGCTCGGGTAATAATGACCATATTTGAGTCTTGGCAGCCCATTCTTCTTTGATTCGGATCGTTACAACATGTTGGTTGAAAACAACTTCTCTTCAAGAAACCGGGAAACTGCAGCCCTGTGCATGCAAAAAAAGGGCCCGGGAATCTGGGAAGGCTCCATTTTAAGATACCACGTAAAGGGTGACTTTGACAGTGGTGAAATCATAAGGCCAGCTTCACCTTGGGCTATCAGGCCCGAAATGGCGTGCGACCTGTTCAGCGGTTGCCTTCCAGGTGCCTCGGAACTCTTCAACACAACCAATGGGTCGCTTTGAACAACTTGGATTAACACAGGTCCGCTCTCGCACGTGGACATCGGACATATGGTTCACGGTCGGGTTGCATGTAGTGACAGGTCCAGCAGGGGCCTTTTTTAGGCGAGCGGCACTTGACGTCGAATGCCATCTGCCATGGGACGAGCAAAGGGAGGCCACGAGGCTTCTTCTTTCTTGCCTGTTCCCCTTACGCATGCCTGGAACTTCTGCACAACCATTGGCGAAGGCCCAACGCATGGAACTTCTGCACAGAAACACCTCACCAACCATTGACGAAGGGGCCTTCCGTATGGGACAAAGCAGCGGGAACAGCCCCCAGCATCTGGTACTTTTGTGCCCCAACCTGACACATCTGCATGCCTTGACTAAGTCCAGGTATCCAGGGTCGATTTTGCCAGTTCTGTTGGCCCGCGCGGCTGGTGTGTGTGCCGGTGCTGTGCCATGGCGGATGGCTGTTGTCGATAAAGCTGACCTGACTGAACCAGCTGCAGGCACGCGACCTGATCCCAATGTAAAGCCCGCCGGTAGCATTTGCCCCAGCCAAACCACACGATAAACAGAACCCCATCAGCAGCTTATTCCATTTTAAACGGAACACCAAAAAATGGTGTTTCTCCAGAAAGGGGCCAAAGGGGCCCTTGTAGAAAAGATTGTGAATGTTGAAATCCATGATCAGCATAGTGTTCCGCTGCCAAGGGGTGACCATGGACATGGAGGATTTCCATGTAGTTTCCCTGTTGATGTTGGAACGTTGGGTCATGAGTTTCACTGTTTCTGATTTTCCGGTGAACCAACCTTCATGAAGGGTACCCCTGAAACCCACGCACACAAGCAGTACATAGACATGCATATATATATATATACACATATATGTAAATATGTGTGTGTTTCTTTGAAGATACCCTTTACCTTAGGGAAACAAAAGGAATACAAACCAAACCAATTGGTCCCCCTGGTTTGGCACCCCCCAATACACTAATTATCAAAGATGTCGAGGCCGTGACCTGTTAGAGTCCAATCACGGCTTGACTGCTTTACAGGCTGAACAAAAACATGAATGCAGAACCGTACATGACGCACCTCAATGGTGAGCAAGAAATGGTGAACCATCCTGGAAGCCCCACAACTCGACACACCTTGCGAATCTGATGTAGGGCTCGAGACGGGCTGTCTGGGGAAACCTTGCTCAGAAGCGCAAAAAAAAAGAGAGCAAACTGCCACGAGAAGTTGAGCACACACCCGCCAAAAACAAGGGTTTGGGTTAGTTTCCTGCACAACCTCCGGTAGCCGGTTTGATAGAGTTCAGTTCGTTCCGCATTCAGAGTGATTCATCTCTTTCCATCACCAAAAACAGACGTGTAAGACTCATGCCTGGAACCCTTTGTTGAGGCTCATGGAACCCTCCCGTCTGCTCATGTGGCAAACCCTCATGCATGGAACCCTCCCTTGTGGCAAACAAATGGCCTCTGCTCCTTTGCTTGTGGCCTCGAATTTCCTGGTCCCCAGCCAGATGTCACACGTCCCCCCAAGATGTCACACGCCGGCAGCGGGCCAGGAGGAGGTGGAGCCCCGGAGCAGCGACCCAGCGGGGATCCTGGCGATCCGAGTTCCGATAGGGCTGTTCCTCTCCAAAGGTGGTCTGGTTCCACACACCCAGTTGGACACCCCCCAATTGAGAACCTGGGGGTGATTTATACTGTATGGGGCCCAACATTACGCCCCGGGACAGGTACAAACCCGCAATGCGACTTTTGACTAGTGCTTCATTCAGCTCCAGCCTGCAGTCTTCTCCGGTCCGGCTGTAAAAGCTTGCAAAACGAATGCTAGTGCACTCAGTTTAGCACCGTCTACATGCTCAAAAGTGTGTTTGTTGCGAAACAAGGCAGCAAAACAAGAACCACTTGGGCCTAGAGAGGAAAAACTGGATTGCGTCTACCAGTCCGGCTTTTGGAAACGGGCTCTCCCTGAGAGGGGATTGTAGGGCTTATAGAAATAGAAGCGGTTCGAAATGCTTTAAAAGTCGGCCATGAGTAGGGCTCGTACTTGTACATTCGGCGCGAGTTGTTGGAACGTAAGTTTGTAGCCCACTTGTGGGCTCCCGCTCGGTGGAATTCACCTTGTTGCCCAAGTATCATGAAAGTAGCGGCTTAGCTCAGCCGAACATGGAACCCACCAGAAAAGATCGACTCAGAAGTCCAGCGGTCTCAGGCATGTCAAAGTGAGCCGCACTGCAAACTGTTGCCTGGACAATTACCTTCGGATACGCCCCAGGCAGGTTCCATGCTAACTTGGTTGACGTTGGAAGGGGAGCAACCATTTAAAGTTTAGCAGTTAAGTGGGGATTTCCCACTAAACAACAATAAGCAAAAATGTAAAATGTTTTCCAACAAAAACCATGCTAAGAGTTCGAAGCTGGTAACTGCCTGGCTGCAGTCCGTGCAGTCCCCACAAGTGATAAAACAGTTGGTGTAGCTCGTGATTGCGGGAACCACTGCAACAAATGGCAACTTGGTGATTAAAAAAAAGAGAGTACATAACTCATGCAAATTGCAATGAACTCATTTGTTTGCATATAAGCATCTACCTTGTGTGAAAGGGGGGGAAGTTGAAGTTGCTCTGAGCAAATCAAGCCAGCACCCATCCCTTGAGCAAGTACTGTATGTAAGTACTTGCGTTCGTATGGATTATTATACATGTTAATGTGGCAATTGAACTTTGAACAATACTGTTTGAACATGCCTAATGGGGGGCATACTTAGGCTTCAGGAAGTGAATATCAATTACATGGTACGGGCTTGTAATTTCGCAGGGCGACTGGGCAAACAAGTTGAATGCTAAGCTGCGCCCAACCCACTATTTGCCATCTTGAACCATATTAGAGCCATCAATCAATAGGTTTTGGGCACTGTGAGGTTTGGTCAAACATTCTAGTATACTCGGTTGACCAAACAAGTTTCAGCTGTTTGCCGCTAAAATGGTCTTCCCAAAAGGTTTCAAGTTCAGAAACTCAGAGAGTGTGAGTATATGGTCCATTTGGGAGGCTCGGACATGCCATTTTCGCCTGGCCCTGCAAGCGAACGGCGAGTTCACGCGCCTCAAAGGCACTTCCGGCGCCTGGCGATGGGTCGCTCGCTCTTATGGCTTCGGCTCATTTGGCTGCGGCTCAAAATCCCGGAATTCCAAACTGGGTTGGCCTGGGAAGTGGAAACGACCAAAACCTTTTTGTTTTTTAAATTTAATTGAGCCACACCCAACAAAACGACACCGAAATGAGACCAAAAGGACCAACTGCGGATGGTTGCGAAATCCAGAAAACGCCCCACCGTTCAGAAACCCAACGGAATGATTCGATTCCCCAACGTGAACACCAACAAACGTTATGGGTTTCAACCATGGTTTCAAAATGGTGCGAAATGGATTTCGTCCATCCACAGTACTAAGATGGGACGAACCAAACATCAACTTGAGCAAATGGGACACAAGTGCGGCAAATGGGCCGGTTCTCCCGGCTCAGCTCAGCTTCAGCAGCACTCACGCCCGACCGGCGTGAGCCGCCTCGACGCGCACGGTTTCACCTCTCGCCCGCTGTGCTCGAGCGCTCTACTAGGTCCTCCAGTAGAGGGGTTAGAATAAGGGTACCCTTTCTTTCTGTCTATTGTAGTAGGGAAAAGGGTACAAGGGCACTACTGGGGGACCCAGTCTATGTACACGAAGCTCACGCTTGGAGCATGCGCCGCATGCCAAGCTGCGCCGGTCAGTTCAGAACTCAGCTGGCTTTCTTCTGTCTCCCGTTCAGCATGAGGTCGAAATCTTCGATTTGACTTCGCAAGCACCTGCGCAGGGAAACAAGTGTATGTGTGTGGTGTGGTGTGTGTGTGTGTGTGTGTGCTGCGCGTGTGTGGTGTGTCGGGTGGGCGAGCGGGAAAGCTCTGCGCACGGCAGGCATGTGTGCTTGGGTTTCAGAGGGAGGGTGCAGGCGGGCCACGTCAGCTTGCCCAAGGCCAAAGCTGTTCAGCGCATGGCATCAACCCCCCGTTTTCTGCATAACGCTGCAACCGCAGTTGCTCCCGCGGTAAGGTGCAACTCTACGGATGAATTCAGAGTGCTGCTGAAAACGCAGCCCCGAAGGCTTCACACCTGCCAGTGTCAACCTCTGCCTCGAGTGGGCATTCCGAACTGGCCATATGCAACGGTGAGACGGCCGTTCCACCCGGAACGAATTTGGTCAACGCAGGCCTGAAAGCTATGCCAGCCTCAAGACAGCTGGAGAAGCCGTTGACTGCGAGCATGGAGAAGGAATCAATGGAAGCTCCCTTCTGGTTGGTAATAAAAAGGAAAAGGAGGCCACCAGTAAAACTTGACAAAGTCCATTCACTAACTTTCAGCCAACCCCAATGATCAATGGGGACACAAGTGCAACGGCCTCCTTTTTGGCAGACCGCAAAAGCCGGCGTGCCCTTGACCCTTAGTCCCCTAAACTGAGCCCCTACCATGCCTTAAAGGGGTAGCAGTGCTTCCGTAGGTTGACAACCAAAGGTGGAGATCATTCAGTCCTCAGCTCTTGAGAGTTTTCCGCCTAGGCAAGTCCTCTTGGCATTCTTCCCGCTCGTAAACCAAGAACCTCGAAATGGAACTCTACGCAAATGTGAAAGCCCGTGTCCGGGCAACATGTAACGGTCGGTGGGAAACAAGTCCATCTCAAATAAACCAGGAATGTCAACATAGCAAGTCTAAACCAATGGCAAAGCATGCGTCCAAGCAATGATGTGCAAAGTGCATCTGTGGACGCCCTTCTGAACCACCCACCCCACCCAAACCTCAAGCAAAGCCTCTTCAAAGCCAGCTTTGGGATGAATCGAATTGAACATGTCGAAGCCCTCCTCGGACAACCATTTTCAAGTGGCTAACCGAGTTCCATGACGGCCTGTTTCCCCAAACTGACCTCATTGAGACCATCCTGGTGCCAAGGAGCGAGGCTTCACCTAGCATCTGCTATCTTCTGAAGGCTCCTGCAAGCAGTTGGGCCGAGCATCTCCGACCGTACCGTTTTCGGGTGGCATCCTTGCTTGGGTCCCCCCACCTGAAAGGAGAGGTTGTCCTGAAGGGCAACCAAAGGCGCAAGTTTGCAAGTTGGGGTCCCCCCCCACCTGAAAGGAGATCCATCCACATCTGAACCGTGCACGGTGGCTTTCTTTAAGCCTTGCATAACCGACTCCAAGCATGGCCTTGTGACATCGACTCCAGGGGACCCCACCCTGGGGAGTTACATTGGCGTGACGCTGCGGGGCTAGTTCTCAACAACTCCCGAACTTGCTGCACAAATCCAAGTGGGCACCCTTAAAACGATTCTCCCCAGCCCCTTCAACAAGTTGCACCACTCGCACAAACATCGCTTCTTGCTCCCAAAAACGGCACCTTCGGCGAAAAAGCGCAAACAGTCCCAGCCAGCGAGAGAGATGCTTCCGTATGCTTCCTGTGCGGCTCCTGGAGGCGGAAGGCCGCCTGCTGCACAGGGCCTTTGGCGAGTGGCGGAAGACCACGGCAGAGCTTGGTGAAGACGTCCTCGCGGAGTGGCGATCCGAAGGTGCGGTTGAA